CCCCCCTTAAACTCGAACACATTGCCACTTTCAAATTGCTTGCAAGATCATATCTGAGCCATGGTAGACCCATTCGAAATTTTCAGCCAAATGTATGCGAAGAGGCCGGGAAAAGCATTTGCAATGAGAGATTACCAGACTCCTGGTCGGGAGAGGGAGAGAGAGAAAGAGAGACTCGTTACACGTCGCATCCCATCGGAATCGCCGTCCCGGAGGAGGGACTAGGGTCTCACGCTTCCCTAGGGATATCTGCTATCCCGTGTTTTCAGTGTTGCAGGGTCCCCTAACGCTACCACGTACTACCAACCTCAGGAGAGAAAGTCCCGGAACGCAGGATGTGTCGCGCGTGTCGAGGTGCCGGTTCATTGGCGTCTAGTGGACGCTCGAACGGGGTCTAGGGACTTCTAGTAACTTTCGCCGGTCGAAAACTATCGAAGCTCGTCGAGCGTTCGGAAACGGGCTCGACGGTGCGGTACATTTGTCCTAGGGACATTTTCGACGCACGAGCGTTGACGATTTTTGTGTTTCGCTATGGGGTTTTTATCTCTCTTTTTTTTTTTTTCTTGGTCAGCGTCAAATCGACGTTAATGAAAAGGTACCTTTCACGTACTCCGGGGTGGAATGATCGTATCTCGCTGGCGTTCCCTTCACCTCGCGTTTCTAGTTTTTTGCCGAATCTCGGCACGCCCCACTCGTAGAGCGACGTTGCGTCTCGTGGCTCGGATATGATGTTACCTCTTTTTTTTATATATATATATATATTGTCAAGTTGCAGGGTTATCCAAAATACCGGGAGTATTGGCCGCCCTGTGAACATCGTATATTTAACGACTTTTACCACTACCACTTCCTGTCGTCACACCTGTGTCTGTTCTTATTAATGAATTTTTTTTCTTCCCTTTATTTATTTATTTGTTTTTGTTCTTGTTTTGCATTCTCTCTCGCCGAGACGACTCAGAGGAGAGTCGAGCCACGAGTGCATGCGTATTGTTTGTTTTGTTTTCTTACGTTTGGTGCCCTATGGCCGTAATTATACTGAGTGACAAGTGTACAATTAACGCGCCCATCGCTAGAGGGGAGTGTTCCCCCTCGTTTCACATATTTTTGTTTCTGTCTCCATGTTTTGACGTTCATTGTTCATGGTTTTTGTTTTTTATTTTTTTTTTTTTATTTCTTCCTGTTTTCTTTTCTCCTCTCGTTGTCTTCCTTGCGAGCGTGTGTATGCGTGTGGCGACCACTACGAATGTGTATGCATCATCAATTGAAAAAATCTGTTTACAGCTCTCAAGGACATAGGTAAGCCGCGCCGTTGAATGACGAATGCGACGTTGTAGAGTATTTCTGTTGGTAGTAATCTGTAAATTGTGCTCCCTCTTTTTAGTTGAGTTCACTATGAATCTCCCGGGTCGGATGCGTACCGAGTGGGGGGTCGTCGATGAGGATCCATTTCTGTGAATTTAATCGGTGCCGATTTTAAAAAAAAAAAAAAAAACAAGTTGTCAAGGCGAGAAATGTTCACCCCCATCGAGTAACTAACATTATCGGAGCTATTATCATGCACTGTCCGAGGAGGAGGTCCACTATTTTTACACGTCGCATCTCTGTCGTGGGCTCGAACTCATCAATTCGACAGTTCGAGGTCATAAGTCATTCCTCATGCCCTTAGTCATTTTTCACGCCTGGAAAGAAAAGCCAAGAAAAGAAATAACGAGATTGACGATGATAATAATAGAGAATTTTCGACGATCCTCGCGCGGTACGCATTATGATTTAAATTTCAGGATGTGATGGTGGTAGGGTGATCGTCGCGAGGTCCTTTTTCCCCGTTTAGAGTAATCGTTATAAATGAAGAGTCCCTTGAATCGTTGCCGCGACAGTACGGTTTTTGTTTTTTTCTCCTCCTTAAATTGGCGCATCAAAATTTTATTCACATCTTTTCCCGGCATGCCTTTTCCGTAACGACATACACAAGAAAAAGAAAAAAAAGAAATAGACGGTAAAGAGAGTATTTTATACCTTGAGTAAGTTGCCAATTGGATATATCGTGGCTAAACCTGGGTCTATTTGTAATGTGTGTTTTTATAGATTATGATTACGACTATTACGGTTATGGGGATTATCGAGGTGGCTACAGTGATCCATATTACGATGACTATTATCGATACGAAGATTACTATTTCGATTACGCGCCGCCTCCGCCACCTGCCAGAGGGAGAGGCAGGCAGCCTCAACCGGTGGGTCGCCTTTTTTAATCGTTTTAAAAGTCGTTTTCGTTACTGAACCGTATATAATTGCGATCTATTTTTTATTTGAATTTTTTTTTTCTCGTTTTTTTTTTTTTTTACCTCCGTTAATTTGACATTAGCGGTAGTTTGATTGTGGCACAGTGTTCGCGGATTCCTTCTTTTTTTCTCTCTGTCTGTGTTTCTGCCTCTGTGTATATATACCTCTCTCTGTGTCTGTATACCCAGGTGCGCGCGCACCCGTACCTGCGCACTACCACGTGCGCCCCCGTACCTCTGCGCACCCACCTAGGGTGTGTCCGTGCACGTGCAACCGCGCACCTGTCTATACTCACACCCACGTATTTCATGTATACGTATACACGTTTATTATACAAATCTGGTATTACCACCCACTCGTCGCCTCCAGACACCTCGCCCTCTAACCAAGAGCCTGTGCGTGTACATTAACCAAAGTGGCTAAAAATCGACTTGCTATGCCGGTTTCGTCTAACAACCAACTAATACACCTGTCCACGCGGGGATGTGCGAGATATCTCGAGCTCTGATGTCCCAGTTTGGCGTTTAATCACACTTTTTTTTTTTGGTCTTTTCCTATCGATTCTCTGTTTTTTTTTCTCTTTTTTTTTTACTTTTTTGTTCCCCGATGCACTGCACTCGCGACACGCTGGCCGGCCTGGCGGAGAGAGGGAGGGAGAGAGAGAGAAAGAGGGAACGGATGACTAAAGGCGGCTGCACGAGTGACGATAAATCGTGGCGACTTGTCTGTGCAGTTTTGATCGAGTTCTCAAAAGAAACAGAGAGAAAGAGAGACAAGTTGAATTTGCATGAAGTAATCACGGCGATTCGTCGGCCTCGCGTGCGACCATCTTAAGAGCTGTCTTTTGTTTCTTTTTTTTTTCCTTGTTTTTTTTTTTTCTGGTTGGCACTGTTGTTCGCTGTTGTCGTTGTCGATGTCGCCCCCTCGGGATCGGAGATCGAGGACGAGGAAGCGCCGCACGAGACGAACCCTGACGTAGTGTACATACATGTACGTATATACACATATGCACAGGTGAGCGGACAGGTCGAGGAGTGCGCGCGACTGCACTGCATTTGTTCGTGTCTCCCTCACCTGGGGAAAGTTGGCAAATCGGAGGAGAAATTCGAGAGGGAAGAGAAAATTGAAGGAAGTAACCGAGAAAGTTAAAGAAAGAAAGAAAGAAAAAAAAAAGAAAGTCAAAGAAAGATTTATAAAATGGATCAGAAGTCGAGAGAACGAGGAGACGAGACGGCCCCGATTATAGTCACCGACTAATGACATTCTCTCCAGCACTCTACATAGCTAGTGTCACTAACTTTTACCCCCCCCCCCCTCCCCCCTTAAACTCGAACACATTGCCACTTTCAAATTGCTTGCAAGATCATATCTGAGCCATGGTAGACCCATTCGAAATTTTCAGCCAAATGTATGCGAAGAGGCCGGGAAAAGCATTTGCAATGAGAGATTACCAGACTCCTGGTCGGGAGAGGGAGAGAGAGAAAGAGAGACTCGTTACACGTCGCATCCCATCGGAATCGCCGTCCCGGAGGAGGGACTAGGGTCTCACGCTTCCCTAGGGATATCTGCTATCCCGTGTTTTCAGTGTTGCAGGGTCCCCTAACGCTACCACGTACTACCAACCTCAGGAGAGAAAGTCCCGGAACGCAGGATGTGTCGCGCGTGTCGAGGTGCCGGTTCATTGGCGTCTAGTGGACGCTCGAACGGGGTCTAGGGACTTCTAGTAACTTTCGCCGGTCGAAAACTATCGAAGCTCGTCGAGCGTTCGGAAACGGGCTCGACGGTGCGGTACATTTGTCCTAGGGACATTTTCGACGCACGAGCGTTGACGATTTTTGTGTTTCGCTATGGGGTTTTTATCTCTCTTTTTTTTTTTTTCTTGGTCAGCGTCAAATCGACGTTAATGAAAAGGTACCTTTCACGTACTCCGGGGTGGAATGATCGTATCTCGCTGGCGTTCCCTTCACCTCGCGTTTCTAGTTTTTTGCCGAATCTCGGCACGCCCCACTCGTAGAGCGACGTTGCGTCTCGTGGCTCGGATATGATGTTACCTCTTTTTTTTATATATATATATATATTGTCAAGTTGCAGGGTTATCCAAAATACCGGGAGTATTGGCCGCCCTGTGAACATCGTATATTTAACGACTTTGCAATTCTTTTTAGATATATTTATATAGATGTTTATATATATATTCATATATTAGACGTATGTGCGCACAGAGAAGATACATAACCTCGTCCGGTGCGAGCGACTTTCCCTCTCGACTTGGTCTCGCGGCCTCGAGGAGGCTCCTCGTAATACATTCGAGTACAGAATCCCATAATTTCGGTAGATACCTTATCAGGCATTATAAACTCCGGTTCATGCTTCCATTCTAACCCTAACTCAACCCTCGACTCGGTTATTCACAGTGGAGATTTCACGGGGAGCGTTTATGCTCCCCTAACCTCAATTCCTTCGTTATAATTCCGAGGACAACCCATTTTTCGTCCTAACTTGTCCAGAGATTTCAAGAAGCGCATGCGCGCGGTTTGAATGTGCCCTGATGGATTATGGGTCGGATTTGAAATCAAATGAGGATTATGGAATTAAGGACAGGGTTAGGACGGAAGCATTAACCAGGGTGGATAAACAACTCTTGGGTGACTGTTTGCGATAAGTGATCGATAGATTTCTCGATCGAGTTGACGAGATGTATCTTGTATGAGTAATTAGTTGGTTTGTGGATGCCGGGCTTGGGCGCGTCTCCTGTCGCTGCCGTTTAGTGCGCCGCGTCGCCACTGGGCGCGCTACTGGAAAGTCGGTCCAACGGAAAGTCGCTCGCGCCGCTCTATGGGAAATGGACTTGAGGATAATTCCAGTTGCATCTCGGAAGAGTCTGAAGAGCGGTTCCCATGTACGGTGTTGATGCGTCGCGTGAGATAACCTTGTTAACGCGTAGGTACTCCATGGATAGAGGAGGGAACATAGACGTGCACACGTGTATACGCAAATGTGAATGCTAGTTCATACTTGTGTATATACATATATGTATATGTATGTGTGTGTGCACGAGTCATCGCGACTTTTTTCGCGTATAAAGGAATACGACAAAAAAAAAAAGAAATGGTAGCACCGGCGACACGTCTCACAGCTCTCGCTTGCTTCGGCATATACATACTGTCCGCTTTTACGCTTAAACCATTTACTGCTATGATGCTGCTGCTGCTGCGCCGCTTACATGATTTTCAATTGACTTTGTTTTAGCTGCCAGTGCAGTAGGTTGTTGTCGCTTAAAGTTCCTTCGCCCACCGATACGGTTCGCTTTTCACACTTTACTACTTTGGATAACTCTGCTAACTCTGCTGCTGTATGTAAAGATTTGGTTAGTAAGACTTGGTTTTAGGTGAGCTCTCTCACTCGCTCACTCTGTTCTCACACACAGACACACACGTACACATGCCTCCATTCTTTCCGCTGTCTTTCGTCCTTTCTATCTCGCGTCTTTCTCCTCACTTATCGCCCTTCCCCCAGGTCCTCCTCCGCGGGATCACCCCAGAACGCCGCAGCTTCGGACGCGTTTCCCTCGGAATCGAGCAACCCGGGAGGAAAACGCCTCCTGCGAAACTTGTTCGGGGCACCCTGACGAGCAACTTTTGTACGGGCCGTTTCTTCCCACGGGATCTCATTCTCACGGAAAATCCCACGAAGAGTGCGCGATCACCCCAAAGTCGGCCAGGGATGCCTTGATGGCGAAACCGCACCGATCCATGCCCCACTTCCCTCGAACTATAAACATCTTCGCTGTTAAAACCCCTCGAAAAGACATCATTTTACAAACCACCTTGTTCACAAATAACCCTAACGTGTCCACCGATTCCCATCGAGCCGAACGCTCAAAAAAGAGAGGAAAAAAAAAGAACAGAAAAATAGAGGGCAAGGGGAGCCCCATAACCTCTGACTCGAGACCGCGGCGGCCATTTTGCATCCCTGGCACGAGTCGTTTCCCCTGTTTCTCTAAATTCCAACTCCTTCTTCCCCTCCCGAACAGAATCTCACGTGACAGGGTAATCACTGCTATCACATTGCGGCGAGTCGGCGAGCGAAGCGACTCGCCCTTTCCTCGGAGTAAATGGCCAGGGAACGCTCGTTTCCCGACACACGGTCAGGGCCTAATCATCAGAGAGAGAGAGAGAGGTGTGCGGGCCTGCACATGTGTCCTTCTATATATTTTTATACATACGATCTCTAGATATATACCTAGATGTAGAGAGGAGAGGCGGCAGGCGCGGGCGAAGCCGCAGTCGAGCCAGATGGGGTAACGATTGGGTGTGTGTTGTTTGGTCAGGCTGGTCGTGGGCGTGGAGTACTAACGCGTGGCCGGCTCGGTGGCACCCAAGCACGTGGGCCAGTCAGGGGGGCACGCAACCCCGCAACTACCGTAGCCCGTGGGGCCCAGCGGCCAGCCGCTCGTGGGGGGGTCCGCGCCAAGGGAAGTTTACCAGGTGAGGATGGTCTGTATCTCCACAACGAATCGTCTTTTATCCTACGTCTCTCTTACTAACCGCTCCGCCCCCTTCTCACCTCTCTTTGTTTTAGTCATTTTAGCTCCGACGCTCCCACGCTCCGCTCTTCTTCGACCTCGTCCTTGTCCTCGCCGGGGTGACGAATTGCGCCGCTCTGCTGTCGAAACCCAGTTTATACCGGATACTAATTTTTTGGCGATATTTTTTTTTCTCCCGCTGAAACCAGTCATTTTTACGTGTTTGCTAGTTCTAGAGCCAAAGGCCTGGTTTAGTTAAACTACCGGTGTAAACGGCGGTGTACCTTCGCGAGGTGATGCACCCTGCTCCTGGGGATTGTATCCAGGAAGGACAGAACCGTTTACTCTGGTGATTTGGTAAAACCAGGGGTTGGTTCGCGGGGCGATCGGGGTGGACTCGGTCTGAGTCTCGGGCCTTCGCGCGTACCTAATAATGGTGAACATAGTCATGAGGGGAAAGTGGGGAATCTTTTACCAGAAAATTTAATATCTCTTCCTGTGTATACCGTTTCATGGATTGTGTTCACCGTTTTATGGTTAACGCGGGGTAAGTGCCTGGAATCTCGCCTTCGCAAGTGACTGGCCGGTAATTTAGACTTAAGCCTGACGGAAAGAGCCTGGGTACTGGAATTGCCGAAATTGGGATTAATTCTTGCACTTAAATTTCTGCAATTTTGGTCGTCTGGTCTTTCTGCCTTGCTTGAGGTTATCCTTACGTCCTGTGTCCACGAAGGCCTTGGGGAGAATCCTTGGAATCTCTTCAGGGGTTGTCGTAACGACTTGCAAAGCGGCGCCATCTTGGCGGCGAATTCCTAAACGAGCGTACCGGTTACCGCGACTTGTTTGTTAAGTCCTTTTTAGCAAGATGGACATTTTCGGATAGATTCTTCGGCGGAGTGGGGGAGTCCTTTCCTTATCTGCAGGACTTTATGTGCTAACGTTAAGAGTAACTCGGAGCGCACTAATGCTTCCACTGATTTTTCTCGCCAGCAGCGCAAAAGAGTATCCACGTAGTGCCGCTTGATCTTTCTACGGTACAGTAAGGGACACGAATGTCTTACCTCCTCGTCCTGGCCTCACCATTCGCAGGGAAGGCATTCGTGTCCATCGGTGTACCAGTCACTGCCAGTAAATAAACCGACACTTTATTATTCACCGCGTCAGACTCTGGGCGCACCATAGTTCCGTATTCTTATTTCTTTTGGTAATCCACTCTCGCGTGTCCATATCTCATAGTTTCGTTCGAGAACGAGCTCGCTTAGAACTGGAGTCACTGTAACTGGCATCAGTCCCTCCCTACCTCCTACGGTATCCAACCCACCCTATTTACTAACAGTAGGTTAGCTCTAAAAGGATAAGTAAAACCGAGAAGTGACGCGCGAACGCCGAGTCAGGTCGCTCCGGTCAATTGGAGTGATTGAGTAATTTCCGATCAAATTTTTGTTTTTGTTTTTTAATTTTCCATGAGTAAAACAAAAATTATCAAATCTTCCGGCTTGGTGTACCGAGTAGTGTGGAACTCCACAACGTGGATACGGAGGCTCCAAGGAAGGTGTCCTGACCTCCATAAAATTTTAATTTTTGTCCTTTTCAAATTTATAGATATGAAAAAAAAAAAATGTTTATACAAATTGAAATTTCACGAGTGCCAGGACCTTTCTTGTAGCCTCCATATTCACTTTGCAAAGTTCGAAACGATTCGATGCACTGAGTTCGGGGAAACGTTTGAGAGAGACCTCTTCGAGGCCACTTTCATACCACCTTAGGAAGGTCCTGACCCCCGGAAAATTTCATACATATATATATATTAGGTCTACTTTATTCCTTCGTAAAGAATTTTCAATCCTTTTCAATTTAACCTTGCACCCGTCGTCTCCGATCGACCGGGCGGTCCTGACTTTGGTGAAAGAAACCGCGCCGAGGCGGGCCATCGGTGCTCGCAAAACCTGACGTCGTTCTGTTTTCTCGCAGCAGGTAAACGAAAGTTTGACGGGGGTCACCAGAACCAGGGGGAATCTAAACGTCGCTTCCAGAGCAGCTGGGGAAACCAACCCCTCGCCCAACAACCACTGGGCAATGCGTACGGATTGGCGAGTCTGAACGGCGGCGGCGGCGGAGGTGGCGGAGGTGGAGGTGGAGGTGGCGGAAGCGAAAGTGGCGGCAGCGGCGAGGACGAGTGGTACCAGGACTCCTACCAGCCGTGGAGCTAACTTCGGCGGGTGCGCGAGTCATCCACCGCACCAGGCACCGCGTAGGTACTTGCAACCGAGCTAAAAAGAAACGGGCGAGCGCAATCCTCAGAGATCGGCCGCGAGCACGACGGGGACCGGGGACCGTCCATCCAGTCGCCGCCGTCCCGGGGCATAAATCGATTAACCTAACCTCTAACGCGTTCGGGAGGAGAGGTCGCTTGGAAAGGTAAAGAGATATATTCGGTTGGAAATAGCGAGGGTGGAGAGATGGGATAGGAAAGAGCGAGGGAAAGAGAGATGGAGAGATAGGAGGTTATATGGGAGCGAGAGAGAGAGAGGGAAGGTAGAGAAGCGTAGAGAAGTGTGAGAGGTATAGGAGAGCGATGGCAGCGCCGCCACCACCATTGCCCGCTGTTGTGATTATGTACAGTCATGTGCCACTGGGACTATGTTATCACGTTGGAGTGTGACCACCCACCCACCCCGTACTCTTATTATATATTATGATAATACCTACTCGTAAGTACCACTACTACATTGTCACATTGTTTACTGCCAAGTGAGAAGGAGGATCAGCGATGTTGACATTGGGATTGTGATGACGGCTCGTATAAGTAGTTAAGGGAGAAAGAGAGGGAGAGAGAGAGAGAGAGGACCCTATCGGGCGAGGACCCTCTAGGGGTCCGCGCGAGAAAGAGCGAGAGGGCGTGACGGAGAACAGACACGGAGAGAGAGAGAGAGAAAGAAGAGAGCAAGGGATGCGGGTGCGTGGAAGCGTGCGCGCGAGTGCGAGTGAGAGGGAGCGATTGGACCGTACGGGAGTGCGAGCGAGAGGGAGGGGGCGCTCGGTGGCGCCGCTTGGCGGGACCCGCGCGAATCACTCGGCCCGCCGCGGCGCCGCGACCGCCGCCCGATGGGAGGGTGGGCCCGCGGGTATGCGAATGCGAGCGAGAGAGCGAGTACCTGGGGACCGCGCGCGCGAGAGAGAGGGTGAGTGACAGCGGAGATGGGCGGAGAGGCGGGAACCATGCCGGACGAGCGGGTGTCTCTGTGTGTGTATGTGTGCGTGGAGCGCGCCAAGCGCCGCTAGACCTTCTATTGTTGGTCTATAATGTGTACAGTCAGTGAAACTATTACTATTAAGGGTCAGGCAAAGGGTTTCGAGGACGCGCGCGAGCTCGACGTAGGGGACGAGAGGAAGGAACGCCAGGCCGCCGCCAGTCAACGCCTCGCAAAGTCCGACGAGAGGCAAACCACCCCACCCCACCCTACCCCACCCCCCGGGTCGGACTTTAAGGCGAAGAGAGAACGCGTCGCCCAATTTTGTACATTAAATTCGCCGCTCCGAGGGAGACGGAGAGAAAACGGAGACTCGAGGTCTACTCTGAGATCCGCTGAGACCGACCGACCTCGGGAGCGACTCGTCCTTCTCGGCGGAGACCGGAGGAGAGATGGAGAGATAGGGAGAGAGAGAGATGCGCGCGGGGAAAGAACCGACAGAGGAAGCTAGAAAGAGAGAGAGGAAGGGACTTTTCAAAATCGCGAATTCGGCTGAGGGAGGGCGCGGATGAAATTTCTTCCGTTCTTCTTATTCCCCCCCCCCTGTATTTTATTATTATTACTTTTTTTTTTTCTCTTTTTAACGATTGACTGGCTACCGGTGGAGGCGACGAGCGGAGAAAAGAGAGAGACGACGTTAGGCATGCGAGTGTGTATACGGTGATGCATGAACACATACAGCACACACTGTTTGAGTGTTGACTTGTTGTTATTGTTAGCCTGTTAGTTAATTAGTAAGAGTTGTAAGTGCGGGCTGTATAGTTGGTCCCTGTCCCTGGAGCCCAGACACCCCCTGTTCTGGAGATTATTGGATAGAAAGAGAGAAAGAGAGAGAGAGTATGAGAGAACGAGGACGAGAATGCGAGGGTGAGACAGAGAGAGAGAGAGAGAGCGTGAGACAGAGTCGGAGAATGAGAAACACGATCCGTTCGCGATAATACGATTCATGCACCCCCCCCAAATGAGGATTAACGAAAAACCGTACGATTAGGAGGATGGATAGGAGACGAAGGGATGGAAAACGCAAAAAAAGAATATACGCAACCACAACGACGACTACGGCGACGACGACGGCGACGGCGACGACGATGATAACCGCGATATCACTTGTAGTGATTTTATTGAACTGCTGCACATCCGGTCTCCGATTTTGACAACGATTAGACGATCGACACACCGCGAGATTTAAATGTAAACGCCGACTTCGATTGGGATTGATTTTACTCCTTTCTGCCGATTCCGGTGGGTCACGTGACGCTGGTCACGTGGCTCCGATCACGTGGCACCGGTCACGTGACGCGCGGCCAAGATGGCGCGGGAAACGCGAATCGGAGGACGAGACGGTGAGAGGGAAAACAAAAGCGACACACGAGGGATCGAATATATAAATAAATATAAATAAAACGGGACAGACGCGCCGCGTGATTCCACGATCGACCTTCTGCTGACGGACGCGACGGGATTCTGACGACGATGGAGGAAAAGGAAAACGCGCGCGAGCGCGCGAGCGCGAAAAAAAAAGGAAAAATGGCGAAAACTCGAGAAACCTAGTGAGGAGAGATACGGCGAGAAGGAACGTCTGGACGAAGATCAATTGCTCGCAACCCCCTCTTTTATTTATGGAGAGCACTTTGTTAATTTTTATTCATGTTTTACTCTTTAACTCTTTAATTCTCTTCTTCCCCCCTCGCTGGGCGCGGCGAGGGGTGCAACGCATCTAATAGTAATAATAACGATTACTGTGCCTCGGTAGGACGTCCTTCCAACCCACCCCGACACGCATCTGACACATTCGACACATTTGACACGTGACACCACACGATAACACACCACATACCCTGATTACCACACGCTTACTACCCCGCCCTCGAGTCGGACGATCGTCGTGCGAGTCCTTACACTTTTGTCCATTTACACGAGCCCGAAACATAACCTGCCCAGCCTACCACCCACCCACACCCACCTGCTACCCACTGCGTTAACACGCACTGTTAAAAATGTCTCGGTACCTCGAATTTTTTCGAATACAAATGTACGCCAAATTCCACCCAAAATCCAAGTAATCGTGAAATATGCAGCTTCACAATGAAAAAAAAAAAGGAATGGAAAATTAGGTCCACACAAAATATCTTCAGGTTGTAAAAGTGTTCCACAGAGAAGGAGGCTAGATTTCGACGCAATTGTATACGAAATTCCTGAAATACGCGTCCGAGGGTGAAAGGTCCCTCGGTACACGTGCATCGCAATTCGAGTGGACATTTTTAACAGTGTATTACTCGGAGCCCCCCAACCCCCACCCTCACCCCCCAACCGAACGACCGCCTACCTACCCTATTTATAAAAGCATAATATCGAGGATATGATAATATTAATATTAACAATATGATAAGGATGATATTGCTAATCACGCTGAGTGGGTTTTTGTGACGTGATAACGTTTCCACTACGATGGTGTTCTGGTCTCAGATTAAATTGTGAACGTATGCATACGTACGCGTATGCGTCCCTGTGTATGTGTGCATACGTGTGTGTGTGGATATCGTGAAACGAGCGACTGTGTGGGTGCGCCGTGGACGCAGGGTGTCTGGTTTAAGCGCCGGTCTGCGAGATTGTCTTCGTTCAGTTTTTGAGGGGGTGCGAGTTAAGAGACGCGGCGCGATCGCAAGGTACGCGGATTTAGGGCGTGGTTTTGTCAAACTGTCAGTGGAAACGGTGATGTGCCAAGGCGACGCGGTCGGCACCTTTCGAGGGTACCGTCCCAAGGCGGTACACGGCCGTTTACACCGGCGGTTTAATAAAACCGCGGGTTTAATGCGAGTACCGCTAAGTGGTCGGGGTAAACGAAGCCGAAACGTGATTGGCTAACCCTGGATAGGGAGGATTTGAGGTTTTACGACTTTTAGCCTGCTTAAGGGACGATTATGGGAGAGATCGACGGGGCGAGCAATCGCGAGCGGGCGTTTAAATCCGACGCACTGCGCATGTGCACTTAGGCAGAATGGGACGGAGTGTAGAGATGGAGCGAGTGAGGACGAGAGGGAGAGAGAGTGAGAGAGAGACGGTGGAGGGAATGTCGGAATCGACTCTCGAGCACGACACGCATGCGAGGGAACGGTCCAGGACGCGCGAGCATGGGGGAGAACCGAGATAGCTCGAAGACCCGTGTAAAGGGGAGGAGCGGAGAGCGAGGAAGGAAAGCGAGGCTAGGCGAACAGGGAGATCGGGAACCGAGCGAGAGGTGGATAGAGAGAGATAGACGAGCGAGGCAAGGGGGCAGGAAGCGCCGGAAGTGGGAAACCAGGGATGCGACGAGGCGAATACTTCGAGTCAAATCGGACCACTTTTCGCGTATCGCGAGTTATCGATGCGAACGAGGGCGAGAATTGCCATTATCAAGATATACCAACGCTTCACATTCGCGCTATAATCGTTGAAGCCGCATTAAGGGGAATCCAAACCTTCCAACAAAAAACGTCGCAACCCGCGTTTCGATGACACCGTTCGCGTTAATTCGCGGTTATCGAATCTCGCCATCGAGGCGCGTGTTGTGACGTTTCGCCGGACAGGATTCGCGGATCGATCTTAAATTGCAAATTCTACGTGGCATCGATCTTTACTTATAAACTCGAGGTGGCATTAACTTGAAATTTGAGGAACCCGAGGTGGATCGGTATTCGAAGTCGTCGCGTCGCTGCAGGATAACGGCTCCGACGGCGCCGCGCAGGTGGCAGCCCCCCGGTGACGAGACTTTAGACTGATCTAGGTGTACTAGCGTTACGATATTTGGCCCCCCGGCCCCCCTTTTGTACCGGCGAGCGGGGGCGCGCCCCGGCCCCGAGGCCGGGGGTCGCATTTAGTATAATGCACCACTGGGGCTGGCGATGCAGCGGCCCGCCGAGTGCCCCGAACCTTCCGCCCTGCCCGGGACCCGCCGAAGGGTGCGACGCAGGGGGCGACGCAGGGTGCCCCTTGTCCGGGGTCCGTCGAAGGATGCGACATAGGGTGCTCCTTGCACGGGACCCGCCGAAGGGTCGCAACGCAGGGTGCCCCTCGCCCGGGTCGCGACCTACCCCACGCCGACGGTGCGTCATGAAAGGACTTCCCCATTCTTCCGGACGCGGAGAACTGAGCTTCGTTCGATTTTCAATGTTCTGACGATTCTTAGCGGAGGTGTCCGGTAATTGCATGACTCCTGTCGATTTTATGTACAAAGTATATACGCCATTTGTACGTAACATCGGCAGGACTTATCGACTCGCTTAGGGTTTCGAGAAGGAATCGTTTTTCGGTTTTCTCGCTCTTGTTTCCCCCCTTCTTTCCGGGGATTCCTCGGCTGGACGCGAAATCGGGCCTCGGTGGAGGTGAGGTGTCCGACCTCTCGTTAAGGCTTTACCCGCGGGGGTTCCATGTTAGCGGAAGTTTTGGGATAATTGTTAAGGGTATTTGTCAAGTTTTACCAAATTCGGGGTAAGCGGCCCCTCGCCTCGCGGGTCCCGATTTCGGGCATGGGGAGGGGGCGACCGAATCAGGGGGCGCCCCGGCGCATCGCAGGTGCATCGCGCCTCGACGCAGGTCCCTGCCTTAACGGTCGAACACCCCCGTCAGGCGTCAGGTGACGGATGTTGCGTGATCCCCGGGCCGGCCACATTCGCGTTAGACACCGCGACCCGGGGACGTGTTTTTTTTTTCTTCTTTCTTCTTCCTTTCTATTTTANATATTATATATTATATTCCTGCAGATATGCATTTTTGTGACGCGACGTTGTTTAGCGGTAGCGAGAGAGAGGGAGAGAACGAGAGGGAGCGAAAGCGAGAGAGCGAAAGTGAGAGAGAGAGAAAGAGAGACACAGAAATAGGGACGAAGAGATAATGGCGACAGGGCCGATCGAGAGTGCGCGCGCTCATGTTTTACGTTTTGCCAGCCGATTTTTTACCGCTGAGAGAGGGAGGGAAAGGGTAGATAGACGGACAGACTGGGAGAGAGAGGGAAAGAGAGACGCGGCGAGACAGGTAGAGAACGAGAGAGAGAGAGAGAGAGAGAGAGGGAGAGCGGGAGAGATTGAGGCACAAGAGAACGACCACACACGAAATCGCAGCCAAATTGCCGGAATACTTCGCTGATTGTATCGTCAGATTCCTTCCGTTTCCCTTTTCGGTTATCATCTACTTCTTCTTCCTTGTCCTCTACTTCTTCTTCCTCTTCTTATTATGTCTCTTAATTATTCACCCGCCGATTGCTTTGCTCGCTTTGATTTCCCGCAATTCTTGAAAGTTGCCTCCCCCCAAGCCCCCTAAGCCCCCCCTTCCCCCGACACCCGATCCAACCCCAACACCCCAACCTAATTTTAGTGTGAACGTAGTTAAACGTAACGATTATAACGATGGATTTCAAAGAAAGAAGAGATACAATATTGGAAATGGTTCCTTTTTTCCGGGCTAGGAGCTTGATTTAAAGTGTCAAAGATTTTTGTGTATGACCAGATGTATTCTACATGTCTCAATAAACAGTTGTATGTGAATTACCTTTCTTAAGAACGGCTACGAATTTATTATCTTACCTTTGCACCCCCCGAGTGTTTGTCGACGCGGGTGGAATTTGTGGATTTTTTTTCTCATTTTTTTCCCCTCACGTTTACCTCCCTCTGGAAGGAAAAAAAAAGATGGGAGGTTAATTTTTCCACCGAAGCGTAGCTCTTCCTTAGCGAGGGTGCGACCGGGAAACCTCCAGGGATGCATCCAAGCCCGAGGGCAAAGGTACGACCAACTTACATTATGCAAGTTTACCTCGAGTGGAAGTAATCTCATCCCTCGGATATAGATCGAATAATGGCCAGCAAGGAGTACGTTCATTTTGTTCGCCTGATTCCGGAGCGTACAAGGTGTTTTTTTTTCCCCCGCCAGTTTGGGCGAATCCAAGTTTTCGTATCACTCGGCGTCCATGGCGGGAGGATGCATTTTTCATGAAGTCTCCGAGGTACGCATGAAAATGGGCGGACTGCATTATGCATTCGCCCTGTGTACCGCATTCTTCTCGCTTCTGGGAGGCATGCTGGGAACGTGCTCGAAGTACTACGAATTTTAAGGCGAATCTAGGACTTACAGTTCTGAGAAATAATTACCGAATAAATCCCATCTAGGCGGAAGAATCGGTTCCATTGCAGGGGAGACACGCCAGCGAAGACACGTGGAATCATTCTTCGACTATCTGAAAATTAATCCCTAATTTAGATTGTTTATTAAAGAAATTGAGAGAGTGAATATTGATGGAAACTAGAATTTGGTCATTATTTCTATGTTGAGAGATTCCATTCGGCGCGGTCGTTGGTTCGAGGCGGCACCGCTTGGCGGTGGCGCCATCTCTGAAGGGACGGCTGAATTCGGTAGCGCGTGCTGGGTGGGAGGGCGGGGGTGGCCCGGCCGAATCCAAAGGCCGGAGCAGGCCGGAGTCGGGCGGACGCGAGAGCGGAGTCGACTGCGTGGCCTGCGCGTCGCTCAGCAGCAGTGATGGTGTCGCAATACCGTAGCCGTCGCGACGCCGCGCCCCGTCGAAGTGAGGCCGGCCGAGGTTAAGGGGAGGCCCTCGTCGGTCGCCGGTTACGCGGATCGGTCCAGCCCTTGGCCGCGCCCGCAATCGCCGACGGGAGACGAAGCGAGACTCGGCCGCGGACGCTATGCGCTAGGCCGACGCCTGGACACGCGACGAGCGGAGGAGCCAGGGCGCCACCCTCCGCGCCCTTCGCGGGTCTCACGGTGAGTGGTGAGAGCAAGCTACTCGGCGAGTAGTCGCCCAGCGAGCGCGCAGCGCTAGCCAATAGGAGGGCGTGGGCGCGCGGGCCCCGGGCCTATATATAGGGGCGCGCGGGCTCTGGGCCTATATATAGGGGCGCGCGAGGCGCAGCGCTCAGTCGCGCGCTACCGCGCGGATCGTCCACAGGGGTCGCGGGTCCCGCGCTGCGCTGCGCCACCGACCCTCCTCCGCTGCGGCACCGCCGCGCGGGCGGCGCGACCTGGTCCAGGCCTCCCCGATCCCGGGTGGGGATCGATCGCACCTGTTACGAGGCGTGCCAGGACACACCTGTGCGGCGTGGTCCAGCGGCGTTCCTCGAGGACGTCAGCCCTCCTCGACTCTCGAGGGCCGCTTGTGGAAGGGCGTTTGTTTTGGACCCTCGCTACTTCAGGCACGCGACACGATTACTCTGCGGTCGATGCCGCGACCGGAACTCCGGACAACTGGATGCGGAAAGTGCCCCTGAACGGTGCCTATTACCTACTGCTACTAAATATGCGACTACACTGGGATCTCCGGACGAACTTGAACCAGTCATGTTTACTTTATCCATGGGATGGATCGCAAGGTCGCCCCTTCGGTGTCGTTGCGTCCTGTAATCGAGGTTCCCTTAATTCGGGGTCTCGATTAGCTGGATCTAGGGGAAAGGCGATCTTGCGATTCGTCCTATCGCTGGATTGGATGGGTGGACTATAAGCTGGGGTATCGGGCATCGAGCCATCCTTGGGGAGCGCATGGGCGCGGTTCGGATCCTGTCAACCCCACCCCGGGGGTGGCGATGCTCGCCACTTTGCATTTTCCTTTGGCGCCTTCCGACGAAAACCACCCCCGAGGCCGGGTCGCCATTGCCCGAGCGATTCGCCCTCCCTTTGGACGGACTAAAAAAGGGGGCATAAAGCGGATGGACGACTACGGGGCGGAGAAAGGGAAAGGATGATTCCCTTATATTAAAGGGAAGGTCGCGGGTGGAACGGTGAGAATTTCGATTCGGGACGGCGTAGACGGAATTCACTTTGCGACGCGCTCATGGACCATGGGCGTGGCAAAGAGGGTTCTGCGAGTTCGCTACTTCGCACCCCTTTCTACGAAGGGGTTACAAGAGTAACTCGTTCCGACAGCACGGGTCAATTTTTACACGCGAGTAAAACTATTTCTACCGATACTTTTATGCAAAGTCGCTGACTTTGAGATTTAGTCAGACCTTAAGACTCGTCACGGATCTTCCGGTGGAATTGTTTACTAATTTAACATAGTGTAAGCCATGTTTTACAAAGGGAAATGCAAGCCCAAATAAGAGTACCATTGTAGGCTTGGTTTTGCGTTTGCTTTTCGCATTGCTCCGAGGTGGCGATAAGTGAAATTTGTCTTGGTCTTGACTTTTTGCATTACTCGTCGAATTCATATGCCGGCGGTTTCCACTTCCAAGGGGAGACTCGGGGGTTTGTCGGATTCTCGTGCTCGGCAGACCCGAAGAAGAACGTATGAAAACGCGGAAAAGAAGAACTCATCAAGAGCTGTCGCTCCGTCCCGAAATGCGTGTACAATGTGGCGCCACATTTGACGAAGACCCATGCGCGGACCGAATGGAGGGGGGAAGGAGAGAAAAAAAAAAGAAAAGGACACTGCCGGAAGCGACTTTCTGCAAGGGTCGTTGGTTTTGTTCTTTCCTAGTGACAGCCTTTCTCGCCCGAATTACCGTCACTTTGCCGGCGAACCCTTTTGTACACTTGGATACGCCGTTTATTTGTTCGCGGAGGGAAGAAAGAAAGGACGAAATAGGAGAGAACATTCCGGGACGAATGACCATCGATTTTTCCACTTTCAGATGATCTCTCGGATCAGCTTTACTCCTTCTTCCTGTGCCTGGAGCAGACACTGACGATATGGTAAGGGGGATGGAACATTTTCTGATTTCTCTCTCTCTTCTTTGTTTGTTTCTTTTTTTTTACTTTTCTTTTTCAGTATCTCGGAAAATGTCGATTCGGGGAAATTTTCGACTACCTTCCACCCTCTTTTTTTTTTTTCTTTGGTCATTTCGAGTTCGGCTCTTCTCCTCGACCCCCCGGGGGGTCGGGTACATTATATTATGGAACTTTAGAGGAGAATTTATTTCCAGGACACAGTATGGCTTCAGCACTCTGGCATGCCTCTGGGAGTAGTTTCGTTTCACTCGCCGTCCTCGCTCTCCTGCTATTTTGTCCACGGACCACCACAGGTGAGCCATGTCGGTGGTTTCATTTTTTATTCTCCCCCTCCTCTCCCTTCCGCACCCCGGAGGAGGATTCCGCAACGCTCTGCAGTCACTACGATATTTATCTCGATTAATAATAAAACCGAAGATAACCCGCGTACACGGTTAAAAATGTATCGATACCTCGGACATTCTCGAGTACAAGTGTACACTTAACACTAAACCTACCGACGATTTATACCTCCATTACAAGTACCATTTGAACCGGTCAATTTGACCCGCCGGTGGTTTAGCATTAAGTCGAGAATCCCGGCACTGGAAAAGAAAAAAAAAAAAGAGAAAATTGGATAAACGTAAACGTGATATTTATTCCCCGAATCTTTCACATCTTGCATTAAATTACCTGGGTTAATAAACACTTTATGATAGGAAACGAATAATTATCTAACTTCCGTTAATACTTTCAATATCTGGAGACAACTTTGACCGTGAAATACTTCTCGGAGTCACTTCCACTTGATGGTCATATAAGTCAGACAATTTCATTGTCTTTGTCTGACTTATAAGGCCGAAAATCTCTATCGAATTAAGTTAGCCGGTTGCCGAAATACTATCCCGGGTCTTTTCATTTCGATATATTGACACAAGTACGGCGATTCGCGCACGATTTGACAAAGCTCGATTCGCAACGCGCTCGAAATTGCGCTTTGGCGCTAAGCCTAACCTCGATTCCGCGTAATCGTTTGAATTCACCGTCAACTATTCGGAGCACCCCTAATAGGATTCTATCCCCGACAATGTGTCCCAATATTTCCGATCCATTGATGATGCTTTTATATTTAACTCGCGAGCCTTGTGGGACTTGCCAAGGTGCGGATCAATTGACAGGTGCAATTGAACACAAATTGAAAAAAAAAAAACGAAATATAAACATTAAAGAGTCTCTAAATCTTTATCGCGTCAATATTGGCCGACCAAAGGAAATGAATTGCTCGTACGATTTACGTCTTTGCACCGTTTAAATCTAACTTACGGCCTGATTCCCTGTACATGTTAAGAAAAAAAAAAAGAAAAAAATTATGCATTCAAAATTTGTCGTCTAGTCGAAATTTTTGTATAGTTCCAAGGCAGGTCCCACTTACGCTGCCTCGCTTTGTACACTGTTAAAAATGTTTCGGAGTCGCCAAGAATTTCGAGTAAGAATCTATCTCATGGCCGAAGACGGCGAGGGTTCAAATTCGAAAATTCGAGTTCTATAACTCTGGGCGCAGTTTTGGCGAGACTATTGTGCACCGGATTTCGAGATGTTTTCAACAGTGTTGACTTAACCAGAGCATCGTTAATTAACGTCGTAAGTGCAACCGTTAATGTGGTGCGGTGTGTTCCCGGTGGCGGTGGATGTTGTTGGGGTGCTTTGAATCGTCACCGTCCCCGAATTCAGCCCATGAGGTTGTCAATGTGCCACTGCCACAGCAGGACTACGTTCCGTCACTGCCACCACCACCGGGACCATTCACCACTGCCAAAACTCCAAGTACGTCCATGTCTTTAATTACCTTCGGTTACCTTCTAGAGAGGAGGCTCTCACCTCCCAGGAGATGAGATCGCTCGAGTTCGAGGGTGCGACCTACCTCGGTGCTCCACAAGGTGGAGCTTCTTCGGGTCTCTTAATTAAACGACAAAAAAGAAAACGTGTAATTAAATCCGTCGAGTCGAAAAGTGACTAACGATGTCCCTTTTTACCTTCCGCAAGTCCTGCGATAAGGACTATCGTTTTTCTATTTAATTTCGTATTTAGTCTCTACTTAATTTCTATTTAATTTATAATTTAATTGTCGGACCTTGCCGTTTAAGTGGGAGCTTTCGAGATCGATGAGGACTACCGTTTTTCTATTTAATTTCTATTTTGTGGGTATTTAATTTATATTTAATATAGAATTTAATTATCGGACCTTGTCGTTTAACTGGGAGCTTACGAGATCGATGAGGATGATTTAATCGTGGCCCTCTCTCGTTTTTATATTAATTACCCTGGATTTCTCTTCAGAGTGCGACCAGAAATTCGTGAGCAGTCCCGATGGCCTGCAAAATGGAACTTTCCAAGCCCCGACTTTGATCAATCCAGACAGGGAGCCTCGACAGTGCGTTTACACTTTTCTGGCCCAGCCTCATGAACGGGTCGAGCTGGTTTTCACGAATTTCGGACTTCGAGGAACACCGCCGGAGTGAGTTCGACATCGTCGTATAAAGTACTCGACCCTGACGAATTAATTATCCACCGTGGGTTACAATTCACCCTGAGATATAAAAAAAATTGGGGATAACGTTATTTCATTCTTGATTCGGCGGTTGTTGCTTAGACCTCCGATTTGTGCGCTTTCGCACTCACCCAAACTCGAGCCCGACGAGACCATTGTTTATTATAATTAATAAATACAATACGCCGGGAGATTAAGATTACGAATGGTGGTTTCGTTTGGCTCTTGTCTGGGGAAATGTTTCTAAGAGTCGTATAGTCGATAAAAATTCGTGTGTGTTTTGTGACCGCTGCTTTTGATCGGCACAGTGGATCGGCCGTTGGAGAGCTACCCGCGTAAGTATCTTTGTTATCAACGCCGTCAAATTGTAAATATACCTTATCAGTGTATATAAAAAGAATATGAAAGCTGGTACTTCACACCTTTGAGAATTAATTCTAAGACTAATGGCTCCGGTACATAAATTAGATTTTGTTCCACGAGAGGGATTACTCATTTTTTCCACCTCCTAGTGATAAGCGATAAGTCAAGAATTATTGATATCTACTGTGTCACTATTGTGCGGATTGTCTGTTGATTGTATTCTTTGGAAATATTTAACGCGACCATTTGCCCATTTTCGGGGATTCCGACCTGCCATTTTGCTCTAACTGGCCCTTCCGGTTTCTAATCTCCCCGTTTATTGGCAGTTGCTTCCACGAATATATGGACGTTTACACGGAGATACGATCGGAGAATACGACTAAGCTGATAGAGACGCCATTCGGGGGTCGTTTCTGCGGCCCTATTCCACCTCGAAGACGAGTCTCTCTCTATCAAGGAATCGCCCTTAGCTTCTACTCCGATAAGAACATCACCCTGCCGGATCTCTTCGGGGGTCGCTACACCTTCATCAATGCATGTAAGCTGAATCAAGACTCACCCTTAAGCCTTTAAAAAAAAAAGTGTCCCCCGATAGCGACAATAGCCGACGCGCTGAGGGAGAAAATCACTCTCTCTACATATGCGTGTGTATACATATATATAAATAAACATTTTTTTCTATCACAGCCGAATACGAAGTCGGGACACCGGAGCCGAGCATGCCGTGCAGCTTCACGGTAGATGCGGAACACAAACGCAGCGGAAATATACTCTCGCCGACGTATCCTGGGACGTATCCCAAGGACCTCGTCTGCAGCTATCAGTTTATCGGGAAGCCTGGTCAGAGAGTCAGGTTGGAATTTCGGGATTTCGACCTCTTCTTCGGAGGACCTCAGTAAGAAGTGCCCTATTTAACTGCTACCTAGTTATTCATTTAAGATCAGAAAATTGATCCGAAACTAGGCGTGATCTCGTGTAACAAGGAGTGCATGCTTTCCTTGCAGCTGTCCTTTCGACTACGTCAAGGTCTACGATGGATCCAACGATACATCCGCCGTAATCGGCACTTATTGCGGCCAGCAACGAAATCTCGTGCTCTACTCGTCGGAGGCCAATCTCTTCGTCTTATTCGTCACCCTGGAACGCACGGCCAACACACAGAACCGCGGCTTCAAGGGCATCTTCGAGTTCTCGGAGAGCTTCGTCAAGCTCGGTGGGTTTGTTAGTGGTACCGCACGCATTTATTGTTGCAATTGCTGTGCGATTTATTGTATATTTATTCGCCTATCTAGATTGGTCACTCGCTTATTTTTACGGTTTCCAGACTTCATCGTCAACTATGACGGCGAGCACATCCGGGGATCCGAGTGCGACCAGAAGATCCTGAGTAAAAAGGAGTCCTCAGGGTTTGTGGTCAGCCCGAATTTCCCCTACCCTTACGTCCCAAAGGTCGTGTGTCGATACTTCATCTACGGGATGCAAGATTCTCAACACCTGGAGCGGGTTCGGCTCAACTTCACTCAGTTCGAGATAACTAAGGGCGAGACCAAGGGAGAGTGAGTGGAGACTCTTCTCTATCGATCTCTTTAAGGTGAATTTTGTACCGTACTTCCTTTCCTAATACACAGCTCGGCCTGCACCGATGGGTACCTGAAGCTGTACTTGAAGGGCCAGGAGGCGACGGATTCCTACGACAAATTCGACTATGAACTTTGCGGCAACAGTATTCCGAGCCATGTAGTTAGCGATGGGCCGCGGCTCGTTATGGTCTTCAGCAGCGGAGAGTTGCAGGGCAGGGGTTTCAAGGCGAGGTGAGTCCTTGGATGACGGTTTAGATTATTTAAGGAACCTCGGAGTAAATATTTATCCCCCCCGTTTGACTTCCTTCAGGTACAACTTCGAGACCGAATACAGGATACCTGGCACGGCAGCTCCCGATGGCAGCTGCCTCTTCACTTATCGCAGTTCCTCGCGCAAGAAAGGGGAATTCAATTCCCCTAGATATCCTAGTAATTACCCCAGCGACACGGATTGCACCTACCTCTTCCTGGCGACGCCCAACGAGCAGGTTACCCTGGTCTTCGACCACTTCAAGGTCCGCACGAGGAACACGAACCTGACCGTTGGCTTTTACGGGTGAGCCTTGATTTTTCTATATTTTCTACTCGTTAAAAGGTTTCTCCAGTCTCTGGATATTTGGAGAAAAATCCGTAACTCCATGCCGAAGACAGGATTTGAATTCTTTTGGATTATCGCTTCGTCTTCCTCTTCAGCTCCCAACTCTGCCAGGACGACTGGGTCGAGATCTACAACATGTACCGCGACAACACCGAGAAGCTGATCGGCAGGTACTGTGGAATGACTTCTCCTGGCCCTGTCGAGTCCAACCTGGGAGCTCTGGGCTTGAAAGTCATTTTACACTCGGACTCCGAGCTGGTGTATAGCGGCTTCAAGGCTCGCTACACCTTCGAGGTCGCCAAGTCCATCTTCGGAGGTAACTCCCCTCGATTCATCCGACAGTCCTCTGGGGAATTAATTTGCCTGACGATGGGAATTATCTCCAGACTGCGGCGCCAATATCAGCAGCCTGGACTACGGGATGATCACCAGTCCCAACTTCCCCAACAAGTACGACGGACCTGCTCGAAATCTGGCCAGTAAAACCTGCAACTGGTTCATCAGCGTCAAGCCGAACCACCAGATCTTGCTCAACTTCGAGCTCTTCTCCGTGGAGGGCGAACAGTCGGGTAGGAAAAGCCGCTCTCTAGATCCTCTTCGTGTACCTCTTCTACCTCGAGGCAGATTTCCTCATCCTGGGATTTTTATTTCCAGTCCGAGGCTGTCCAGCTGCGGTTCTAAGAATGTGGTCCTCAGTGTCGGATCCGCCAATCGAATTGTGTGGAGTCAAGACTCCCGACACCAAGTGGACCTACCTCTCGGATGACAACAACATGCGCCTTAGGTTTGACATCATGTACCTCTTCGTTATTTTTCTTTTATATCTCCTTCGTATCTTGCTTCAAGGTCCCATCTCTGCAAGGACGGCTGGAGCTTTTAAGCTGTACTTAATTTCTACCTCGCGCGCCCTTTTATTTACCTCTTCATCTTCCTCTTCAGCTTCATCTCGGCGGACAAGGCGGTCGGTCAGCAAGGCTTCCGAGCTGTCTGGACGGAGGTGACCGTCGGCGAAGATTGCCCGAGCCAGTTTTTATGCAGCAGAAACAAATACTGCATATCGGAGAGACTTCGCTGCAACGCGATCGACAATTGCGGCCCTGAAGACACGTCCGACGAGGAGAACTGTAAGTGCCCAAGTTAAGTGCACTCGTCGAGATCAGTACGTATCGATGTTCCACCTCGCTTCCACTTTAGTCGCGATAATCCACCCTTTACTATACTTTGCCTTTTGATATTAGCTGTAATCTTGCATACCGTCGATGCACTCCTCCGGGTCGGTTCACCATCTTATCGAAATTGGCGGTACTTCTCTCTATAATCTTTTATATATTAAAAAACGACACATACATATATGCATTCTCACATACACATGCATACTCGGTTCTTCATCTAATCCGACCATACCATGTTCAAGTCCAGCCGAGATATCGACTTTCCAAAGTCCCTCCGCAACACTCTCTCCATGGTCCACCATGAAGACTACCTTGCCAAGTCCTCGAGGAACCGCTTCACCTCCGTTAACCATTTGGATTAACCACGAAGAGACGCGCGTTAGCGGCTTGCAGTCCACTTTTACCATAGATACTGCACGATGCATGCGTTTCTTCTGGGTAAGACCTCCCGAAGCTTTTCATTTTGCCCCGGCCCGGTTCTAGGATGAGCTCTTCAGGGTCGACCTGGCTCATTGGGCTCGCCTGGTGCGGACGTTCCCTTTTTACGAGGTGGTTCGCCCTGGTCGAGACCAGGGACCCAGTTCTCGAATTCGTACGATCAGTTTTCGCACGTGGAATTGACTTTCTCGTATAAGACTTCCAAATGTTGGGCAATTACGCGACTTCGCACGATTGGCAAATTTTCCTTCCTTTCGTATGGGAATGAAATCCGTACGAACTCGAGACCTGGATTGAGGTCGACCTGAAGATGGGAAGCTTTTTGGTAAGTAGCATCCAGGTAGATCCTAGGCCTGCGTAGAAGAGAGAGAAAGTGGTAGGATTGGGTGGGTGAATGGTTGTGTGGTGTCGCAGGTGCAGCATCGGCCCCGTTGGCACCAGCACTCACAGGAGTCTCTGCCACGCTTCTTCTCTCTCTGTGCTTTGTGTTCGTGGCCATCTGAGCCCCTCTCGAGGCTCCCGACGATCCGGCATGTTATGATCTCCCTTAACAAGTGAGTCCACTCACGATTTTCCAACAGCGCAAATTCGAGGCGGGAGTACCAAAGTAAACTAGAAAGAGAGAAAGAGGAAAAGAAATGGTGAATCACTAAGCACGGCGCAATATGCCCTGAAGAGACCCTCTTCGGCGTCGGCCTAAAGGAAATTCCAAAAGTAATGGTGTTTGTCGTTAAAAGGGATTATTTAGAGCGTGGGAAGAGGGCCTCAGGGTCTCTCAGCTGGGCGATTCCAGGAATTCGAGTCATAGAGGTCGTCTTCAGGGTGAGAAGTATCGGTAGACGGCACTGACCTACGCCAGTAGGTACGACTATTCACTTTCTTCAGACCCTCGAGGATACGTACGTGCATGAACACAGGACGAATGCGATTTGTGATATGCCTTTTATATTACATATCTATATATTTGGATATATATACATATACATGTATTACGTATATATCTTTGATGAGTGCATGCGAATCTTCTTGTGCAGGTCTTGCCACACGTCACTCTCGACCCTGATTATATCTTTCTATTTACCTCCACGTATCTATTTTCTGATCTTTCGCCCCTTCTTCAGGGGCTTCCTCGTGGTCCCTTAAAAGAGCACCTTGTCCGAGAGCGTGCAACTAATGCCAATATCTAACGTGGTCGTCATCGGTCCGTTGGGAGTTGACTAACCTTTTATTAATCATTATTAACCAAACCGTGTGTTACCAGTAATTGATTTACACTTCGAGTATTCGTTGCTGAAAATTGCGTTGCCGAGTAGTTGCCGCATATTTTTCGTATTTCCGTGGCACACTGCTAGTCAGAAGTCTCGCAGTAGAAGAGAGTTCTCCGATTTAATCGCCGGTCGAGCTTACCAGTTACCTTCTCAGCTACAAGTACCGTAGAAACGCTGTAGAGGCAATTTGGATGATTAGTAACGAGAAATATCGACAAGATTAAGGAATAATATTAATCGAGTCGCGCATAGATCAGCGTCACCTCGATCTCGATTCGTGATCGATAAGGAGATTTACCGTTTCCGAGTTGCTATATGTATTATGTACACCCTTCAATATTAAAACAAACCCTCGGGATGAAGAATCAATTCCAAATACAGGGCCTTCCTCCGGAGGTCTCTCTAGGAACCCGATTTCGAAATAAGACAAACGATCTCAAATTTATAAGTAATTTAGTCGAATTGAAAATCAATCCCGAAATCCCGAGCGAGTATTCGAGGAAGTTCATTAAGCAATTATGGTGGTTTAGATTTAAAGAGCCGTATAAAATATTGATATAAAATGAATTAATTTAAATTCCTGAAATAAGTGACATTTGAAATCGGAAATTCCACTGGAGATGAGCCCTGGGTATTTTCAATGTTCGTTTACGATATAGGCAAATGTCGATATTCCGCATGAACTAAGTGCTCGACTGATTACAGGTAAAATGGTGGCTCCGCCGGACAATTACGCAGTTCCCGTGGGGTGCGCGGCAGGTGCCGTCCTGATGGTGGTGCTCCTGTGCCTGGTGTGTCACCAGAGGTTGAGGAGACGAGGTCGCGAGGTGCCGATCGACGACCTGGAGCAGCGGGTAAAGGATCGCCGACTCTGCTACCACCACCACCACAGCCTGCTGCACCATCACCAGAGCCACAACCATGGGCACAGCCATGGGTTCAGTCAGTACCAGCTGCAGCAGCCCAGCCCGCCCAGCGAGTCGGAAGTGGAGCACGTTTGTGCGGACGAAAGGGACGACCAGGACGAGCAGGACGAGCAGGAGGAACAGGACGAGGCCAGCAGCCCGGACAGCGTGTGACCGTGGTGTCTGGTTCTAAGATCGACTCGGTCTTCCTGGCGGTTGTCTTTGAAGGTGTCGCTGGTTCCGCTGGATTCGATGATCCTATTGATTGTACCGGTCCCAATGGTCCGGTCCATGGTTCCATTGGTACCGCTGGTACTACTGGTTCCTCTGATTCCGATGATCCCATTGCTTGTACCGATTCTAATGATCCGGTTCATGATTCCATTGGTATCGCTGGTCCTACTGGTTCCACCGATTCCGATAGATCTACTGATTATATTACTTGTACTGGTTACAGTGGTCTTGTTGATAGAGGTTCTAGTGGTTCCGCTGGTACCACTGGTCCCTTTAATCGGAAAAGCCTCAACGACTCCATCGAATCCAGCGGGTCCATCGCCACTCTTCGCCGCGTTCCTTCCAGGACTCTTATCTAAGTCGTTGTTGTTATCGCTGTCCATCGAGGGCAGCCGAAGAGGCCCCGGTTGTCCCACCTCCTGGTGGACACCTCCTTCGAGTGGCCAAGATCCGATTTCTCGAGAACCTCGAGCCCTGCGAGACGTATCTCGTGTGGCGTTACACGAGTCTATGCGTACTAGTATAGGAACTCGAATCGTCATTTTTAGGGCTACTCTGATTTTACGCTCTCAAGGCCTCCTAAGGTGGAGGGAAGCGTCTCCTCGTCGTACAGGAACTCGAATTAAAGGGTTTCATTGTATGAGCTTCTTCGGGGACGCTCGAAAACCCGAGAGGGGGGAGCCTCGAAATTGTTCCTTTGTGCTCGAGGCTCTGCGAGGATTGTTTCTACTTATATTTCGGGAACGAGAGAGGGGCGATCTTGAAGAAGCTGGGTGGATTTTGCAACCGTCAAGGGACTCGTCAGGGAATCGAGCGACCGATGTACCCTGAGGAAGGTCTCGAGGTGCGTCTCGAAGACGTCACGGATTTCTTTTTCCCTTCGTACGGCGGGATTTCGGGACACTCCACGATTGTACAGACCGGATCGAGTTTGCTCCGATTCCGTTTTCCTCGCTGCTAGTCGGCTGAATGGTCTGGAGGTTTCGGGAATGGAATATGGAAATTGTATGGAAATCCGAAGGGACTCGGGGACGGTGCTCGGCACTCTTGGCCTTGCTTTTACACGAAATTTCACCGACTTTTGATATTTGTACACAGACTTCTGGATGAGAATGGGCGGGCTCGGATCAAGCTCAAACTTCACTCGATGCTCGTAACCTAGGACTTGGAAAACGCGTCGACTGATATGTGTAATCCGTTTTTTAAAACGCGCGGCTCGACGCCGAGGAGGGGATTTTTAATTTAACGATAGGAGCAATTAATGAGACCTCGCGTTTGCGGGGAAAGAAAAAGAACAAACGAGGGGAGCCTTTTCTAAAGAGCCTTATCCACGCGAGGTCGAGGTTCTAAGGTGGGACAAAAAACTGGCATCCAAGAGGTCTATCGTTTGTTAAACTTTTCCACAAACTGGGCCTTACCGAATCTATTAAACCTTCACAACGCGAATGTGGAGGCTGTAAGGAAGGTCCTGACACTCATGAAATTTCATTTTTTATAACAAATTAAAAAAATACCTCTGAACAAATTTAAAAAAAAGTTGAAACTCCATCAGTTTCAGGACCTTTCTTAGACCCTGGATTTTTATCATTGTAAAGTTTTAGACAATTCCGTACATTCAGTTTGAAGAAAAGTATCATGAACCATTTACCCCTCGGATGCCACTTTCATGTCCCCTTAACGTCTGGCATGGCGATTGTGTATTTTTTTTTTCTTATCACTATGCACGCTTTCCTTCGGACGCTGTCAGCGCGCAGAATCAGAGTAGGACAGATATAGGCGTAAGCATGAGTGTTGGTCTAACTCTAAGGGTCTAAAGCGAGGTAACGATCGCCGACCAATGTGGCGATATAAGAGCGCTAATCATTCGATACTCTGCGTCGGGACTCAACGCATGTATTTTTTTTTTTTTCCCACCAGCACGGTTTCCTAATTTCTACGACCTGGTTTCCAGACTCGAGGAACCCTACGTCTCGGAGTTCGACATTTGTACGCCATTTTCGTCATACGTGGGGATGGTGTGGATCTTGAGCGCGTCCAGGAGGAAAAAGTTGACCTCGTAGAAGGGAATCCCCCGGAGAGAAAAAAAAAAGAAATACACTCGCCTTGGAAGACAACCATCCGTCGATATCTTCCTCGGTCGACACTCCGGAGTCTTCTTCGACGAGGTCGATTTTCGTTCCCCTTCCTGGGGATTTTTCTTCGGCGACGTTGCGGGTAACGTCGTCGTTGGTTTTGTCGGCGGCGAGAGACAAGGCGATTCGACTTCTTCTTCTTTTTTTTTTTTTTTTTTTCATTCGTGCAGATCGTTTCGGCCTCGCTAACGTTTCGGGCTTTCGGCGGATCGTCGGTAGGTGGTCGATCATCGATCATCGAGATCATCGACACTTTTATCTCCGTGATAAGGGGCGTCAGAGCTCGCCTCACGAATCTGGCTTTTTAGGGATCCTGCCAATGAATCTCGAGTTTTTCCTTCCCTTTTTTCATTTCCCCTCGTACGTCTAAACGCGAGCGACCTCGCTACGAGAAACATCACTTAACGATATTTAGTTCCATGTTGTCAGTCTTACGAGATTAGCGGAAACTAATTACCAGGGCACTGGGAAGTAGGTCTCGCGATAAGAACGATATCGATTGTCGATCTCCTAAATTCTAAATGCGAGGGCGAGTATAACGATAAGGGGGCTGGATTTTGGGTCATTTTTGATAACAGCTCTCGACGATCGTTCTGTCGATTGGTTTGGTGATGAATAATTTCCATGATAATTCGCCGAGAAAGAAAAAAAAGAAATATATATATATATATTCATGAATAGCTCAACGCTGGCTGCTTGATTCATGATCTCGACATTCGAGTACCTATTTTCAATTTGTCTCAGATTCGCTTAGCGGTCGCCCGAAAGTCGCCCAAAATCCGGCCTCCTCGGTCTCTAGCTAATAAGTACTAAATAACACACAAAATATATAATATATATATATATGTATATTTCACATTAAATGCTGCCATGGAGCTATACCGAAGTATATTCTAAACTATTATAAAGGTAAACGAAAGAAAAGAAAAGAAACAAAAAAAAAAACACACAAACACACAATCGTACTGTACATCGTGCACTGGATAGAAATTCTGGGAGGAATTTCCTTGCGAAGGAACGCTCGCAGGCCGAGGCGGCATTGCGGGTGACTGATGTGACGTAAGAGCGCGAAAAGCTAGGGAATATAAGAGAGGAAAAAAAAGAGAGAGAGAGAAACAAGAAAGGAGGGACATTCTTCTCGAAGCGATAGTGCCGAAGACAAGTGATAACGCATTAAGTTGCTCGTCGCACTCCGCAGTATTTCTTAAGCGCAATTTTTACGTTTTGTAGGCTCCCACGTGGGAGGAACGTAACCGCAAGTGTAATTTAGTAGGGTTTACACGTACGTCGGACCGCTGTGTTCAATTTGTTTAAAACGAGCGAAAGAAGCGATCCCAGGGTGTACTCGCGGGCGATTAGGTTCACAGCTTTCGCTGTTTTATCGACTGCAGTCTGACCCGCTTCGACTCTCGACATACTCGAAGAAGGTGTTAAAGGAGAAAAATGTCGCAGCGCTTTCGCCCGAACCGATCGAGCCTCGGCGACGATGACACGGTCGTAAAAATGTCTAAATTTTCGCCTCGTTCCCCACGCGGAATGTCGCGAGCCTTCGCCTCTCCGTGCATTGAACATCTAATTGTTACCTTAAAATTCGCAAGAGAATGCCCTGAATTTTTTTTTTTCTTTCCTCCTTTTCATCTTTCCACGTGGCGCGTCGTTTATATTCTCCCTTACTCGCGACGTCGATTCGCGCGAAATCGCTGCTAACCGCTACGTAGAACGTAGCGGCGGGAGATATTGTTATTAACAATGTACAGCGTTTGATCAATGCACTTTACACGGGTACCGGTTCAATGGATGAGCGCAGGCGACGCGACATATACCATTAACTTTATTCAGTGCATCGTAGGTAAGACACACATGCGATATTACAATCTATGCATGTCTCTTCGAATGAGATCAAGAAGGGGAGATAGAAGTGAAGACGGTCTTTTCTTTTCGGCCGTGAATCGCGCTGAAATCGTTCGATCGCGAAACAGAGAAGAGTCTTCCGAGAGGGATTCGATCGGAAATTTTAATAATTTTAATATACATTGTATGTAAATCTCGCCCACCACGTTTGGGCACTCACGAGATTAACTACCGGACGCGGTGAAACGAATATACATAATATACATAACACCATATACATATATACATATATATATATTTACATCTAGAGAAATTTTTCTTTAAGAAAATAAACGTGTAAACTTGATTCCGCCACTGCTGTCCTGGTTATCCAGTTGCGATTTGCAGGTGTCTCCGATCGGAGCCCTAAAATTCTTTGGGCTTCGCAATGATATTGTCCGGCTGAAGAAACGAAGACGCGCTCTTTTAATTTATTCACACTCCGTTATAACGAGGGCATGAAAAAGGTGCGTACCGAAACTCCTGTAATCGATAAGTCGAGCGCTCGATCGAATCCCTTCGGGACGAAGCTCGGACGAAGTCTGCAGTCCTGTATAAAAAGTAAACCATCGTTAGTGTAATATTACGCATCCGTGGAGAGACCAAGAAAACTACGTTTCCTGATGGGCCAAGTCTGGGGTGAAATTCGAAGTGTAACGATATTTTATGAGAGCCGAGGAAGTAGCCGCATGTACTCACCCATCGTAGTCGTAGGGCACGCGCGACGCTCGTGGAAAGTATGCAGGCCGCGGCATTGAGTCTTCGAAAAGGAGAGCGAAAGAAAGAATAGAGAGAAAAAAAGGAAAACTAAATTATAAAGGTAGGAAAAAGAATTCACGTACTTACCTTACGACGCGCGGGTCTCATTGGCTGCTTTTATACCTGCCGAGACCACGTGACCATGCCCACGTGACCAACACCACGTGACCTACACCGAGCGTAGAATGCCGCCGCCTGCACGCGACTAGACATAAAGTGGGAATCGTACCAAATATTTTAATATATCCGTAGTGTCACACTAAACTTAAGGTAAAAAAACCTATTACCGGGAAACACGCACTTTTGTAATCGAGAGACGAGTCCTTGGAAATACATCCGACGTGGCCTCGCAAGGCTCGCGCCTCGAGTTCCCCGCGACGTTCCGTTTTCCCTTCGACTCTCCGAAACCCGCGTGGCCCGATCCTCTGGAGGTATTTCCATCCGTCGTTTCGTTGGACACTGTAAATACCATTAATTGTTTAATGCTCTTGTCAAGAAAAAGGTGCTATCGAAATAAGTTCAGAACGATTTCATTGGATTAAGCCTTGGGGTCGATTCGATTCCATAGGCCAGTCTCATCCCGACGTCCACGTTCCTCGGGATCTTTCCTTCTGTCAGATAAAAGACGGCCTGGAGAGATAGGGTGTTGATTTCTGCGATTCCGAGCAATCGGTCGGCAAAATCAACCGCGGGCTTGGGACTTAGTTGCTCCGTCGATGGTGAAATAAATGTCTGCACAGATTATACAGCTACTCGGTTATAACAAATTCCGTGCTTCTAACCCGTCCGCTCAGCTCGCGTTCTGAAATTCGGTTCAGCTATAACTTTCGGTGGCGTTGATCCCCTTGAAAGCCACACAGTGGTTCGCCAAAACGTCCCTGCCGATGTAGAAAGCATCGGCTGGACGTTTCTTATATATCGCTAACACAAGGGCAAAATTCTCGCTCCCTAAATAGTTACGGGTTAAAGAAACCTGTCACACTGCGTAAGGTAATGTAATTAATGTAAGTAGTAAGTATAGCATTTACACACATTGTTAATCAATCTAGAGACCATTGTGCGCGATTTGTCTATGTGGTGTCTATGGAACGAAACCTCGGTAACGAGAATAATACATTTTTTTAATCAAACAAGAGTCCATTGACTTCGACGTACCTGTACATTCGTATTGTTCTAATCGCCCTCTTCTCTAAGAAACTCGGGCTCAAGGAAACACAACGTGTAGCCAGTATCAATGGGTCTATTGATATAAAATATCGTGGTATGTACACGTGGACAGTGCGTATAAATGACAAGTTAGGTGGAAAACGCATTACCGAAACGTGTATCTACATCCTCCCGCCTAATTACTTTCCAGGCTCCCTTCGGATACAGAACGTCGAGGATAATTAACGTAAATCTTCGATTCCTCGCCACCGTGGAACCAGCTTGACACGTAAGCTTCCTCGTAGACGACCTCCATAAATCTCCAGATTCGAAATACAAGTCCTACGTCTACAAACGGCAGCGTGACGTTTTTCATTCCGAGCTGGATATCCCGAATCATTTATAACATCACCACGTTAATACAGAAGCCCTAAGAAAGGTCCTGACACCCATGAAATTTCATATTTTTTTGTTACAACTTGTTTATAAACATTTCATTAGTTTTTCATACTACCGTAAATACTTTTAACGTCGATACGTGATCAATTCCTGGATACATTTCGAATTTGGAGACACGCGACACGGCGTCCTGGCACTTTTACACTAATCCGAGTCTCTGGCGAATTATCATCTCATTATCACAGGACCGACGTCCGATCACCAGGTTCGGTAGCTACGGCTAACAGCGTTAGTTAACATCCATGCGATATAAACAACAAATACGCCGCGTTATCAAAGCACGAGTTCGTTACAAAAAATACCGCCTACCAGGGATGGATTATTTTTTAACGTCTCTTCTAAGCCCTCGGTAAAGGCGTGAGAAATAGAAATTGAGAAGGAAAGTTCGATGTACCGAACGCAATTATTTTTCACCGGTCCCCCCCGTCTCCCTCTCTCTCTTCCCCTCGTTACGTCGCATCTTGCAGTCTTACTGTCTAAATGCCGTGGCGTAGAAAAATATTTCATTTCGTACTTAAAGGCAACTTAAATACTAATCGCAAGCCTCGGTCTCGCGCGGCCGAGCCGCGCGATCCCACGCTCGAAAATTGCACCAATTCGTAAAGCTAGATCGTGATAACACGGGCCAGCTGATAACCGTCCTGGGGAAAGCCTCGAGCCGACACGCGTCTGCGAGTTCGCGTTCCCAACAGTTCAAATTCCGAGTATAAACGGCCCGCCGATTGCATTAACTTCCTTAATAAAAAGAAAAATCGTAAAACTCGAGTCTCCTCTCATTCCGCATCCACGCTCTCGTCAGCTCGCCCTCGTGGAATGCCTCGCGAATAAATAAATAAAAAATAACTTAGCCTCAACATCCGCGCAAAATATACGCTGCGAAAAAGAAAATATATATATAGTATATACATATATAAATATGCGCGTGTATATATATATGTATATATATTGTTATTTACAGTGGCAGCGATATTCCGTTCACGCGACGTTGCAAAGTGGGCCGAGCCGGATAAATCATTTCCTGGAGTCTCTCGGCGGTACTTACGGCGTTAAAATTAATCTCTCTCTATCCCTTCCTACAATACTACTCGTCGAGAGTAGTCAACATGAAGTATTAGCCGAGTCTAATACTACCTTACGACCGAGTATAACCGATCGGCGGGTCTAACAAGGTCCGATAATTCGAATCATAACGCAGCTCTCGTATACTATCCTCGTTAATAAACGTTTCTCAGTCTTATTCGTGTTATCGTAATTCGGTAGAAATGCATTTGGCCAATTAAACCGTACCCGTCAACAACGTAGCTCCCCGCGAACGTCGAACATGTCGAATGCACAATAAGCGATTCAACGGTCTCGCGGTAACGTAAACTTCGCACCGGAAGTCTTAAAAAATTCGACATATCAAGATACACCTAGAGTCGCACTTCCTCTTCGGCACAATTTGACGCGTCCCTAACGTATCGAGATACCTAGAGCGCTTCCTTAACCAATTCTCAATTTATAGACAATTCTAAACATAACCGATAACGTGAGACTCGCCCCCCTAGACCTGGACGTACTGCTCCTCGTCGGTGTCGCCATTGTCGACCTTTTTCTCGACGTAATTCCGATTGATCTTTTCGTAATCAGGATCGACGTTCCTGGCTCGTTTCACCTTCTCGTAGCCGTCCGGGTTATCGGGTTTGTAGCTATTGACTTGTTCGTAAGGAGGATCCTCGGTTTGCGCCAGACTCATGTACTTGACACTCTCGTAATTCGGATCCCCATGGCTGACGGACTCGTAGTTGGGGTCCGTATCGCTGTCCCCAGGTCGGCACACGGAGGCGTAGTTGGGCTCTCCAGGGTCATGGGGCATGCTCTCGTAGTTCGGCTCCGAGTCCGTGTCCAGGTCCAGGTCGACTCTCCTGCGAAGCCTTACCCTCTCGTAACCCGGGTCCTCGCTGCTCGCGTTGCTGGTCTGGCGGTGCTTCAAGGAGGTCGAGTACATCGCCAGCAAATCGCCGTTCCTGGCAGCGGAGGAGCCGACCTGGTGCTCGTCCTTGGAGTACTGAGGCCGTAGCACCTCGTAGTTAGGATCGTTCCTAGAAATGGACCTGGTTATGGGAATGCTCATGCGACTCGAGCTCACCGCCTCGTATCCGTGGTCCAGCTCGAGGCTCAGGCGACGAGCCGTGAGGTCACACTTCCTCGGGGCCGCTGGCTGGTCCTGGTCGACGACCTCCACTCCGGCGACACCCTGGGAACTCAGGGCGTTGGAGTGCTGCAGGGGCTCGGGCTCCCTTTTCTGGATCTCCACGGAGTCGTGGCTGCTCCAGGAGGCGCGACTGATTTCCACGAGACTGAGCTTCCTGCAGGGGAAGGAAGACACGTCCGTACTGGAAGTCGTGCTAGTGCTCGTCTGGCCGTCCAGGGTTCCATCTTCCAGCTCCTTCTTCTTCTTGATGACCTTCGCGTACATGTCCTCCAGGGACTTCCCCGAGGAGACGCTAGATCGCGATCGGTCGTCGGTTTTGCGCTTGTCGATCAGAGCATACATGTCTGATGTTCCCTCCGGAGGTGGTGGTAACGGAGAATTGGCTTGACGTTTCTCTGGCTTCGGGGAGCCCAGGTTGGCTACGGAGCTGGTGGCACTTGAAGATGACGCTGTGAATAGGTATTTTTTTCTCAAAATGTCCTGGTTATTCCACAGAATGTCATCATGACTATGTCACTGTTCGCACCTTGTCTAGAGTGAGCATGGGCTACGTGGCGTAGACTGTCGACACTGGGTGGTTGAGGAGCAGCCACATGGGATTCATCAACTCGTAGGGGTTGGCTGGTACTTGGATGTTCAGTTTGGACAACTCGGACTGGGTCTGCTGTCATTGGTTGGATCTGAGCATAAGTTTCACTACCACTGGTGTACACCTTTTCTTGTTCATCGATGGCAGCATACATCTCGTCTGATTAATACGTTATTATTTATTACTATCACGTGCTATTACATTAGTATTTAGTATTTAATCCAAGAACTATCTTTGGATTACTAAATAGATATACCTGAGTCATCCGATACTGTAGCATAATGTGGATCGGTGAGAGCTCGTGTTGCGTGTCGCTGCTGATGTGCCGCTTTAGTTTGTGCTAGTATATTTGCCAAAGGTTCTCTTACACTGATACTCGTGTAGCCCTCTGCGAAACGAAGATTTTTAAAACCAGGGTTCTAATTTATGAAAGAAAAATCAGAACACGTACTTGAGTCCTGAGAGTCTCCGCTGAAATGTTGCTGAGGACTGCTACCGTGTTGAGGCTGCGGAGGCTGAGGCAGAGGCATCAGTATTGGTGGTGTCATGTAAGGTAAATCTTGATTGGCATGGACACCTCCGCTGATAGCTGTAGCAGCTTGAATATCGGACACAGGTTCCACTGTTAGTAGTGAATTTTGTGACGATGACTTTCGGGTTCTTGGAGGAGCGACTGGATTTACACTTGGCTGGCTATTTGACGTAGATGGCTTGTTACTATCCATTGCATGGGTGGCAGTACTTCTGTGGTTGTAAAAAGATTTAATTCCTTAGAACTTTTAAATAAAAAGATATATAAACTAGATAGAATATTTTTACCTAGTTGGTTGATCACCATCAGTCTTTTGAATATTTTGAAGTTGTGCATAAGGATGTTCATCTAGGATATGGAAATCATCATCGAATATAAATACTGGTGCTTTAGAACTGTTTATTATATTATGAATTCGAAACCTCACCATTGCTTCTGTCAGGACTCTTGAGCCTCGCGTAAGGAGATACGCTGTCATTTTGTAACAGAGTGCTTTCTTGGGAGGTGTCCTGTGCTTCTTGCTCGGTTTTCCGTGCATCACCTACAAAATTATGGTAAGTAATATATAAATGAAATATTCTATGTTTGGAACGTACCTTTTTCTTTCACCGTAGCATAAAGTTCTAATGGATCCCCAGCAGTCTCTGTCACTTCATAAATGGCATCTTGAGGATTCGATGTAATTCTGTTTTCTTGATTGGCACTTCTATCCTTAGGAATATCCGGAAGACTTCTGTTAGCGCTGCTTGTTGATCTGAGAACAAATTATAGTAATAGTTTTTAAATTTTACTGGGAGTATGGACATGCAGGAATATCGGATCTATGTTTCAAACCTTTTTCCAGCATCTGTGGAGTCTTGTGAAACAAGTTGGGAGACATCCGACGTCGGTAGCCTGTTAAAACCTTCACTATCAGAATGGGTGATCGTTACCATACCTGCAAGCCCCAGAAACTCGCTCCTGTTGCAACAAGTATACTATTACAATCAACTGTCTCACCGTTAATTTGAAAAAAAGAAAAATACACTTACTTATTCTCATTTCTTCGACAGCTGCAGATACAAGCTACAACGAGACCGACAAAAGACAGCAATGCTCCGGCCGAAACGAGCCAGTAACACCAGACGTCATTTTCTAAGAAAGGATGTACCATGTTCTCTGTTTACTGGCTAACTTGTATTGCAAACCTTGAAACATAAAAAAAATATTAGCCTACTCACATATACTAAATACAAATAAACTGTTTATACATACCCAAAACAGAATGCAACTGTTCTCAACCAATTGCTAATCGACTCATGCTGTCCTAGCCTTGCGCTACAAGTTCTTAATCAAGGTTTTACCCAGCACATAATCATCATGATACAGATGTACACTGGCCAATTACCTAGAACGATCACGATCCATTTTAGTTATCTGTCTTGTTCTCAATTTCTGAAGTATGCAACTGGCTTGAAACACGAAGAAAAAAAATAAAATTCACTTCCTGTCGTCGTATACCTTAAAAACTTTTCGTTGCCTCTTTCAACTATTCAATATTAGTGTGTGAAATAAAAGAACCTGTTCTTAGGAAGATTCAGCCTGAGGTAATGGATCGATCACCAGTGACGAGCCTCTGCCTGACGACACAATTATTGTCAAGCCGTTTCTTCACAGTTCTTCAGTTTCATAACCTCAATCTGAGCATAAACAGAACAAATTCATCACGAGCTGCTGGTGACATTTTGAATGCATCCCCTTTCGTGAAATATCAGAGATGATCGAGGTGGAGAACTTGATCAGTATTCGATGCCTCAGGGTAGTATTATCCGTATCGTAAAGAAATGTTTCCGATGGCATTACTATTCCATTGACACCCATGGGCGTAGGATGTTCGGAACAATCTAGTTATTAATGTGCTCTGTCCGGTACTACCTTTTATGTAAAAAGATACACATTACAAGTACTCCAGCTATTTCCTACTTTCCGTCACGCTTCCACTGATGAGCGTGTATACGCAGCGATGCATCATATATATTTTTAACAAACCAATATGGCCAACATCGTGCCCGCACAGAGAAGTGTATGTACAAAAAATATTCACATCTGTATTTTTATGAATTAATTAATTGTCAATAAAATACCGTCACTGTCAGAGATAAATTGGGAGATTGCTCACGGGCAGGATCGTGCGATCGCATCCTGTGCTGCCCTCTGGTTTCGTACGTTAGCTTTCACCGTTTTTTGCCCCCAAGGGCGGCGCAACGAATTTCTGATAGGAGCTCGCGCACTTGCGATGGCGGTACCATCTACCAGTCGCCGTTGGCGGCTCACGGTATTACCATCACGAGTATGTGAACCGCCAACGGCGACTGGTAGATGGTACCGCCATCGCAAGTGCGCGAGCTCCTATCAGAAATTCGTTGCGCCGCCCTTGGGGGCAAAAAACGGTGAAAGCTAACGTACGAAACCAGAGGAGAGCCATCTCCCAACTCATCTCTGGTGCCTACGCACAGCTGCTACTCACAGCTCAAATTTCCGCTGTCCTTTCCGTTAGCGTTCACCAATGAAAGTGTCGATTTGTATGATCATCCAATCATATTAGAGAGAGAATGTACTTCACTAATATGATTGATCATTCCCATGTATCGTTAGTATCATTGCTTGGTACAACGGAATAAAGATGGCGGATGGAAGCTTGAACGGAACGAGGTTTGATTACAGCGCCAACTGTATTCAAATGTCAAGCGCGGCTTTTAGCCGTTGCATTGATATTGAGGTTATGGAATAGTAATTAAAATTATTTTTTGAAAATATGGATAAAAGGAGATTTCCCATTCGTAAGTTATCGGTTGTAAACAATTCTACTGTATAAATCAGTAGTAGCAATTTTTTTTAGTTTTTCTACTGATTTCCAAGCAACCTAATGATTGTTTATCTTCTTACAGGTAATAACAGTTTAATTTATGAAAATTCCTATAATAATGGTACATGTAATAAGTGAAGATGCATTCTTTGGGGAACAGTACTCTCAGTGCATTTTTAAATGCTGAAAGCGTTCCTGTGGAAAAGCCTTCGAGAGTCTTACGAAGCACCTCAAAATGTCAACAAACATCAGCAACTCATCCTCCCAGAGAAGATGAAAGCGACTTAGAAAAGTATTTTAGGGATAGCGTAACGTTTTGGGAAAATGGGAGTAAAAGAAGCCAGTCTAGCAAGAGAAATAAGTCTGCGCTTAGCTTAATATTAGATACTGCTAAACAAAATGGCAAAACGAATCATGTTGCAAATAACTTTAAATGTATTAATGGTGATGTACTAGAAGATTTTAAGGAAAATAGAAACGATGACAGGAATAGTTCAATAGCAAAAAAGTGTAAGCTTTCAAAATCAGTTAGAGAGCTAGGCAGAATTAGTGAAGGAGATTTAAATATATCGAATATTAATAAAAAGAAACCAAATGTTAGAAATCATGAGCAACAAGAAGAGGTTAACAATAAGAAACTTAATATTCAAAATAAATTTAATGATATCAGGAATATCAGTTCAAAGTCTATTAACTTAGTAAGTACAGAAAAGGGTGAATCAATTATAAATGGCTCAAAAGTTGATAACGCTCCATTAGAATCCATGAATAATGGTTCGACAAGAATTTCACATCAATGTAGTAATTCAAGTCTACCTTTCCGAGTACCTACCCAGGACCAGTGCAAATTAAGTGCTTGGGGATTACCGCCTTCCATTCTTGAGGTACAATATTTTTCATATCAGATTGTGTTACATTGTGTACAGAATCAATTAAAGTCGTTTTTTAGAGATACGAATCCTGGGGGGTAACCAGTATGTTTCCATGGCAAGTTGAATGTTTATCCAACCACAGAGTAATCGAGGATTATCGAAATCTTGTGTACTCCGCTCCTACATCTGCTGGGAAGACCTTAGTAGCAGAACTTCTCATGATTAAGACAATCCTGGAACGTCAAAAAAAAGTTCTCTTTATACTGCCATACGTCTCTGTTGTACGAGAAAAGATGTTTTACTTTCAGGTATGTCTATCGTTCAATGGTTTATGCAGTGATTAACAAAATATAGAATATCTTTACTCTTCAGGACTTATTATCAAATAGTGGAGTCAGAGTGGAAGGTTTCATGGGAGGTTTGGCACCGCCTGGAGGATTTGCAATGACTCATGTTGCGATAGCAACCATTGAGAAGGCAAATTCATTGATTAATCGTTTAATGGAAGAAGGTGATTTATATACCCTAGGAGCTGTCGTAGTTGACGAGTTGCATCTTTTGGGTGATCCAAGTCGTGGTTACTTGTTAGAGCTGCTCCTCACCAAATTAAAATATATGGGGTTTCGGTAACTATCTAAAAGTATTTTTACGTTTGTTGTCCACTAATTTAATTATTCCATTTTCGAAGGGATGATCGCGTCAAAGTGCAGTTAATAGGTATGTCCGCTACACTCCCAAATCTGTCTCTACTGGCAAGATGGCTCGATGCAGAATTATACAAAACAGACTTCAGACCAGTTCCATTGAACGAACACTGTAAAGTATGTAATTACTTATGAATCGATACTTGTAAGCTGAATTGTTCATCTCAGTTGAGTCACTTTTCAGATCGGTACGACTATATACAACAAAGAACTTCAACCGATAAAAGTTCTGACATCCAGCCCGGATTTGTCATCAGATCCTGATAACATCATACAATTATGCATAGAAACCATAGCAGATGGTCACAGCGTATTAATTTTCTGTCCTACGAAAAACTGGTGCGAAAAGTTAGCTCACCAAATGGCTGCTTCCTTTTTCAAACTAGGTTAGGTCAACATTTATGGTCTCCTTCATCACTATAAACTTTCGTCTTATTAAAATATTTGTTAAGACTTATATACATAGCAATTGATAACTTTAACGATTTAGGTCGCGACAATACTCCTATAGGACAAATTTTGAGATTGCAACTGAACTATACAGCCATCACTGAAACTTTAGAACAACTTAAACGTAGTCCTGTCGGTCTGGATGGAGTGCTTAAAAATACAGTTTCATTCGGCGTGGCATTTCATCACGCAGGACTGACGATGGATGAACGTGACATCATAGAAGGTGCCTTCAGGTATATTCTCACTGTCCAAAATAAAAAAATCACTAATTACATGAAACAACATACATTTTCAGAGCGGGTTCTTTAAGGGTTTTGGCAGCAACTTCCACATTAAGCAGTGGAGTAAATTTGCCAGCAAGGCGAGTCATTGTTCGATCCGTAATGTTTCATGGCAAGCCTTTAGATATCCTAAGTTACAAGCAGATGATAGGACGAGCCGGTAGAATGGGAAAAGATACCGAAGGTATGTAATAATTTTCTTTCTTTGATGACTGCTCGATGACATTTAAAGTTACCTACACTCCTTTATAGGAGAGAGCATACTAATATGTAAGTCGAATGAAAGGCAAGCAGCAGAGCATTTACTGTCAGCTTCTCTGGACCCGATAGAATCTTGTCTGGAAGGTTCAGGGCCTCTAATCAGAGCACTTTTAGAGGCGGTAGCTAGCGAGGTTGCATTTACTCCTGCTGATCTTGATCTTTACACGAAATGCACTTTAGTCAGTTTGACAGAAGATGATGACGTAGAGGGTCCAACGAAAGAAGCTATTCAATTCTTGGTGGACAATGAATTTTTCCTGTGAGTTCATGTTTGTTTTTGCAATTTACTATACCATAAAGTAGACAGATGTGACTGTATACTTTGTTAGTATACTGTTGAGACGTGATGTATTAAACTGTGATATATAAAAACTTATCAGATTACAGGGAAATGAAAATGGTGACCAGCGATGGGTGGCTACGCCATTGGGGAAAGCTTGTCTGGCTGCTTCGATAGCTCCAAGGGATGCATTATTCCTCTTCGAGGAGTTACAGAAGGCGAGGAAGTGCTTCGTATTGGACACCGAATTGCATATTGTGTACCTTGTGACACCTTTTAACACTGGAAGTCAAATTGGACAAATTGACTGGATGATCTTTTTTGAGTTATGGAAGAAACTATCAGAAAGTGAACGCAGAGTGGGGCATCTCGTGGGAATCGAGGAACGATTTTTAATGTCAGCTATTCGAGGCACTGTCAAGCCTGGCAAGCCAGTACGAAAATGAATTATTTTCAACTAGTCAAAATCTTATCTACTTTGTTATTTCTGTTTTGCTGTTAATTATATTTATTTTCATAATTCCCAGCTAAATATCCATAGAAGGTTTTTCACTGCGTTGGCACTTCATGATTTGGTCCGAGAGGTTCCGCTGTCAAAAGTATGTGAAAGGTACGGTTGTTGTCGAGGGGTGCTTCAAAGTTTACAACAATCTGCTGCAACGTTTGCTGGTATGAATGCATTGGTAAATAAAAATAATAATATTGGCTTTGATATTAATTTCTTTACATTCACTTTTTTTCCAGGAATGGTGACACATTTTTGCAAACAATTAGGGTGGGACTGTGTAGAATTGTTAGTCGGACAATTTCAAACTCGTTTGCAATTTGGAGTGTGCAGGGAATTATTAGACCTTCTACGACTTCCATCGATGAATGGTCTCCGAGCCAGAAGTTTATACAAGGAAGGAATCACAACGGTTGCAGAATTAGCGGTTGCTGATGTTCTTGATGTTGAGCGTGTATTGTACAAGGCGTTACCTTTCGAAAGGTACGGCAGAATTAAATAAATCTAAAAAGATTAAAGCTAAATAGTAACGCTTAATTTTCAGAGAGAAAGAAGAGGAGGGAGAACATGAAATGGAAGCTGTGAAGAGGAATAAGATGAGAACTATATTTGTGACAGGTCGAGAGGGGCTCACTCCGCAGCTGGCAGCAATTTTGCTTGTGCACGAAGCAAGGACTTTGGTGCAAGTAAGCATTTATTTATACATTCATGAAAGAATTAAGCATTAATAATACTTTTACATTGATAATTGTAGAATGAATTGGGTATGGTTAACGTGCAATGGACGGGACGAGAGGAAGTGTCGGAATCAAGTGAAGAATTAAGAGATCCATCGAATGAAAACCCAGTTAAAGAGTCATCGACAGCACAAAATGAAATACCTGATAAAGATACATCTGTAGATATTACACAAAATAATTCGATAAATGATGCCGGAAATATCAACAGTAATCAACACGATACAACGGAAAAATTACCTGAACATCAGAACGAGATAAATGTTACGAAAAAAAATTCAGTTGACACCGAAAAGAGTTTGCAAGATAAGAAAGAGCAAGTTACAAATGAGATCTTTGATGAAAAATTTGACACGTGGGAAGGAAATGAAATATCCAAATGTGGGCCTCGAAACGACGTGGCTGATTGTTTAAGGCAGAGTGAAGATAATGTAGAAACAGGTAATGAGAGGAATGCAAGTATTAATGTTGATGCAGTTGAAGAAAATCAGATTCAGGATAAGTCTTCCAACGAGGAAAAACCGTGCAGGTCGCTTGTGTATGTAAAGGAAAAAAATCAGCTGCAAGTGGAAAATCATGAAATTTCAGACGTGAGAATTTTTGATGAATCGTTCTCAGCAATTAAGATTCCGACGAGCCAATTGAGTACGCCGTTGCAAAAAGAAGTGAACATGCCTTTGGAGCAAGATGCAATGTTTCCGATCATAAACCAAGGTATACCGGAAGATAAGACATCGAAACCCTCAACCCCATATAGCCCTAGTTTGTTCGGTGACAGTTTGAACATAGACACCCAAGCATACGACATCCTGGAGCAAAATATAATTGGCTCTTTCGACATGTCTACTTTCGAGATGTCGAATTTATCTAATCCAAAATTAGTTAAAAAAGATACTCCCAAAGAAAATATAAAATCCAAGTCGAAGAGCCCAGATAAAAAAATCAGTGACCCCGTTGTCAATTCCGTCTTGTCCTGGAATCTTGGTCAGGAAGACGACTCCTGGAACAATTCTAAAATAATTGCAGACAGGATCTTTAAAATAGATAAGAAACTGGTTTCCGGATTGAACAAGCCAAATGCAGTTAAAGATGCGAAGCCTCAGAATGTCTCAGTTAACACCGAAGAAATCTTACCAACGCAGTCCTTCGAAGAGGAAAAAAATCATAGAACCAAATCTCGTACGCAGCGTACACAAATTGTTTCTCAAAAGCGAAAATACAAAGATCTATTCACTGGCAGAGCAGCGGCGCCCATTACCAACGTGATAACATTTCCTCACAGTAAGAGATTATCAATCGAGTCGAATAAATCTGATTCAGACGACATGATAGGCCCTTCCCAGGGCTTCGAAAGAAACATGAAAGTAAATAAAAATCGCCACTGCTTGAAATTGGAAGCAATGCGCAAAATAGGAACAGTTAACAATGAAGCTAACGAGGCAGAAAATTGTCAGAAATCTAAAACATTCTTAGAATTTAAAACAAAGGTAGATGACATTGAGCCAGAGATTATTCCAACTGTGTTCAAAACCCCAATAAGAAGGTCACTAACGAATATAAATTACAGTACTGACAGTGTTGTGTCAAACTCTGATGACGACATGCCAACGAAGAAGTCAAAGACCTTCCGAAAACTGAAAACCACTTCGTCGATAATTAAATCAAGCGAGGTGAAAGTGGAGACGATACAAAATAAACTAGAAAAGCTCCAGGAGAAAGGTAAAGATAATGTTGCACTTTCAATAAATTACACGATGCTGGACATTGTTAATGTCACCACTGATAGAGCCATCTTCAAAACCTTTAAACGTCACATAAGGGAAAGATCTGAGTTTGCCCTGGCAGCTGCTTGCGAAAAGGTGTCAAACATTACGGTCAGCATAGGAACGAGAATCCTTGCTGTACCTGACAGTGATAAGAAAAAGAAGTCGAGGAGAAGTGACAACTACGTTTATGGAGACACGAAAGTGCGAGGAATTGCAATCTCTTGGGGACGAAATGTCATCTATTATATTCCACTCTATAAAGATCACGGTAAGCTGTATAAAAAATTACGTTGCATTAAGGATCAGCACTGTATTCATTAAATTTGTTTCACAGAGGCAAAGGTATCGGTTAAAGAGTGCATGAGCCTGTTGCTCGATGTACTCTCCACTCCATCGATGAGTGTTCGCTGCTTCGCAGCCAAAGAAGTATACAAGACTTTACACCAGTGCTGCGGCATAACACCAACATGCAAATTTATCGACCCTAAAACAGCTGATTGGATGCTGAACTCTGATACTTATGAACGGAGCTTCAATGCAATGGTAAGGTAGACCGAATCCCAGCATTACTATGAAAGTATATTTTTAATTAATGCAACGTTGATATTTTTGTCAGACTGCTGAGTACTTTCCAGCGGGACTCCCACTTATGCACCACGCTGGGATATGCTATCATGGTACTGGACCAGGTCTAAATATTAATAACTCCCTGCCTAGTGAAGGCAGATCATCGGTGGAAGCGATGTGCACATGGCACATTATGGATGCAGTCCTTGAAAAGCTAAATGCATCGTCTCCAGATATAATGTGTTCTTTCAGGGGTATGCATCTGGATACATAATTTTATTTAAAAAGGATCCAATAAATATTAACCCTTCTGTTTTTCAGACGTCGAGATGAGAGCAGTCGCGACTTTGGCACGAATGGAATTGACTGGGCTAGGAGTGAGTTTGAAATCTTTGCAAGAGCTACTCGCAGTTTTGCAGCAAGAAACAGCTTCGTTGGAGCAGCGATCCTTTGCCATGGCAGGCAGGAAGTTCAATTTCTCCTCGTCAAAAGACGTAGCGCAGGTGAATTCTTAACGAGAATTTTTTTTCTAAGTGTTTCTATTGCTTTAAAGTGCCTAAATGTCTGTCTCTTCAGGTACTTGGAATGTACAAGGGTAAAAAAGTCAGTACGAACAAGGTAGTGCTGGAGCAGAGTGACAACCCCATCGCTAAACTGATAATTTCATGGCGCAAACTCAACGTGACTCAAACTAAAGTAATCATATTTTTCCGATCTTGCACAGTTTTCAATTAATTTGCCAATTATTAAAACTTCACCTCACTTTCGTGGCAGATGGTACTTCCGTTGATAAGCTTAGCACAGGATGGTTCTCGAGTGCATGGTATTTGTGTGACTAATACAGCGACAGGTCGAGTGTCCATGCACGAGCCCAATTTGCAAAACGTTCCCAGAGATTTCAGCTCGGAGGATAACAGCTTCGTAATCAGTGTGCGAATGGCATTTGTCCCTTCGATGGGAAATGTCATGCTGTCAGCTGATTACTGTCAGCTAGAGCTCAGAATATTGGCACATTTCTCAAAAGATCCAGTCCTCTGTTATATCATGCAAAAGGATGGAGATGTCTTCAAGAGCATCGCTGCTCAATGGAACCATGTAACCGAGGAAAATGTAACAGCTCTTTATCAAACTATAATAGATATAGGGATAATTTATACTTACAATCCATTAATCTCATTTAATGTTGATAGGTGGATGACACAATGAGACAGCGGACCAAGCAACTGTGTTACGCTATGATCTATGGCATGGGTTCGAAAGCTCTAGCAGAGCTTCTGACAGTGACCGAACTAGAGGCCAAGGAATTTCTGGACACATTTATGAAAACCTATCCAACAATCAAAACTTGGCTACACAGTGCGGTGGAAGAAGCAAGAGTTGATGGTTACGTTACAACTTTAATGCACAGGCGTCGGATACTTCCTGGACTGTACAGCAAGGACCCATCGGAGAAAGGTAAATTATTTCTATGCGTAAAGCTTCGAGTTGTTTTTCTTTTTTAAAGCACGTAACATTTTCCCCTGTTTTTCAGCACAATCGGAGAGACAAGCCATTAACACCAAAATTCAGGGATCGGCAGCAGATATAGCTAAGAAAGCCATGGTTACGATAGAGGAGAGAGTACACCAGCAGTTTCCTAATTCACTGTCAGTTCTTAGCAATACTCAGTCGAAATGGAGATTGCGGAGTAACAATAGAGAATCGCAGACGAAAGGTGCTTATTTGACTTTGCAACTCCACGATGAATTGTTATATGAGGTAAAATATGAACGATTGCAATTGAGACGTAAACAACGAAAAGGAAGGTAATTCTGAGAGTAATCTACCTTTCAGGTGAACAGAGATGATCTAGAAAAAGTAGCTAAAATCGTGAAAGAATCAATGGAGCAAGTGCATCAACTTTTGGTGCCACTGCCAGTAAAAATTAAAGTTGGTCCTGCCTGGGGTGACCTTACCGAGTACAAGATCCCTGAAAAGCAAGGCCTAATCTAACTTATTACTAGGTTCTTTGTACCTCGTCTTAATCAATTTTTTTTATATTGCTATTGCATGTCACACCGATTTTATGCTTTCATGAATTGTACATACTCACAATTATTTAAACGCAGGCAACATTTTTTTACCTCTGCGATGTCAATGAATTGTAAGATAAGCCTAGCTTTTTATATACAATTAAGCGCTATTGCTCTAGAATAAATTATTCTCCATCGTCATAAGAAACATAGTCATTTATTTACGTCGATTCGCAATTATATACTAAACATTATATGTAATGTACATGCGATAGATACACGATTTTCCACACTTCTTACGTCACGGTATTAATTTCCTTGTAATGATCCATGATAATTCTAATTAATGATTGAGTAAAAAAGTCTCTGATGAAAGTAACTTATTCACACTGTTTAACGAAATTGTTTCATATCGAATCACTCGGTGGTGCCAAGGACTGATGGAGCTTCGTTACAGCTGTCTGCACAATCTGTTGGAACGTCTCATCGTCCTTACTCGTTACCTCCAGATTCAACAGGTCAATGTGCGCTTTCTTCCCGTCAACCGTCACGTATAATTTTTCCCCCTTAAAAATCTTGGGAACGGAATCTTCACCAAACATTTCTTGTAGCATTTCTATGAGGCACTCCTTGAAGTGCATCCTATCCATCTTGGTTGGCGCTGGTAGTACCTTCGGAGATTGGTCCATCATCTCGGCTTGCAACAACGCAGTTAATACCGAGTCAGCATACATGTCATTAACAGGAGTTGCAACCCACTCCATCGTAACAATTTTCCCATCGACCGTCACGTCGACATTTTTGAATACTCGCATCTTCTTATCATCAACCATGTCTATAGTACCAGCAATTTGTGTCAGAAGATGCTTCAGCACTGGTAACGAAGCTGAGAAATACACACTCTGCCTTTGAATCACTTGACTCATGCTCATGTCGGTGTACTTCGATAAGTCACACGGCGCCAACATGTGGTAATTAAAGTTCCTCTTCACTAAAACACCCGACAGCTTCTGCCCAGGTTTCGGATTCTCCATTGCCAATGTTCCCATCACTTTGGCCGTCTTTTCTCCCCTAAAGTACAATTCTACTGCAACCGTGTTCCTTGGATTGTGTATTTCCATAGTTGTGCTCGGGTCATCTTCGTACTCCCTTTGAAGGGCAGCTTTCAGTCTTCCCATTTCATTCTGTTCTCCATGAACAAGAACGACATGCGGGGGCTTCAATATTCTAATGAATTCTGAAGTCTGTTGGTAATCAGTATGTGCGGAAAACGAGATATAATCAACGGACATCTTCAAAGGTAACTTCTGGCCAGACATCGTGGTGATCTCCTCGGGTTCCGAGAGGACCGTCTTAGCTAACGTCCCTTCAACGCAGTAACCAGCGATAATTACTCCGTTCTTCGAGTCTGTACACCAGGATTCAAATAATTCTCTTGACAATCCACTCTGCATCATACCAGGAGAAGCCATCACCACGCAAGGCCCGATATCTTCGAAATGATCGATGCCTTTCAGGTTGGAAATATGCTTGAAGACAAAGGGATTATTTATAGCAATTTGACGCCGTATCTTGTCGTTCATTGCATTGACATAAGTCTGGTAAACAGCCATGCATTTCTTCGCCAAGGAAGATGCATAATAAATAGGGATCTCGTGCAGTTCAGGATGCTGACTCCAATACTCATCCAGTATCAAGAGGAGCTCCTGTGCTCGTCCCAAAGCAAACACAGGAATTAAACATCGGCCACCCCTGTTTACAATTTCGTGAACTAAATTCGTGAATCTACCTTCTCGGTCCTCTCGTTTCTCGTGAATGTGCGTTCCATAAGTAGATTCCGTTATAAGAACATCAGGATGTACATTAGGTATTTCGGCAGCCATTAAATGTCTATCCTCTTGCCGGCTAAAATCTCCGGTATATAATATCTTAACTCCTGCTATTTCTATCATGAACATGGCTGCTCCTAATACATGTCCCGCATTGTATGCCCAGAATTTAATACCGAAAACATCCTTCTCTTCATGGAAATTGATTGTTTCTATTTTATCCATACTTGTCTCTAGATCGGACTCGGTATAAAGCATCTGTTCAGTGGCAATGTTACTCACTTTGATATAATCGGACAAGAGCCACCGATAAATTGCTTTCGTTGCATGGGTCATAAAACACCGTCCTTTAAAACTCGTCTTTTGTAGAAACCATGGCAGCGCTCCACAATGATCGAGATGAAAATGGGAAATAAGTAGTAAATCTATTTCATCGGCTTCAACTAAATCTACAAAAGGAAGGGCATCCATACCCGATAAGCCTGGATGAATGCCACAATCCAACATAATCTTTTTTCCTTTGAATTCCAGCATAATGCAAGACCTGCCTACCTCCTGGCCAGCACCGAGAGGTCGGATGGACAGCAAGTCACTTTCCTCAGCCGGAATCTGCGATTCAGGCTTTCGTTTTGACATTTTTTATTTTATATTGCCTGAATGATTAATTTAAAATCGGTCAATACATCAGTGTACTGAAATCCAATCCTAAATAACCGGGTCTTCTCAGCGCAGGCTGTTCGAGGTTAGGACGGTACTATGTCAATTATATACTGAAGTTTCCGAGCATCTTTCGGGATTTTCATGTCAGCCCATGTAAATAATCTTCTTTTGGCACCTCTTGCCTTTCAAAAGTAATTGTGCCATTTATTCAATAAACGTTAGCCGTTAAAATGTCAAATTCATAAAACCATCTCGTAAAATCCAAGCAAATCCAAGTTTTATCACAGATGAGTTGAGAGATTGCTCACAGGAGCAGGGTCGCACAATCGCATTCTGTGCTGCCCTCGGTGGAGAATACAGGCGACTCATGCACTTATCCAGATGCCTTCAGAAGTTGTTATCTTTGTTTACTCAGTCTTGTTAAATCGCCAACCTCGATTCTGCATATGCAGTTGCGTCCGAGAAAAAAACTATAGGTTTCTTACAAAATAATCCTTTACGGAATAATTCGACAGATAAGTGTTATAATTAAGTCGATAAATATTAAAGCTTCGGTGATAAGTACTAACCAAGGTTCCAACTTTACCAAGACCGTCGATAAGAGAGGAAAGTGCTTTCACTTGACGTTGCCTCGGCATTTCCAAAGTTAGCGCCATCGTCGCCACCGCGGGAAAATATCCTATTTAATTAAAAGAAAATAAAATAAAATCACAGGAAAATGACGTAATACCGTAATCCAGGAACCCGTCGACTTCTCGTTACCAAATTACTCAGCAGATAAAACTGACGTCACTAAGAATTAACCGTAAAATCTTGAAAAACATAAAATAAAAGATATTTAGTAATCCGTCAATGAATTGTATTTCTGTTATACTCGTCTCTCTTCGGAGAGTTGAAAAAGTATATAGTCTTTTTTTTTTCGTTCTTGGAGAATTAGGTCCGATACTATAGTCGGGACGTTGTTATGCAGGAATTATAAAATTCATCTCCATCTCGCTAGGATGCGTCAGCGAAAATGGTGCGTCGTCATCGACGCGACACGCTTTCCCACTTCACCGAGAGTAATCCAATTAATTCCGAATTCTCGGGAAGCAATCGGCATTGCCGATAATTTGCGATCCTGTGTGGTCATCATCGGCAACACCTTCCGCGGTTATTCCCGATATTCGACATTAATTGACATCGATTTCGGTTGATTTTTGTGCAGCGGCTATGTAATCATCCGCATCGCATTGGCGGCGGAGGGGGGCATGGGAGTCGCCGCCCGGCGTGCTCGGTTGCCCCTCTCACTTTCCCGTCTTCCCGCGCAGGTGACCCGCGATCGTCGGCATCCGTGCTTTGTACGATCTCACTCGGCCGCGACCAACGACGGTCGGAATCGGATCGAGGCCGCGAGTGCATGCGCGCGCGACTCGTTCTGACTCGTTCACCGAGTACGGTGTCTCGCGCGTTCGAATTCACTCGGACTCGCTGAACCTCGGCGACTGCGTCGAGACATTCGCCTCGCGACTTAACCTTCAAAATGGAGAACCACACGATGGACCAGTTTTGCGGCTCGAGATTTTGGGTAAGTCTCGGAACTCTCGACTTTCTCTTTTTCTCAGCGATCACGATGTGGACTTTCAACGGCTTGGCTCTCGTTTCCTAGAAATTCCGGCTTCAAAGACCGAGTAATGTCCACGCGTCGCCTTTGACTGGTCGGCTCTCGTTTCTCGGGACTCGGGCCGTTTGCTTTGTTTGAAACTCGGTTTGAACTATTCCATTTTACCGAGAACTGCTGTAGCTGCAATCGCTCGGCTTGAGCTTCGGGAAACGAGAAACCAGCTGCCAGTTTAACCGACGGGAACTTCAGTCATAAAATGGGTGTTGCTAAATAGATGAAAGGCGAGGGTAATGGACATAACCTAGAAACGTCCTGCGGGTTTTTCGATACAATATACAAACGACGCGACGCTGATACCGTGATCAACTTTCATAAAACGTTTAGTATTAGGTTACTCTTAAGAATTGGGCGTTATTGCTTAGCGGTGTTTTAGTAGCTAATTTCTGAACAATGCGTTAATGGTTTATCATTTTTTATATTGTAGGACTTAGATTTGGCTTGGAATACCGATGATCCCGATCTGACGGAGTGCTTTCAAAAGACAGTTTTAGTATGGGTTCCTTCTATATATCTTTGGCTCTTCTCGACAGTGGAGGCCTGTTACCTTTTAAACAGCAAGAGGAAAAATATTCCGTATACCTGGAAATTTATAGCAAAACTTGTGCTTAACTGTACCTTAATTGTACTTACGATCTGCGATTTAGGAATGGCAATATATAATAGTTCGTATACTGTGGTATATGACGTTGATTACTACACGCCATTGATAAAGATATTTACTTTCGTAAGTACATATAGACGTTATCTGCTTACCTGCTTATTCTTTATGAGTACATATCTAAGAAGACATGAAAGAATTTTCATGTTTGCTTGATAACGGATGGCCTTCCTGTGATAATGAAAATGAAGTAACAAAGTAATGTGTTCGTTTTCGTCTATACAGATTTTGGCTGCTGTGATATTGGTTTATAACCGGAAATATGGCATGCGTACTTCAGGACTTCTTTTTCAATTCTGGTTCCTACTAGTTGTGTTCGGTGTTGTTCAATTTAGGAGCTCACTGAGGAAATATTACTCGGTAAATACACGTTTCATGAATTTTTATCAGAGTCAACAAAGCATTCATGTTATCCTATTATCTTTTTAACTTTTCCTCTCTATGTTTAGACCGAGTCATCGTATTCTTTTGTTTCATACATGATTTATTATCCTGTGATACTGGTTCTACTCCTTTTGAATTTCTTGGTCGACGCCGAACCTCGATATTCCGAGTTTCCACAAGTAAGATATTTGATCTAAGTTAAATTTTCTATAATAACTTAAAAGGAATAAAATGAATTTGAATATTAATATTAATAGGGCGAGCGACCATGTCCAGAACAAAGTTCCTCATTTCCATCTAGAGTTTTATTTGCCTGGTTTGATGCAATGGCATGGAAAGGTTCCAGGAAACCTTTGGAAACTACCGATTTGTGGTCCATGAATCCGGAGGATACTGCCAGTGAAATTGTGCCAAAATTTGACAAATATTGGAACAAGAGTGTGAAAGCTGCCGAAATGTAAGTGGCACGGAAATACAAATCCAGATGTTCCTTTATGCTTCCGAAAAAATACAGCATTTATGAGTCTGAAAAGCTGACATCTTGCTTTGCAATTAACACACTCGTTCCTGTTGTAAATTATAATCCCTTTAATGAGATTTTTCTAAGGCGATAAATTTTAATAACTTTTGGTATGGCAATTGTTTCTAGAAAATTGCTTATGGAATCCAATTTTTTCTTATAAATTCCGAGTAGCTTCATTAAAATAGTAACGCATCATTTGTTTATTTTTGCTAACAAGGCTTTTTTGGACTTACTTTAGGTAAGGTCGACGTAATGCTGGTTTGTCAGATTAGTCGCATGCATCTCAAAAAGCATGTTTATATACAACCTGTTTATTTAAAGACTAATTAAATTGTTCACAGTGTTCAGGGTACAAAGGCCTCATTCAGGAAGTCATCGGGCCAGGTAGATTTCAACGGTGGCCGGAAGAAAAAAGTTGCTTCGGTACTTCCACCTCTGTGCAAAGCATTCGGACCGACCTTCATATTTGGATCTTTGCTGAAACTCTTTCAAGACATCTTAACTTTCGTCAGTCCCCAAATCCTCGAGTAAGTACCGTTTCTTTACCTCAAGAAAATATCCTCATACCTATACTCACTGTTATTGGCCGGGTGTTGTTTTCTAAATGCCTAAAGAAAAGTGATATCATCGAATCGGCACTCGTGTCTCCGATCCGTTAACCGTAGAGAAGTTGAATCATTGTATAACTGCATGTACTCTCGTGACTCACCGTGAATAGTGGGTTTCACTGACCGTCGATATCGATTTTAAGTTAACGGATTACAGGTTTGCGATTGATAACCGTTGCATCGTTTCAGGTTGTTGATCAACTTCGTGAATAATTCCTCGAAGGAGCCGATATGGAAAGGCTGCGTTTACGCGGCTCTCCTTCTCCTGACAGCGACGGTGCAGACGCTCATCCTGTCCCAGTATTTCGCCAGGATGTTCCTAGTGGGATTGAGGATGCGGACCGCCTTAATAGCGGCGATTTATCGGAAAGCCCTGAGGATGTCGAACTCCGCTAGAAAAGAGTCAACTGTGGGTGAAATCGTGAACCTGATGTCCGTGGACGCGCAACGATTTATGGACGTGACCGCCTACGTGAACCTGTTGTGGTCAGCTCCACTGCAGATAGCCCTCGCACTTTATTTTCTGTGGCAAACCTTAGGGCCGTCCGTGTTAGCCGGTCTGGCCGTGATGATTATCTTGCTGCCGGTAAATGCCATGATAGCGAGCAAAGGGAGATCCCTGCAGATCAGGCAGATGAAGAGCAAAGACCAGAGAGTCAAACTGATGAACGAGATACTTAACGGTATTAAGGTGTTGAAATTATACGCATGGGAAACGTCCTTCCAGCAGCAAGTATTAAAAATCAGGGGTAAGGAGATTCGAGTGTTAAAGGAAGCAGCCTATCTGAATGCCGGAACAAGCTTTATCTGGTCCTGCGCACCTTTTCTGGTGGGTCTTCCAAAACCTTTCTCTCTGTTTCGATAGAATTTCGAAAGGCCTCGCGCTTTTGGTTATACACTTTATCGCAATTTAATCATTAGAACGTTCTCTCGATATTAACGCATTTGTACACCATTTATCTAGGTGTCTCTGGTCTCGTTTGCCACCTACGTGCTCGTAGACGAGAAAAACGTTTTGGACAGCACCAAAGCTTTTGTTTCGCTCAGTTTGTTTAACATCTTAAGATTCCCCCTTTCCATGTTGCCAATGATGATCAGCAACATGGTTCAGGTACGCATGTTCGATGCCATTGGGCTCTATCAGCTCGTTCCTATTTTAAAACGCCGATGGACGTTCGACGCCGCCTCATTCGTCTCCACTTTTTTTATTTACGGGCGTTTTGATCGGGGGAACCTCCTTCGGCCTCGAAATTTACCTCTCTTCGATTTAATCAGACCATTTTATTTCCGTACAGGCCGCCGTTTCCATAAAACGTATCAACACATTTATGAACACCGAAGAGTTGGATCCCAACAACGTGTTACATGACTCGTTCGAGGGTAAGTCTGTCACAATTAGAGAACGATTCCTCCACCTAGCTCCTTCGAATCGAGGAATCGAAATTAAATCAATGACTAATAATAATTTGTAATTTAACATATCCTTTCTTCGGTGTACTTAAACCTCTTCGAGGAGGCATCGAGACATGGACTTGAGATATTTTTCTTTGAAACGCTTTAGTAAATCCATTGATTATTGAGAACGGCAACTTCGCCTGGGACTCTGATTCCATCGAGAAACCCACACTGAGGAATATCAATCTACAAGTGCAGCAGGGACAACTTGTGGCTGTCGTTGGCACTGTGGGCTCAGGAAAAAGCTCTTTGATCTCGGCCCTGCTCGGTGAGATGGAAAAACTGAGTGGTAGAGTCAACACAAAGGTAATCGATGTCATTGTATTTCGAAACGCTTTTTTAATTCCATTGCAAGTGAGATATCTCTAACGGAGGGTCATCTTTGAACGATACAGACATATTCCATAAATAGTTCTCTAAATCGCCTCACTTTTAAAGCGATTGCTCCAATGAGTGTTTCCGATATCATACCCTAGAAATGTGGCAATGGTGTGCCAGCTAGTGATAATGTCTGGATATCGTTGACGCGTGACAAAGAAATGTAGCGTGTGTTATTCCATAAATAACTGTTGATGCCATCGAAGGCTAACAAAGCAATTGCTTCAATTTGGGTTGAATTAGTTCAAGTGTTACGTAACACTTGAGCAGGGAATTAGATACTTAGAGACTCGGAGCTGTTTGATCCGGGCTACTGGAGAAAGATGTATCGGAGATGGTTTGCATCGGATGGCTTCCACCGATGACATATTATAAAGGAAATAAATGGAAAATAGATATATCTAGTAGGCCATTATTAATTCTATTATGCTGAAGAATATTAAATGACCGAATATTTCACGAAAAACCAACAGGGGTCGATAGCCTACGTCTCTCAGCAGGCCTGGATCCAGAATGCGACCTTGCAAGACAACGTCCTCTTCGGGAAACCCCTCGACAAGGCCTTGTACAATCGAGTTATCGAGGCGTGCGCACTAGGACCGGATCTTAAAATGCTCCCGGCAGGAGACCAGACCGAGATAGGCGAGAAGGGAATCAACCTGTCAGGAGGGCAAAAACAGAGAGTCTCGTTAGCCAGAGCAGTCTACAACAACTCGGACATTTACTTCCTGGACGATCCCCTGAGCGCCGTCGACGCCCACGTCGGCAAGCACATCTTCGAGAACGTAATCGGCTGGAGCGGCCTGCTGAGGAAGAAAACGAGGATCCTCGTGACGCACAGCATCGCCTACTTGCCGGAGGTGGACAATATCCTCGTGATTAAGGACGGCGAGATTACCGAGTGCGGGACGTACAAGCAGCTCCTGGAGAAACGGGGCGCCTTCGCCGAGTTTCTCATTCAACATCTACAAGAAGGTATTTATTATACCAGCGAACGTTTCAACCACGTCAATACTCGCCGCGACACTGGATTTACTAACCGACGTTGTGTTTTTTCATGGGCCTAAGTTGGAAATTGTAAGTCATGGACAAAAGTAATTATACTTCTTCTTTGATTAGTGTTGTACGGTTGCCAACTAAAATGCGCTAACCGCACGCTAGCTATTCTTAACGACACGTCTTGTTGAACGTGAGCTCTTCTTTATTTTTTTCAATTTTTATTTTTTTTCCTCCGAGGGACTGAGGTTTATTAACCGATGGTACTAAAGAAGTCTCACTGGTCACCTGAGAGTACTTGCACCATGCCAGTATTGCCTGCACGGAATGGCTGGATTTAATTTGCACGTAATTACGAGACCTCGACTGTGGGTGTATCGGTATGTCGGCCGGCAGCTCGTTTGTCTGCAATGTACGATGTAAAGAGAAGAGGCTGATCGTCTTTCCTGGAGTAGCGAATGAGTTGCAATTAAGTTACGACGGTTTCAATTCGACTTATCGGACGAGCGATACCCAGGTCAGGTCACTCGGTACAATCCTGACACGTGAGTGTCGAAAAAGGACGTCGGTATTTTATTCTCCTTTTCATAAATCTTGTATTTCCCGCCTGTATATGTATATATTTGGCGCGAAACTCTACCGAGTTTCTTATTCGTCGACACACTCCAGGGAGGTATTTGATATCGCCTCCGGTTCTTTACCTCGCACATTGACACCGACCAACCCGTTCGTTATGTCGGTCCATCTTGTTCTGCTTCTTTCCGATCTTTTTTTTTTTTTTTCCCACCTTGTCCACGACCACTCTTCGCTTTAAGAATCATCCGACCGATTTCTAACAGTTAAGCCTGGCGATGGTTCAAAGACCGAGTTAAACGACATCAAGCAGCAGCTAGAGTCGACACTTGGGGCGGAAGAGCTCCAGCAGAAATTGTCAAGAGCTAGGTCAAGAGTCTCCGAGAGCCACAGCGAGTCGGGGTCGTTTACCGACCGAAAGTCGTTAAACGGATCACTGTGCCGGTAAAGTATAACGCCAACTATGGTATCCTTCTCTCTCTCTTTTCCGCGAGGAAAGTATCCGTCAATTATCCTAAGCAACGCCGACATTAACTCGGTTCTTTTTATCGGTTTCCATTCGTCGACCGTTCAACATTTACCGCGCCATTCAGACAACACTCCACGGATAGTCAATACTCCGGGAGCCTCGCCCGAGTGAACAGCCTGAAGGAGAAGGAGCTGCTCCAACCGAAGGTCGGGGAGAAGCTGATAGAGGTGGAGAAAGCCGAAACTGGGAGCGTATGTATCTTTATTAACTAATTCCCCGATAAGCGGGACACGCACGGGTCCCTCAATTGTCGAGGTTCCAGGTTAAATGGCGAGTGTACGCGCACTACCTCAAGTCGATCGGGTGGTTCCTGTCTATATCGACGATCTTCCTGAACGCCATCTACCAGGGCTTCAGCATCGGGTCCAACGTCTGGCTGAGCAAGTGGTCGGACGACAACGAGACCGCGGTGAACGGGACGGCGGACACATCGAAACGAGATATGTATCTTGGAGTATACGGTGTTCTCGGTCTGGGCCAAGGTACGTACCCAAGGATAACCAGAGCCGATCCCCGGCGATCCTTTAACGCGAGGCGCCGCCGAGCGAGACCAAAGTGCCGATACCGAACGAAACCGACGTCGAGGCGACGACGATACCCGGTCGATCGAGCGTCTCGGGGCTCCGCGAAACGAGGAACGACCGACCAAGGGGAAGCTGGGGTCGGCTAGAGGTCGGCTTCCCCATACCTCGGGGTCCCAGGTACCCGATGAGGAGCGCAACGGGCTCGAGGTCGGGACCGGGACCAGCGCTCGACCGGACCCACCGGTCGCGGTTCGAGGGAGTGTGGTTTGCTATGTCCAAAGGCCGGTTCTTCTATTAGTTCCGGCGCTCCTTTAGACGAGATTCGTTCCTCCCTCTCTCTCTCTCTCTCTCTTTCTATCTTTCTCTCTGGTACCTTGTTAGCCCGAGGAAGCGACCACGCACGGAGCTGATCACCTCGGCACACGGTTTACCCCTTAGCACGCGCACCTACGACTCCTAGTGGGAGAATTTCACCGGTTTTCGACGCTCGTACGGGAGTTAGGACATTGATTCTCCTTTTAGAAGGAGAGGTACGGCGTGTCCCCGTGCCTCTCGTCGTGCATGTATCACCGTAGAGGATGCTATGGGAGTGGAGAATCGGTGCTCGCTACTCGCGGAACTGTCCAACAGTGGTGGTGGCCAAGGCCACGAGGGAGGTTTTCGAGTTCCTTACGTTGTTGAGCCTCGTTCGACAATGCTCCTTCTTCCGGTTACCATTTGCATGCAGGTTTCTTTGTACGGCAGGTGTGTCCATAACGTGTAGATTGTCACGGATGTATTTGTTTATGGGGAATCTCTTGCTCCGAGGTTCAGAGTCTAGGTTCTTATTATTAATTGTGTATTATTTATAATCTGTTTTCTATCATTAATGGAATTGTACGTCGAACTGGTATCTGGTATGGTGACTAACAATGGTCGCGAGCACCGATCGCGAGCTAACCCCCCTAGCAGTTTTTATGTTTTTTTAATTTTTTAAGTCACTTAAAATACGGAACTCTAACCGGACAGAGTCGAGACTGCACTCGAAAAGTGATGCTATCTACTGAGAATTGGAAAGATAAGGAACTCTTCGGTATAAGGCTATAACTTTGGAGTATCTCTTTATCGTTTTTTCTCTGTGTACCGTCGTACTCGCACGTGCCATGCGATTTAGAGCGAAGTAGTCGGTAGGCATAGAAACGACTCGCTTTTGCCGATTTTTATTTTTTTTTTCCGAACGCTTCGCGGAATAACAATCCTTTCTACGACCGAGAAGCGGCGATTCGGTCGCCAGCTCGTCGAGGAACACAATTGCCGATTGATTGTTTACGCCTTGAACCCATTGTGCCCATTGAAAGGGACGAGCTCCTAGTGACTCTTTCTCTCTTTATTTCTATACCGCGGGATTCGGCAATTCTGTACCGTGTACCCTCCATAAATTACACGACACTGCTACCTTCGCTAATGTATTATATATATATGTACTCTCTTAAGGTGTTACGAAAGGGTCATAAACGTATATAAAATACGAGTTTCTTGATCAAAATATAAAACTTTTCGCCAAACCGGGTGCACCGAATAATTTGAAACCTCAATAACGTAATCACGGACGCCCTAACGAAGGTCTTAACACTCGCGAAATTTCATTTGTCAAAAGGAAAAAAAGAATTTCTTATTTATCCCGGAGAGGATCCAAAAGAAAAGACGATTTCCTTTCGAGTAATTGAATTTCACGAGTATCGAGACTTTCAGCAAGGTCGGAATTCCTTAAAGTTTGAAATTATTCGGTGCAGTCGATTTGGAGAAAGGTTTTTAAAAATATTTCGACGTTTCGATATGTACACTGGGAGACATCAATGCCCTCCCATCCTGCACAGGCGATGTCGTACCTGGAGGGGAGGCATTCATGTCCACATTGTACACTGGGAGACATCAATGCCCTCCCATCCTGCACAGGCGATGCCGTATCTACATGGGAGGCTTTCGTGTTCGCCACTGTATGTAGGATTATTTTCTTTTTTTTTTTTTCATTTTCTTTTTAGTATAATTTACTTCATTTTAATATCCAGGAAAATTGGAGGGACTTAATTGAGGTGCGGTATGAATCGTGGAGAATTGGGTAGATGTGATTGCGTGTCGTTTATGGAGGGTCCCTCGAGCAGCGCATCGGACGGAGCCCCTGCAACGAGTCATTCCGACCCAAGCCTCTGACGTTCCCGTAGTGAGCCCATTAACACCTCGCTTTGGCAACGGCACTTCCGCGTCGACGTCCCCGAATGTACGCACGATCCTGCCCCGGTTGTAAATCGCAAGGGCGGAGACGCGCGATGACGCGAAACGCTTGTTCAAAATGAATCTAGACACTTAAGACGCGACAGCCGACTAACACTGATGAATCGTTTCAGCGTGCTTCGTGCTATTTGCGCAGCTAACATTGGCCGTTGGCTGTCTGAGAAGTAGCAGACTGCTGCACTCGGCGGTATTGACCGGAGTGCTGCGATCCCCGGTCTCATTCTTTGATACCACGCCAACAGGGAGAATATTGAATCGGTTCGGGAAGGACGTAGACATTGTCGACAACGCGTTGCCGCAGAACCTTAGGTCTTGGCTGCTTTGTCTGACATCGGTACGTGGGATCGTTGGACGGCAGCTGGTCGTCCCTGTGAATTAGGTCTGCCTCGTCTACGACCAAGCAGGGTGGTCCTTGACGAATCGAGATCTCGGAAACGGTGCTGGAAGAATGATCCCGTTCGAGGCGTCGGTCTTGTGCCGAGATCTAACGACACGTAGAGCAGAAACGACCCTGAAGACCGAGCCTGGTTCCACAAGTGCCGGGAAGAACCGTCCGATACCTTGTACCCGAGGTACAATGATGAACAACAATGCCTTCTCCGTGCCCTGGCGAGGTCGTGGACACGGAGGAGACATCCATGTCCATCGGTGTACAGGGGACAGCGTAGCGTTCGCACGTACATCTAGCAGATATATATCCATGTGATATCCGAGATAAATGAAATCAAGCCACGGGATTTACAAGGTCGCTGCATTAGTTAGGATATGAAACGATGATAAAAAATGTGGATGAAAGGGGGTAAATCATGGAAAAATGTAGAACGGGTGAGAGCTTATCAGCGGACGGATACCCAATGCTGTAGGGTATCGTCCGGTACTTGTGAAACCAGGCTGGCGATAGGCGCCAAGGTCCGTCGACCTCTTCTTCCTGGTCGATGACAGATCGTCCCTGCGTCGCGATCCTCTTACATCTCTGACTCTGGCGAACTGGAGAGATCATCACTCATCCAACCGCGATAGCGTCATCGGGTAGAAGTCCATACGGAAATCGGGGACACGAGGCACGCGGCAGGTGCTTCTAGGTGCATTTATTCGTGTACTTGTCGGCACATTATATCAAGAGGATTTTATTTATCAAGTACTTCGCACTGCGAAGCACGTGTCGCTCCCTGGTCGCGTTTCTGATGCGCGACCTGGCCAAGAGATTCATCCTCCACCCTCTCGTTAGCGTCGCTCTCGACTCGTCGGCGTTCCTTCGGTATCGGAGGGCGGACGGCAGGATCGCCCCCCAGGTGTCAAGGGTCCTGAAAACCCGGGATCGTTGTGTTGCAGTCCTGACCGTGGTGGGCGCGTCGCTCGCGATGAGCATCGGTACCCTGAGGTCGGCCTCGGCGATGCTCCGAGAGGCTTTGCACAACGTTATGCGCGGGCCCATGTCCTTCTTCGACACCGTGCCCGTGGGCCGTGTCTTGAGCCGTTTCAGTGCCGACGTAGACACGATGGACCTGAGACTCCCCGTGACGCTCGCACAGTGGTTACCCTGCTTCCTTAGGGTAAGACCCGCGACATCCACGCGGCCGTTAAGGCGTTATGAAAGCGCCATTCGATATACATGAAACGTCAAAATATAAAACTCTTCTCCAACCTGGATACACCGAATCACCTCAAACTTCACGCGAAACACTTCCGTTCTAAATAAGAACGTGAAATTTCATTTTTCGAAGGAATGAAAAAAAAAAATAGTCCTGTTCTGGGATAAATAAAAAAATTCTTTCCGACAGATGAAATCTCATAAAAACACCGCATTCTTCCTTGGAGCTGAAATGAATCACGGGCTGAAGTTTCAAATTATTCGGTGCATCCAGTTTGGAGGTTTTTTATTAATATTTTGACGTCTTGTATATATACAGAATGACCCTTTTGTATCGCCTTAAGGTCGTCGGGCCGCGACCTGGAGACCTCGCATGAACGAAACCTCGCCTTGTTAAGGTCGACTTGTACTAGCATCCTCCCACGGCCTAAAGTGTATGTAAATACTAAAATTATTACATACACTTATGATAGGAATTTATATTCATCGGATTTATCCACGTGGCGCGTCGATTTACGGCCAGGAATGATTTAATGTCCTAATAAGTTGTGTTTTAGATTCGGTACCTGAACTGAGTGACTTAGACATGTATTTTGCTTTTGCTGGGACCCTGATGCTAGTTTCCCTGCACTCGGTGGATAGTACAAGTCGACCTTAGAGGGGTTGATTCGAGGTCTCCTCGTGGTCGGCGTTCCCTGCATCGTCGAATCATCGTCATTGGATGCACGAAGGCCATTCCGTTCAATCACTCGCGACGCGGGGACGAGCGAGTGTCGGCAGACTCGGTGTCGTCCTGTGGTTATCCTGGGATTATCCTGCGACAATGGAAGCCGTTCAAAAAATAACGTCTAACGATTTAAGACGTCCGGACGCAGGATGAGACGCAACGTAAGCGACGTCACTCGTTCGCTTCGTCGTCTTTTTTTTTTTTCCCTCTCTTTTTCTTTTCGTGGCGACGAGACCGACGTTAATTCGGATTCCTGCGTCCGTTCCCGCGCGTCGATACTAACCTCGTTGTGTGTTAATTTAGGGTGTCTGAGTGTGCGTGAATTGTCCTACCGAAATGTAAGAACTAACGCACGAAGAGTCGACCCCGTGGTCTGGGTAGATGTGGTCGTTTGATTTCCCTCCCTTAACACCGGTGGGATCGCACTGCGGACACAATTATACGAATAACGTTTGCTGTAGTTGTTATGCCTGTGCTTGGGAATGCGTTTAATTTCCTTACGGTTTGCTATGACTCGCCACCTAGTTCGTCCCAGGTACGCCATTCCGCCATCCCCGAGACAGAGTCCTGAGACTCGAGCACTCGGCGTTTTCCTTGTACCCCTGATATCGTCGATAACGTCGTCTACCTTCCACAGGTGCGGAATCCTTTGGGAGTGTCCTTAGAGCGAGCACCAGGACCCTGAAGGAGGAACCACGTGGTGGATGGCAGACATGGACGTGGGACACCCAAACAACTCTTGCGACCGTACAACCAGAGAAGAGGACGGAAACGGAGGATACTTCCTCTCTTTCTCTCTCTCTCCACGATAATCGTACACTGATAAAATGTCCACGGGAATTTACAGAGATTTTTTTTGCGCCCTTTGTAATCGAAGTTTCACGTGGGAAAGGGAAATTTGATAAGGTATGTTTATTTCAGTGCATATCACGTGGCGTCGAAATAACCAATGATTGAGTATGTCAATTTACCCGGACATATTTATCGGTTCATCCCGCTGTTTTAAATTGAGAGGGAAGGAGAGAAAGAGTAAGTGTCCTTCATTCTCGTCTCGGTTTGTCTTCACGGTCGCATCGTTAATCGGGGTCCATTTAGGGCCAATTGCACCGTGATTAACACTTTGACTGCTACGTCACCTATATTGGCGTGAATAGCACTCGAAGTGTTAATGTGAAATCTCTTAACTATGGTTAATTAATCTTGAATTGATAGAACTATCGGACAGAACTATAAAATTAGGACTGTCAAGCCCAGTAAAAATGACTGGTTTTAAATGGCCCACCACAGCCAAAAAAAAAAAATCCTCCGGTAGTTCTAGTGTTAAGGGTTTCAATTTGAATGTTGGTGCAACAGGCCCTTAAGGCGATATGAAAGTGTCATGTATACATACCAAAAAGTGAAAACATTTATAAAACTTTTTTTCAAACAGGGTGCACCGAGTCATCTGAAACCTTAACACGTGATTACGGAAACCCTAAGGCAGAAGGCGACGCTCGTGAAATTTCATCTTTCGATGACAAATGTCGTCTTTAGTTCATGTCCGAGATGAATAAAGATTTTTCCTCGAAAAATGAAATTTCACGAGCATCGCGTTCTTCCTTAGGGCCTTCGCAGTCACGTGACGAAGTTTCAAATGATTCGGTGCGCCTAATTTGGAGAAATCTCTTGTAAACATTTTGACTTCCTGGGATGTACATGTAAGACTTTCATATTACATTAATGGTACGTCCATCTTATGTCCATGTTGGCTGTCCTGGTCCACCCTGAGCAGCTCTTGGCCCCTTGTCTCCTCCGTTTCTCTAACTCACCCCAGTCTCTGTCGTCCGATGCGGCCCGTCTTTCTCGCATCTCTAACCCCTTGCCTACTTTAGAGAACTGCATCTTGTTCTTCTTTCCCCTCGAGCGAGTTTGCTGATAGCATGCCAATTGCCAGGGCAAACTTCACCCCCTCGACTGACGGACGCGTCCGTTCGCGCCATCGTCGAGCCTCGATCGCGCCGATATCCGCGGCCTTATCGCGCGCGCTGATAACCGCGCGGAACCTCCGCCTCCACCCGCGGCTCGGTAGATTAATTCCGAACCAGGGCACGCGTTAACGGAAGTCAATCGATTTTCCCCTTATCCTCTCCGTTTGGCCTGCCTGCAAGTAATCGCCCTCCTTCGTATTCGTCGCCGTTGATTTCCACTTTATTTCAATTCTCAACGTTACGTCTTTATTATTTCCTCCCTCCCCTTGTTTTCCATTAAATCAGAGATTCCATATAAAGAGCTGTACATGGTTGTATTCGTGCATATGCGAGGCGATACACCGAATGAGGAAAACTTCATTGAACCTGTGGAATATTTTCTCAAACCGAGGAATAATTATTAGACCTAGTGAAAATCCAATTAATTGGATGCGACGTTTCTTCGGAGTCGCGACAACTCGTTACGGGGATATAATTATTCTTTGGAGTATGAATGTATTTCTTTGGTACAATGCATTGTGTTTTTTTTTTCTTCTTTTTGGTTTAAGTGTACGTCCTTAAGTGTCGACTGAGGACGATCCTCGCGTTAGTCCGTAGTGATTGCAATGCGTGGCAGGTGATGTTAGGCAACGTTTACCGGCATTGTTGGGAATATTGTCGCTTATCTCTGTAGATGCGCGGTCGAACTAATGGCCCAGCGATGATGACCGTGTAGATGGTTGATGGGATAGGGGCTTCGACGTCGACGACCCGGAGGATGGAAACGGAGGGGCGAAATCGATCCGTGGTGGCCATGTTTACCCTGCTTCGGGGCGGATATATGTGACAGCCGGCCATCTGTCTGATGTTGTAGGGGTGACGAGTTTTCTCTGCGATTTGGCCCCCCAGCTGGGCTGTTGGCAGGCTGCTCGCGTGATGCACCTAGTGATGCTGCGTGGAGTGATACGCGCCCCGTTGACCTTCTTCGACACGACCCCGAGCGGTCGCATTATCTCCAGATTCGCTAAAGACGTCGACGTTCTGGACACATCTCTTCCCCAGCAAACGTCCGATTGCGTCTATTGCTTGTTCGAGGTAACTCCTTACGACGCCCTGGCGCGTCTCCTCGGCGAAGGGCTCCTAGAGGCGAATCGCGAGATCCTAAATGTCCACGTGGACCGTGACCTAGGTCACTTACTTGTTCATTGGTTGCCTTGGACGGCGAGGTCTGCTCGTTTCTCGGTGTAGGAGGTTCCGGGATGTCGCTGCGTTGTTTCGCCTCATGGTGATATCACCCTTAAGGTGATACGGAAGGGTTTTATTTATATATTATATATATATATATAACGTCAAGATATTTTTAAAACTTTTCTCCAAACTGGGTGCACCGGATAATCTGAAACTTTAATACGTAATCATAGAGGTCCTAATAAAGATCTCGAAATTCAGAAAATGTCAATTTCCAAAATAAATGCCCCCCTTTTCTTGTTCTTATCTGGGATAAATACAACATTTTTCTATCGAATAATGAAATTCGGGAGTTTCGAGACCTTCGTTAGGACCTACATGATCACGTGTTAAAGTTTCAAATTATTCGGTGCACCCGGTTCGGAGAAAAGTTTTATATTTCGACTTTTTGGCATGTATGTATATGGCACTTTCGTATGACCTTAAGGCGAGGCATTCTGACAATGAGCGAGGAAATCGAGACGAAGAGGTAACGCTCTGGTAATTCCTCATTGCATAAGTCGGGACTGCCCCAAGGTAGTCGACTCTCTTGAATCCGACCTGCGATTTTCATCGGTGTTCCATTCATTTTTTTTTCATTTTTTTTTTTTTCAGATATATAATTTACAATGAGAATAATTACCCCGAGGGAATCGCCTCGCAGAGTCGACTCGCCGTCCAAGGCCCAAGACGCGACCAATCGCTGTTTGTATAATTGTGTCCGCGATAAATTCTCATCCTAACTGGAGTAATACCTTCGTACACTCAGGCTGGCTTGGGATTCGAGGAACCGAAGAGCGGCCGAGGATCCCTCGTCACCTTGCACGACATTTAACGGCATCTTGCACTCATTTTTCTCCTCCGCGCGAAAGTAACCGTTGGTGGTCCCATTGTGTTGCACGCGTTTAATTCCCGTCCCTGGCATCAGGAGGCGCTAGCGGGCCTGCCTGAAAGCCTCGAGATGATCTGCATGGTTCCTGAATGCTCGCACAATGAATTCAGAAGTTCCATAGAAGCCCAGATCCTGTGTCAGCGCTTGATGCTCTAAAAGTTGACTAACAAACCAGGAGTGGGGGTGAAAAAGAGATCGCATGTGTTAACCAAAGGTATCTTACGTATGGAAGAAAGGGATGCATATAGAAAGGCGAGTACTGTGTGTAAGGTAAAGAAAGAATGCAATCCGCTATATATACAACATACTATTTATCGAGCATCAAACGTCCGTATCCTTCTGGGAATTCTATGGAGGCTTATGAATTCTTTGGCTCGTATCGCCTGTCGCTTGGAATCTTTTGGCGTCCTCTGGATACAATCTTGCGCCGGCCGCCATTTTGAAATCCTTCAGGAAACTTTTTCCGGCCAGATTTGATCCAGACCGTTCTCGAGGTCGCCCCCCCTTTTTTTCTACGCCTTCCTGTTTCTTTCAATGGCTAAGTAACACCCTACCTCTGAGTTATGAATAATTGATTGGTCGGTTATTTAATTCATTGCACGCCAAGTGAGTAGTCTATGCGGTTATCGGGGAAGGGATGAACACCTCACTCGCGTGGACGATGAAACGAGCCTCTTTTTTAGGTTATAGCGACCCTTGTGGTGATCAGCATCATGACTCCTACGTTCACCCTTGTGATATTCCCATTGGCGTTGGTCAACTACTTCATCCAGCGATTTTACGTCGCCACGTCGCGCCAGCTGAAACGCATGGAGTCCATATCCAGGTCTCCCATATACTCACACTTTGGTGAATCGGTGACCGGTAAGTAAGGAATTAATTCTGTATTCGTGTAGAAAGAGATAATTTATACTATCCCGAGATACTATGGTTAACAGGTGCCCAAACTATCAGAGCTTTTGGGGTGCAGGAAAGGTTCATCAAGGAGTCGGAGAGCAGAGTCGACTTCAACCAGGTGTGCTACTATCCGAGCATCATTGCGAACAGGTGAGTACGAGTGAGGTTATCTACAATACTGAGAAAAAAAATTGTCATTGAACCAAAGAAATATTTCTCATTGAGAACATAATTTTCTTTGGTTAAATGAAATTTGCTTTTTCTCCGTGCAATGAACCTGCGGGTCATTTATGCGTTTCTGGATTTTAGGTGGCTTGCCATCAGGCTGGAGATGGTCGGCAACATGATCATCTTCTTCGCGGCGCTCTTCGCGGTGTTCAACAGGGATAACATGACCGCGGGTAACGTTGGCCTGTCGCTCAGCTACGCCTTACAGGTGAGTCAAAGAACATCGGCATATCGGTTTTAAGATAGAAGGTGGTCTACATCGATCCACTTTGTATCCAGATCACGCAAACCTTGAATTGGCTGGTGCGCATGTCCTCGGACGTGGAGACGAATATAGTAGCCGTGGAGAGGATAAAAGAATACAGCGAAACGACGCAAGAAGCGCCCTGGGAGCTTCCAGATAATGCTCCCCCAGAGAACTGGCCTTCTGAAGGTCGCGTTGAGTTCAATGACGTCCAAGTACGTTACCGAGAGGGCTTGGAACTGGTCCTGAACGGATTGACCTTCAGGGTCAACGGCGGGGAAAAGGTCGGGATCGTCGGCAGAACGGGGGCAGGGAAGTCCTCGCTGACCCTCTCGCTCTTTAGGATCATCGAAATGGCCAACGGAAAGATCCTCATAGACGACGTCGACGTCTCCAAGCTGGGCCTGCACACCCTGAGATCAAGACTCACGATTATACCCCAGGATCCCGTCCTGTTCTCCGGAACCCTGAGGCTTAATCTGGACCCCTTCGACCGTTACTCGGACGACCAGGTCTGGAAAGCCTTGGAGAACGCCCATCTGAAGGGTTTCATAAAAGGTTCGTCGGAAGCTGCGCGGCGCCCTGGTGATCGCTTCATGGAACGAAGAGTGTACCTGGTTTCATTTCAGGTTTACCTAGTGGACTCTCGCACGAGGTATCAGAGGGCGGTGACAATCTGAGCATAGGCCAGAGGCAGCTCATCTGCCTGGCGAGGGCTCTTCTCAGGAAGACGAAGATCCTCGTCCTGGACGAGGCTACGGCAGCGGTCGACCTGGAGACCGATGACCTGATTCAAAGGACCATCAGGGAAGAGTTCAAGGACTGTACGATCCTCACGATAGCGCACAGGCTGAACACGATCCTGGACTCGGACAGGTGAGTCTCAAGGGCGAAGGCGACTCTTAAGGTCATCTTGAAGAACCTGGATAACCTAAAGATACCTATAAAAAAAAAGAGCTACAAATCTAGAAAAATCTATAAAACCTGCATACACCAGGGAATCTAAAATTCAACGTGTTGCTCGCTCGACTTTGTCCAAACCTTACGTTCTCCCTTCCAGGGTGATCGTCCTCGACAAGGGACGCATCGTGGAGTTTGACCCGCCGGAAACGCTCCTGCAGAAAAAGTCGAGCGCTTTCTATAGCATGGCCAAGGACGCGGGCATAGTCGCGTGACCGTATCCCCTCGAGGGAGAGGTGGCCCCGCAGCCGAGCAGCCACCTCGAGGACGTCGGGGTGCCCGACGAGCGGAGGAACGACGACGCGTCGACGTCGGGCGCGGCACGGTAACGGGAAGCTACTTTGTATAGTGTACGTGCTTAAGGCCCTCTCGCGTCTTTGCGAGAAACCACACGAACAAAAACGGAGTTTCGTACACGGGACTCTCGATTCGCGACCAGTCGCCTTGATTCCGACCTCGGGGTCTTTGCGTCCGGGTCCGCCAACGCTACCTCTCGAACCAGGCCTCGATTTTAACGGCCATCTTGGTTAGGAAGCAGCGAAGGGAACGTCGAAGCCATCTCCTACGAGGCTCCGAGAGACGCCGCGGGGTCGCAGCGACATGCCTTGCCAACATCACATGCTTGATATTAATATTTAAAGACTTCATACCGCTCCTCTCGTCAATCCAGTGTTTCTATGACGTAGGGGGGAACCGTCGATATTAACGTAAGTCGATAAGGCACGTGGCTGTCGACTTAAACGGCTGTTATTTCGATTTGATACTAGGCACTACGTTGGCCAACCTGCACGCAAGACTGGGGTGTCGTATTAGGGCTCGTTCACAATGTCTCGTTGGCGAGCCCTCAAACTACTGCCATTCTATCGACTTACTCGACGCGCACGCGAGCTGAAAGGCGCACTTCTATGTATGTATGTACATATATACTCGTGCTCGCAGAGGAGAGTCTCCTCTCTCTCTCTCTCTGCCTGCGAATTCGGTCCTGTACTACGCGCAGTATTATTCGTCGCCCCCCGCAAGTACTTCTCAAGCAACGGGTTCCGTTTACCTCGGTTAGTTACTTAGCATGGCACTCAACGTTTGTCGCACCCCTTATTAGATATATCTTGGTTTCGACGCCAAGGGGCCTATTCCGTAACTCGGGACGACATGTGTCGTTATCTTTAGACCGTGTTATTTCAATGGACCGACGATAACTATATCTATCGTTCGGAGCTCAAGAATAGGCCCACAGTTTTAAGAGGAACGAGGTAGACGACGGGTCGTCAAATTTTCACTTTGTCGGCTCTACACCTTACTAACCCTAGTTTCACGTTTTCGTTTCTCTCGGGGTGCGGATCGAATTTTAACCGTTTAGCTTTTATCTCTCCGCACAATCTGAGCCACGCGGGCGTCTTGGAGTTCGGTCGATCCGGAGAAGGTTCTTCGTATCGAAAAGTTGATCGACATTTAATTTAAGGCCACGCGAAAGTGCCGTCAAAGGGGTCTCGTTTATGGAACTTTTCTTCAAGCTGGGTGTACCGAATCGAGTCAAACTTTACAGTACAAATGTGGAGGGTATACGGAGAGCCCTGACGCTCATGAGATTTCAATTTTTCTTTTTCTTTTAATTTGTTTATAGGTATTTTAAAAATTTTAAAGATCAAATTTCACGGGTGTCGGAACCTTCCTTGTAGTCTTCGGGTTTACGTTGCAAAGTTTGAAATGATTCTGTATACTCAGTTCGGAGAAAAGTTTCATGAACGATTGACCTCTCGGATGCCACTTTCACATCCCCTTAATGAGCTACTTAAGTGGAACGACTTACAAATTCGGTGAACTTGGAGACGCCCTGTATATTGTGCCAATAGTATAGGCAAAACGAAACGTGTACAAACTGGAAAGGGAAGTATCGGAAAGTATATATATGATTATATATATATATATATATTACTCTGTTAATAGGATTTTAGATTAAAGGTGTTATGTTTTCTTACTTAGCAATTCGTTACTCGTCTGAAGTATTTCCTAGAACGGTCCGAGGACATCAAGTAGTTTTGAATATCCATTGTATCTCACGGGCGTCTTTCGAGAATCATGTTTTACGAAGACGTAGCACGCTTTACTGAGCACCGATACATTATTTTGAGGAATAAAACGTGTCGAGAGAGGGAGAGATATGCGAACGTTCGACCTGCTAACATAACCTCTTTTCCAGGACTAGCCCGTAAGTAATGCGTTTGCTAATGGTCTAGGGTTTCTAGAGGCGGGATGTTGCGGTATGAAATGCATTTCGATTACCTTTTTCTAAATAAAAAGTAGCGTATTAGTAGTCGTAGATACTTCATTGGATGTCTTGTACAAGCATCGCTGATTTACACATCGAATTTCGAGCCCGAACTATGGGAGATGCGAATCCTCTGGGCGTGAATAAATCCACTGTTTGTTTAAAACGAAGACTCTCCGTTCCGTCCTTCCTGGTGGTGCACTGGAGTTTTACAATTCTCTCCAAACACTACACCGAAGTGAACTTCAACGGGACGCGTAGAAGTTGGCAGGGAATTTGTATTAAAAATGAAGTTAACACTAAACGGAACGTCGAAGTTCAACGAGAAAAAAACGGTCGAGGTCCCTTCGAGGCGGAAATAGGCCCAGGAAACCAAACGTGGAACACAGTTAGGAATTTATTGTTATTGCAAGGTAATCGTTGCGTTGGACAACCAGCCACTTGGATTCTTTAAAACGCACACGCCTCGGCGGCGTGCTTAGTGATTCTATAACGAATGCAGACGAGTAGAAACGTCGCACCGCGACGCGCGTCGTCGGTCGCGTTTTTTTCTTTTAACAGCGATCTTTCTTCGCTCGGCTCGGAAACGCGTCGACTATACATGGATCTAATACACCAGGAAGCGGAAGTTGCGCCAGTGTTGCAGCCCTCGAAAGACGGAAATTAACCTAACTAGTAGCTGCGAGGTTTCGGCAGTTGGGCGCCTCGTCTAGAACTTTCTCTTAGAGTTAACCTAAAAGGAAAGGTCCATTTCGAGGTTAGTGACGCAAGGACTTTAGCCCTTTGTACTATAATTGTTTTCCTAGTTTGTTCACGCCAGAGGTGACCTCATAGTGCAAAGAGTTAAAATCGACATCGATGCCGATAAAATTCCTCGCTTCGGGCTGCGACCAATCGCAAGTTCCGTGACCTAACCTATCTTTTTGGCTCGGCGAAGAGCCACGCCTCTAGTCGGTTTTTCGCGATCATTTAGTTTTTTTGTTCTCACTCTCGGCAGGGCCGATTGCCCGCTTTTCGGCGCTACCCGACGACTCGGCCTCCATCTCGGCGGAGAAGCCGAACTCGTTGACCCTCTTCGGGTCGGTCTTGTAGATCCAACGTTGGTACAAAAATATAAAGAAGACAATGTCGTCCCTGAAGCAACCTAGTCTGTAGAGCGTTGGCATCTTGATGACGAACGCGAAGATGTCGTCGATGAAGGTGTTCAAAAATTTGTAGGACATCATGCGCCAGGGCAGGTGCGCCACACTCTTTAGCTTGTAGTTGATGAAGAGTTGTGGCGTCATCATTATGAAGCCAAATGTAAGGAGGAACCCGTACATCATGTTGAGCATCCACGAGTACCAGCCCTTGTGTTCTAGGTACATCAGAGAGTAGACCGCATATCCTCCAAGCAGGGGATACAAGGCCCAGGAAAGGTATTTGAAGGCGAGCCCGTCGTACTCCTTCGTCGAGGACTCCACGTACGATCCTTTGTCATGGAATGTTATCTTCGGGAAGACTTTCAGCACTTTTGAGTCCCTGTTGATTCGGATGTCGACCACCTTGTTTATCTTCCAGATCTCGATACACAGTCTGACCGCACAACTAATGAGCACTACTGCGTTCGTTTCGTTGTCTAGGACATAGAGAAGGACGACCATGGACTGGAACACGTTGAAAAATATCGACCGAACTGACAACCCTTCCAGGGACTGTCGATTGTTCCAAAACTGGATATCTGTGGGTGTATATTAATAATGTTACAAATCTGTCACAGCGAAGGCACAATTACATATTTTATGTTAAACGGTGGAGTCTTACCGTTCTTAAATGCTAAGAGCTCGAACACGCTGTGAAGAACAGATACAACGATGGTCAGTCCTAGTAGGTATGGATTCGTCTCGACTAACATCTCCTTCAGGGTATCTTGATTATCGTCATCTTCGTCCACTGAATCGCCTGATGTACATAAAATAGAGTAAATAGTGTTATCCTTTTTATCGTGATACAAGATTAATAAATATCTTAAAAAAATTTACCAAGCAAGGATATAGTCCACTTGCTTCTCATTAACTGGGCCAGATATAATTGCCATTTAAACAATGACAATGGCTGGAAGGTTAATTGAAGTTCCAGTTCATTAACTGTATCGTTTAACGGCTGATAGTCACGTTGCATGTTCCAAAAGTCATTTAAATACACGATAGGCTTGTACACCGCTCCACTGGCCAAAAAATGAACGTCTGGAAGAAAAGCATTTGCTACTTGCCTATGCCGTTATCAGATTACATGGATTAAATATGGTTTAGGATTTTTGGCTTACACTTGTCAAGTGGTGGAGGTACTTGGCCTTGTATCCAATTGGTTTGATCCGTCACCAAATTGATGGTCATGTTTGGGTGCCAGTGTGATACGATCTCGTGGTCCAACAATTCAGCTTTCTAAAATGAAATTAATTTTGACAATCTAAGACCATCTGTAAGGGAAATGAGAATCTTTACCTTAATCTCTTCTTCGTTTGCGCTTGTCTCTCCAGTTAGTAAATTATGCTTCCTTTGATACTTGATCCGTTTGAACTTGTTCAACATTTTTCTAGCATAAGACATCTGGTTACCTGCATAAACGCCTTTTCCCGAAGAAGGATCTGGAGATTTCCCACTTTTCGTCACGTAGATGTGAAGATAGATAGACCCATTATTTTTAAGACCATCCGAAGGCTTAAATTTGTGCACGTGAACTCTCTCAGAATTATACCAATCCTCATATATTAAACCAGGTTCAGACCATATCAGAGCATTGGGCTCGTCGAAGTGAAAGTTTTCTGACTCGGACAAATAAACGCTGAGATCAAATGGTGTTCCATTTTGGAACATATTTATAGCTTGCATTCGAACTCCGGTATCGGTGGTGGTTTTTGGAGGAGTGGATTGCATTTTCCTGAAGAAGGTACTAATGAAATAAATAACGAGCGCCCGGAGGATCAAAGACTTAGTAATGGCAAAAAACGATTCCATATATGTTGGCTGATACTTCTTTCTTTGCTCCTCGATTTCCGCGTTAACCTAGAAAAGGTGAAAAGAGCCATCGGCATTAAGTTACCTAAATGCAATACGCAATATCTAAATGTACCGTGTCGTATTGATAAAAAAATTATTCTGACATTATTTCCCTCGGTATTTAATATAGCCAAAAAGCTGGGATCATTTTTACAGAGGTTGTTAACTGAAAATAAGTGAAGTGAGGCGGAAAATCACCAACGCACGTCTCTCTCGCCGTTTTCCTGGTCCGCCACGACCAGTTGGCCATTTTCCCGAGTATCCTGTGTATTTTCCACGACGGAGTCCCCATCGGAGCGGGCTACACCTTCATCCTCGTCGATGGCCATTAAAACGGTGAGCTCTCTTCTAGAGCTCGCTCAAATGCGGATTTCTGTACCGCCCTTGGAAAAAAACCTCACTCCGCAACAACGGCGTTGTTAATAAATACACTGTAAACGAAGGAGGCTGAGCGTGACAGTGCACGAAATCCTCGGAATGCACTCGACAATGGTCAGATTCACTTGGTCAACGACAAACGGGCGAGCGATTACGGTAGTTCAACTTCGAAGACCCCGTGCAACCCCGTGACTCGCCGCGAGCTTCGTTCATGCAGACAGATGCTAAGTTTACACCATCGGTATTTATTCAATACCAGTTTAGATAAATCCGACTTTAAGTACGTTTCCATCCTCCAGATTATATTTAATACCGAACTAACTAGACGGTGTAAACGCATTTATTTTCATTGACTCAATAGTTCCCCTTGATTTGAAAACACGACAGTTGATACATGATGTCATAACCCTGCATGCCGTCTATATCAGTTAAACCCTTTTATAAGGAATGGACTTAAGACAATTATTACAATGCTGGGAAATTATTAATCCACTTTTTAAAATAAAAATTGGCGTATGAGTAAAATTGGTTGTAAACGAAAGCGATTTTATATGAAAATTGGACAAGTTAGCATATATGGCGCCATCTTGCGTGATTTCGGAGGACCTGCCCTCCCGTGACATCGTTGTGCACCTCTCGATGGCATACGTATGTATGGTAGCCCGAGCGAAAAACATCGACAGATGGCAAAGACCATGTTATGATTAATATTTCTAATTAAATTCATAGAGCATTAGATGAAATCTGGTACGCGGCAGCAAGTGCGGAGACTGGTTAATCGAAGAGGATGATCGCAAACGCGGTAGTTATTAATCGGCGGCGAAATATCGACATCGCAGGCCCGTGCACCGAGGGACGGAGCGAATGAAACATGGCGTTTGTTTCTTTCATATGTTCCGAAAGCCCAGTCCGTTGATTTCGTTTATTTGTAGCCACGGCGAACGGTGAGCGTTTTCGCGAATATCGCACAGCCGTGGGACTCGGCACGCGTTCGCTGTGCAGGCTCGAGCACGGACGGAGCCCCTTCTTTCGGATGAAATCCTTGTTGGCAGCTCTAAAGAATGAAGGAGAACATCGCCACTCGTGGCTCCTGGAATGCTGAGTGTTTCTGAAACAGTTGGACTACCAACATGACGTCACGTAGCTACACTAAATCTTATAGCCGAAAGGTGACCAGCGTCACGCCGGCCAGTATCCAATTCGACAAGCTCTTTCGAGAGAACAGCAATCGACCCTCTGCCGCGAAGTCTGCAGGCACCGTTGGAAAATGGGGCATCACCTCGTTTACGTCAATTCGGAGCACCAATATCAATGGTAACTTATCCTGTTAATATTTATACCACTATAAGCTTTGTCTCACTTCATTATTAATTAATATATGGGAAAATGTCCCTTTCTTCAGGGAGGCGAGATGACATACACAGCTCGTTTAGTTCGAAAAGGATGAAGCTCGACTACGGCAACCAAAACGCGCGAGTGACCGCTGGAAAGGATCCGTTTTCATTCGATACCGACCCGGATGCAAAGTCGGATGCGGCCCCACCTGTAGTGAAGCCGAAGAAGTTTTTCAAGAGCCGAAACGTCCCGGCAACCATAGAGGAGCCCCGACCAGACGCATCGGTCTACAGACAAGTACCTGATTCACAGTATGGACGTGGTCGTCCCTCGAAGCAGACCCACCAGTCCTCGAAGCAGTCGACCGCTTCGACGCCAAAGGCATCGTACGCTCCAGCACGCAGAGTCACCGAGAGCTTAGACGCTGCTGTGAGTGAACCTCCTGCCGCTCCCCCTGTGACTCCTCCCCATGTTAGGGAGGAGTCGAAGCCACCGATAGTATTGAGAATATGCAAGGGCACCGCGCGTCTTGTCTGCGGTGACACGCAGGACAATCCAGAGCCCGAGACGGACACTTACAGGATCTCCACTCCCCTGGCCAGCCCAAATAAGCTGGAACTGGACCAGAAGAGTTTCAGCCCGGAGATATCGCCGAAATCGGACCTCAGGTCGACGCGCTCCTCCCAGCAGCCAGTCGTCACCACCGTTTCTATACCTTTGGACAATTCGGACATGCGAAGAACCACCCGTAGTCGGGCTAAAAACCTGCAGCTGGACCTCACATCTCCTTCGTCGGCGACGTCGAGCACGCCTGCAACGCCGAGCTCCCATGGCTCCGGTCTCTCCCTTACTCTACGGAAATCCGTAACGGATTCCAACAACACCCTCATATCTCACTATGACATTGTCAAGACTGACTGTAGTCCCACGTACTCGTGCAAGCCGACGATAGAACCTCTGATAGGGCGAGATCAGCCACTGCCCACCACGACGCAGGAGTTGATTGACATTCTCTCCAGCGACGCTGACTCCATGCAGATCAGGCCGGAAGTCGAGACCGCAGAGAAGGAAACTCGTTTCGAGAACCCTGCCGATGAGGTGCAGCACTGCTCCATCGACCTGCCCATGGCTGATGCAGTACCCACGCGACCGGATCCTGACCCGGACCCTCAGCCCGAGGTCGAACCGGAACCTGATGTCGAACCTGAGACCGAGATAGAGGCGGAACAGGAGATGGACGTGTCCGTCACTGACAAGGACTCTGCGGCAGCCAAAACCCTCGTCGACCAGGACTGGTTCTCCAGCAGCGAGGACAGCGAAGGGGCCAGCAATAATGCCGACAATGACATGACGAACAATCCACAGAGCCCCATCTCCGAGTCTCAGCCTATGGCCACCTCTGCAAATCCCACCGCGAAGCCCACCACGAAGAAGGGCAGCATCTTCAAGAGCAGGTCAACCGGCGCCACCAATGGCAATAAACGCAGGGCTCTGTATAAACACAAGTGGTGTGATAGTGACAAGGAAGCCAGCACTCCGGAGCCTGCTATTACAGGGAACGTCACTCCGGATACAGCCTCAGGGTCCCATGGGGTTGCTGGACCCATGGTTTACGAGGAGGAGTTCGAACCCTCCAAGTTAACCAGAGTCGTCACTTATCCTGAGGCCGATGCTGACTTCACCGACGAGACCGAAGCTGTTACGAGTGTCCGTTGTGGCAAGAAGGTGAAGGGTGTAAGTAATTAATTATTTGTCGGATCGATGAGTATCCTTGTTAATTTACTCCCGACGTTTGTGTTCATATTTAATTAATTTTGTTACTCCATTGTAGTTTTACACCGTGGTGAAAAATGTCAAGAAAGCTCATCAGATCCAGGAGAGCGGTGAATTCCAGGAATTTAATGATGACGTAGAGTATATCCTTGATACTTTGAGAGAGAACAACCCGAATGCCACTCGCTGTCTCTCTGCGATAAGGTTGGCTAGCAAGTGCATGGCTCCGGCGTTCCGAATGCATGTTCGCGCTCACGGGACGGTGGCCAAGTTCTTTAAAGCTTTACACGATGCCACGAAAGACCAGGTGAGAGATTTGTTTTAATATCCTATAATGCGGGATGAGGATCGAGCTAAAACATTCTCTTTTGGTCTCGCTCGAAACGAGATTGCTATTGCAGAATAGCATCTGTTGTGAAAGACATCTTCTGACGTTCTTTAACTGCATTTATCACTTTTTGATTTTGGCTCTGTGTGAAAGAAAGAGGTTACGAAATTAACCTTTTTTTTTATGTTGGTCCCCAGAGCCTCGGATTATGTACAGCGACCGTAATGTTCGTTTTGAGTCAAGACCGATTGGCGATGGACTTGGACCGTGACTGTTTGGAATTAATGCTGAGTTTATTAGAGTCGGATGCCAGCCATAAAGACGCTCTCGATGACTGTGGCTTGAGTCGTGCTGAACTTTTGAAGAATAAGGAAAAAGTTCGCCAGCTGTGCGCTGACATTCAAGCTCAAGGACATGCCAAGCATCTTAATCTTGACAATATCACCGTAAGTTGTCAGCTTTATTCGTGATACTTTGCATCGTCCCGTTATTTCATTGTTAATTATTATTGAATCGAAAGCATCCGTTATCATATTCAAATGATTTAATAAAAAGGTGGGGATACCTTAAAAGGGGTGCAGCTTTTTTAAACGATAGACTGGTGCAAAATTGTATGTCTCATGCTTTGTTTTTGTAACAGGTTGGACAGTTGGCGATGGAAACGCTTCTTAGTTTGACATCGAAACGTGCTGGGGAGTGGTTCAAGGAAGAACTTCGAGAGTTAGGAGGCTTGGAACATATCGTGAAAACCATTAGGGATTGTCACCGACACATTGCCGGCAGTGACATTACTCGTTCGGGCTGGAACGAACCATTATTGGACAAGTTACGTAAAGTGGATCGATGCTTGCGAGTCCTGGAAAATGTATGTATCAAATGTTGAGTTATTTTAGGGATATTCAAACCTTAAAATTGCCAATATCACTTAATTTCTTTCTAATAGGTTACACATATGAACGAAGAGAATCAAGTATATTTGTTGAAATACGGGGAAGGAGTTATCGTGAGCACCCTGGCCAGTCTGTATCACCTGTGTGGTCAAGAAATCCCAATATATCCAACAATTGATTCGGGAGACAAGAGTTCTACCGGTGCTGTCATTAGAGAGTGCCTCTTTGCTATACTTAAAGTCCTTATTAATCTTACTCATCGCTTCAATAGGCAATGTAAGATGTCCCTATATTTATACTATTCATTGTCAAAGAACATAGAAGCTGATGGTGTTTGCTTGAGCGTACAATTCATTTTTGGACTAATTTGTTGATTTTTTTATTTAACAGCTTTCGGAAGCAAATTTGTGGGTTCTCAGCCAGGAATTATCGGCGGTAGCTTGCAATTGGTTCTGCGTATACCGGAGTCTCTCCCAGAAGAAAAGCGTTTCGACATTATGATGTTAGCGTTAATCTTGCTGATCAACTTGGTCGAGCAGTGTGACGACAACAAGAAAATCCTTATCGAGTGTCAAGCGCCCCTGAGTACGGAAAATATCTTCGACTGTGAGTAATTAAGATATCGATTAAAATCCTACTCGTGCTTGAACAGTATTTTTAAACCGTTTTCCCTGCTTCGATTTCAAAATTGTTTCAGCTGATGAAAGTGCCGTTGAAGCATTGATCGATCTGTTCTACAAACAAGTGGAGCTAGCACGTGCCGAAGAGCAAAAGACCAATGCAATTCTGGACGGGAAGAAGGATGCCGAACAAACCGAAACCGTGTCGACAACCACCAAGTCGCAGGAGGAGTTCATCGAAGAGACTGTCACTAAATGTTCGTACCCCTCCGAGTGTATTTAAGAAATGTCATCGAAGAAAGTAAATGGTTACACTCAACTTTCGATTTTCCTTTCCAGTATTGCAAAAAGCAGGACAACACATGGAGCATACTCTAATAGGTGCCTACGTAGTGCTTCTGCTGGGATACTTAGTCATCGACAATAAGGTACGCACTTGTTCGATGGTTATTACAAAAGAATACAGTCATTGTTTCCTGCATACGAGTTTACGTTTCTAGGATTACGAGTCGTTGGTGCGTAGCAAACTCCCGGACAACAATTTCATCACGATGGTGGCCGTGCTTCAGAAGTTCTTCAATTTCATGAACCTTACGGCATCGGTGAGTCTCTCGATGAGTGGCAGCTGGTGACTGACGCAACTTTAATCGATTTTATTATTCTTACAGAATGAAATAAGCAGCTGTGGAATAGCAGCCACGGAAAAGGTGATCAAGTTCCTAAAGATGTCCGATGCCAGGGCCGAGGAAGAAAGGAACGAGCTGCCACTGCCTGCTTTGGAGGATCCCAGCATGATGCTCGACATAACCTCATCTTGATTGACATATTACGAGTACATCTGAATAGAAGATTCGTTCTGGAGGAATCGTGATGAACCCTGCAAACGAGATTCCCTTCGCCGCGGCACAGTGGACGGACCTGTTTCATATTGACCGGACGTTTTGATATATATTTATTCGTTTACGTAACTTATTGCTGTACTTTCCACCATTTACCCGTTTGATTTGCGCGAGGAGGTTAATTCGTGCGGGATAGTTTAAAATTATAAGCTGGTTTATGTTTTCTCCCCCACGTAAGGTAGCGAGTGGACCAAGTCCTCGGTACGAGTAGATTCTGTGAAATTAAACGATGTACGAACAGTTCTTGGCGGTGACGAAAAGTTGATCAGCTGATCCAGCTGTCCTTTCGTCCTACACTTTCATGGATGTCGCTCGAAAACATTTACTTTTACCTTACGAATGGCTTGCCTGATCGTTTCTCCCTTTCGTTTCCCTCGAATGGCGATGACGGGTCGTTCGAGCCATCGTAGGCGGACAACGTTCAACATCCGTTCGTTATCGAGTCGTTTGGCAGTAAGAGGGTCGAATGCGGGCCATTGAATATTCATAAAGTGTTATGACCGTGTAAGTTTATTTTAATATTAAAATTAAATCTACACTGTAAGTCTTGTAAATGTAAATTTATAAATTATAATTGTATCTTACGTACACCGAGTTAAACAATTGAATTCTCCTCGTTCAACGAATCGGCTATTATTGCGAACCCACCCACCCCAATTCATCGGTAGAGATTTTCATATTGAAAAGGTCTTTGTCACGGGAAAGGACGCACAGTGAGGTAAAACGGTTTACCGTAGAAAATTATTAACGGTTTATACGCCATGTGTAACAAGCCGTAGATATCACAGAGCAAGAAATTAGAAGTGACTGTTTCGGACAGAGTTTGCTTGAAACTTTTGAACCTCGTTGTCGATTATGTGTGAGAGTGCTCTCGTCACCATCTGAATGGGTTCCCATCGAGGACTGTATGGAACGTCTTCCACTAATTCACTGTACAACTTTCCTTGTGACGTCATGTGGTATATAGACTGCAATGTGATCTGTGGCTGTTCTTTCGGAAACCTCGCAGGAAGGTGGAAATGAATCATGAAGTAGAAGTCACGATGTTCCATAAGAATCGAGATCTGAGTGAACTCGATCGCATCGTACTCTATTACACTTCCATGCTGTAGGAGTAGTAACGATGAAATAAAACTCTTTTTTCTGTCACAACACAGCGCCAAAAAGTTTATCTGAAAGCAATGACACAATGGAATTCAACACTTTTGTTCAAGAAATTCGTTGGAAATTCTATATAATTTAATTAATTGATTGAAGCCTTACCTTCTCTTTCATGAATTTTTTTACTTCGAGAACATAACTCATCAAATACTTTTCAGGTGGGAAAGGTGGGATGTGAAGAGCAGTCGATCCACCAAATGCTTCCTCCAAACTTTTAGAAAGAAATAATTGCGGAATTTTACGAGTCCATTCGGGTCCGATGAAAGTAACGAGTAACATTGCTGCATCGTTGTGTGGCCGACTGCTCCGAGCTGGTAATTTAGAAAAATCCATTGCCATTCGAATGAGAAACCTCGCTTCCTTAGGTTTAATGGTCGACGGTAGCAATATCACTTCCACATCTTCCGTACATACTTCGGTTTCATTGATAAGCTTGTAATACTCCAATTGAAGACGCTGACCATGTTTAGCAAGTTGGTCTATCTATTGACATTTGAAACATTCGTTGTAAAAGCAACGCTTGCTGTACAAATTATTTCTACCTATGAGATTGAAATAGGAAAGAATTGAAAAATCACGTATCTAACGATTTAAGTCACTTTTTCAATATCCCTAATTTACTTTCTAATGCATGTTCTACACTCTACAATTATGTAATAATTATTAAAGAAGTAAAGAATTAATTGGTAATTTACCTGATATTTTTTATAAGTTAGGACGAGTTCAATAATGACAGTCAAAAGCGAATCGGGATCCATGGGGTCCCATTTGACAAGACTAGGTACATCTGTGGCTAAAATGTCTACATCTGGGTCCAATAAGAACAACTCGTCGCCAAATGAAAAATCTGGGCCTAACTCAGGATACTGAGAGTCAAACAGAACGTTCCAAGAAAGTGTCTGACCAGCGTAGGGTATTGACAGATTGAAACGGTCACCTTTCGACTTTCCACAGCTGGACATTATTAAATTCAATTCTACTTTACCGCAACATACGCCTAAAAAAAAAGTAATTAACAATTGCTACTACAATTAAAAGATTCCTGCTGTGCATACAAATTTCACATATTTTGTGATTAACAGTAATAATATTATTTGTTGTCAAACGCCGGCGATAGTCAACGGTATGATTATCTTACCAAACTTCTGAAATTGCAGAACGCGCTTCAAAACAGGTTCAATATATGTGTCTATAGTATTCAAAATTGGATGATTTTGATTCAACATGTTTCTGCGATTACTTGCTAAACGTGGCTAAATTTATTAAGTGACGGAAGTTGGGTACATTAAACATATACTCATTGAAATGTCACCCAGAGCAGTACTAATAATATTTATAGTTTACAAAAATACAATTATGACGTAAAAATACAATACAACGTAGGAACTATGAACAGAGATGAGTTGGGAGATTGCTCACGGGCAGGGTCGCGCGATCGCATCCTGTGCTGCCCTCTGGTTTCGTACATCAGCTTTCACCGTTTTTTGCCCCAAGGGCGGCGCAACGAATTTCTGGTAGGGGCTTGCGCACTTGCGTTGGCGATACCATTTACCAGTAGCCGTTGACGGCTCACGTACTCGTGATGGTAATACCATGCGAGTGTTGACGGTGGTGGCTTACCTACGCTTACCGACGCATTTGATGATAAGGGAAGGCACTCGTGGCGCCCTCTTTGACTTTACCCTTCACTTACCTTATATAAATTACGGGAAGGTGAAATTTGGCCGAAACTTGTGAGGCCCGAATACCTGACCACGAGTCTCACATGTGGTTGTAGGGCAAAGGGTTAAAAGAATATTAACACACAATTGAGATCTCGGAGAGATCTTGGGATCAAAATGAATTGGAAAACTGGATGATCGTCAAAAATGTCTAATACATAGTTGGTTAATAAATTTCAAAATTGGTTACCCGAGCGGCCATTCGCGAATCAATGCTTCTCTTGCATTTCCATGCAAATCGAATCATCGATTCCCCAGGCCCACCACGAGGAGGTTGCCGCTCAATGAGGCCCGTCTAGGAGCACTAAAACGTCAACCTAAATGAAATGCAAGAGAAGCATCGATTCGCGAATGGCCGCTCGGGTAACCAATTTTGAAATTTATTAACCAACTATGTATTAGACATTTTTGACGTATGATCGTATGATCGTATGATCGTATGATCGTATGATCGTATGATCGTATGATCGTATGATCGTATGATCATATGACGTATGATCACGTATGACGTATGATCTGCGGTCAGGTGTCGACCGGGAGAAGCGACGGTATGGTAATTGAGGACTCCCGATTATCACAAAATCCTAATCACCATAAAATCCCCAAATTCTAATAATAAATTTTGAAATTTATTAATCAGCTATGTATTAGACATTTTTGACGTATGATCGTTAAATATACGTAATAAACGCCTAGAAGATTATTTCATTAGAAAAAGTGGGACCACGGGTGTAGTCGACTCACCACGCCTGAAGATGGCGCCACGATTTTTTTGTGTCCGAAATGGAAGTGCCACATGTCCACTACATCTTTAGTAAATCCATGCTTAGGAGAATAGTTTAAATTTAAACCATGGCCGCTAGGTTGCAGGGCCTTGGATAGCTACAAGGAAGAACACTCTCCGTTACTATCTGATGAAGAATAACTTCATGTCGTAGAATATCGGCCTTTCGTCGGCCATTTTTGTTTTTCACGTGTGCAGGAACAGGATTCTTGTTCCTTTGTAACCGACAATGAAGTAAGTGGTCGTCTGAGCGCGGTAATAGGATCTGAATATTTGCCATCGATCGTATAAGTTTCTGTTGAAGTGTAACTTGAAACGTGCTTGCAAGTCATAGTAGAATAATATGGCGGTATTATTTTCAGGATCGGTCTTTGCGCGTATAGCGGATATAAAATATATCCAGGCCATGGAAAGACTATGGTCAAAGTTGACGGAAAGGTAATGTTCATATTCAATATTCATATTGTTTTGCTTACTGATAAACGCATAAATTGTATTGTTATTGGCGCTTGTTTGATTTGAATTTTATACCGGGAATTTAACGTATTTTCGACCATTTAGTAAAGTGGATAAACAACCTCCAATTAATCATTTCAGACTTTCACTTTCCTCAATTCAAAATGCGAGTCGGCCCATTTGATGAAGCGCAATCCAAGAAAAGTGACATGGACTGTCCTTTACAGGTACATGTATATTTTTAACCCATGTTTTGGTCAAATTTTCTTAAGTCGTTTACTTTCCGATTTAAAATCGATGATAAGAATGTTAACCCGATTCCTCTCTTTTGTTTAATTAGACGAAAGCACAAGAAAGGTCAGGAAGAAGAACAGGCAAAGAAGAGGACGCGGCGCGCTCAGAAATTCCAGAGGGCTATCGTCGGTGCTTCCCTCTCTGACATATTAGCTAAGCGGAATATGAAGCCTGAAATCAGAAAAGCTCAAAGAGACCAAGCTATTAAGTGAGAACCTCTCTAATTTTTCACGCAATGTAATAACATGAGTTTAGACATCTGTTCCTCTGATAGCATCGTTCATTGTCTATCAGATTTCAGAATGTCTTAGATCAAACATGAGCTGCTTCACCCGGAATTGTAAACAAAAAACTTACATTGTTCGGTTTTGCGGGTTCATACAGTTATAGATAAATATAATTTCTTTGATATCTACTTATATACCGATATTTGTAATGATTCTTTGACACTTCTTTCAGGGCTGCAAAGGAACAGAAGAAAGCAGCTAAAGCTACGAAGAAAGCAGCAGCTCCACCTAAGGCGAAGGCAGCACCAAAACAAAAAGCTACAAAAGTGACGCAAAAATCTGCACCACGAGTTGGAGGAAAGCGATAAGTTTGCTGTAACTTTACAAATAAATTTCTAATTATTTAGAAGGTGAATATCATCTTTATCATAAAAACTTTCACTTTTGCCCAATATTAGTTTTAACATTGCATCAGAGGGTTTAGTTTATATACTCATGACAGTTCTTCACATTTGAAAGGTTAGTGAGAAACTGAAACATCGTAAGCTGTATTTTGGTTTATTTATTTATCAATCTTTATCAATATAACAGTGCAAGTTGTGGTCGGTAAACTTACAAATAATACACATTTTATACGTTCTTCATTTCCTTTTTCAACTGTGAAAGTTTTGTCAAGGCTGTGTCTCTCCACGCACGCCTCTCCTGAAGTTTTTCCAGTGGAGTAATCTCATTCAACTGGTCACTGATTTTATCTACAGTTTTTTGGTCGAATGTCGGAACAGGTCCTAATTTTAGGCTGGTCCCACGGATTGACTTTCCGTATACCTCACAGTATTTTTTGAAACCTGTAGTAGGAAAGAACACATTTCATAAGGATTAGTAAATCAGTAATTGTAATGCTAATGATAGGATAGTATGGTAAGGGAAATGGCTTACCTTCCGCATTGAGATGAGCTGTTTCCAGAGCACCGAGAAAAGCATAGCGCATTCCTAATCCTTCACTCATTACTACGTCTATGTCCTTCACATCCACAACATCATCTGCTACCAAATTCCATACTTCGCAAAGGATTGCATATCTAATTAACATCAACGATAATCAACCTCTGGTTTCATTTTTGAAGTTCTTAGAAACGAATACCCAACAGAGTCGGATAATACTGTAATAACAGATATAGTATATGCTATAAAGCAATAGAAAGTAATTGCATACTGTATTCGGTTGAGTACAAAACCATCGATTTCTCTGCTTAATGTAACAGGAGCTTGGCCTGTTTTGAGCATAATTTCTTTCACTTTTGCTGGTATCTCGGGTCGTGTCCAAGGAGCTGGTACAATTTCAACGAGAGGTACATAATATGGAGGATTCACCTAGGCATATGCAGAAAATGGTACAATTTAATTTGAATTCTCGGAGTAAAGAAAGAATAAAAATACCTACAGGATGGGACACGACAACTTGCTGGCGGTGCTTAAGCTTCTCACTGAAGAGAGATGGACGTAAGGTAGAGGTCGACGATGACAAGATCACTTTGTCATCAACAACCTCATCCAGTTCAGTGAAAACATTTATCTTGAGTGTCAAGTTCTCTGGGGTACATTCTTGAATAAGCGTAGCACCTTTAGCAGTCTCTGCTAAGTTCGAAGACCCTGTATGACCGGAGGGAAACAGATTGCAAAATTAACTGACCGATCGTAACATCATACGTTGTATATGGTTCGTGTTATTTTTCTAATAGTATTGCATATTGTAAGGTACTTCCCCTTTAACAAGATAAAATATTATCGAGTCGCACCATTTTTATGACGATAATGGGAAAAAAATAAATTTTTCATATCTACTGTGATGTAACACTTGCCACTGATAAGATTGTACTGTTGATCAGCAGTAAGTTTCCCGCGTAGAAGTCCGTCTTTCTCGAGTCGTTTTAACTGTTGCTGAATATCATCTAAGGCTGTCTTCGTTTGTTCTTCCACAATGTCAAATAGTACTACGCTGTACCCTGCACTTGCGAACAGCATCGCCCAACTACGGCCTATTAAACCGCTGCAATAAAAACAAAATCTTGAGAAAAAAACCAAAGCAGGAATTTTTAACTCATTAATAGTAATCACTATTTGAAAATTCATGACTCTAGCATAAAGATTTTTCGTAGAACCTATGAAAACTATGTTAAGCAACTCCACTGAAATCAAGGAAATTGACGTTATCTCGATTTGGTTCAACGCCACCACTGGGTACGGTCAACAGTAGAAATCTCATATTATCATAAGAATCTCATACATGATAACACTGTATTTCTCTATTCACAGAACACAAGTTTTTTTTAATTCCTTCAGATCGTTTGGAAAATGTGGGCTAATTGGAAGTTGTAGTAATCATTGGTAGTCAGGCCTTGGTCAGCTATGCGACGTGACATCGACTATACTTAAAACACAATTATTGTTATCAAAACGTAGAACGAAGTCTGCATGTTAAAGAGGAACGTAAAGGAAAATCCATTTTATCAGAGAACAAAGCAACAAATTATAGACATAAAAAATTGCAATAATTATATGGACAACTTAATAAGAAATGTAAAAATGGGAATAATTTTATGGACAACTTAATAAGAAACCAGTACAGGTTTGACATTTCATGCCGTATAGTTTGTTCGGCACGTTGCCTAATTTGCAATATTTAAGTTCAAGTTTGATACCTAATTTTTTTTAGCTTATCAAATTTATTTTTCAGGTGTAAGTTAAAGGTAGAGAAGGTAAAACTGTCACCTTCCAACGATGCCAATTTTCTCCACACTTGCAGCCATGATCGGAGAGAAGTGCACACTTGTCAATGAAGAATATTTCTACAGTTGAAAGTCTCTCGCGCTCTCTATAACTGCTCCCGCCCGACGACAACGCGTCGTAAATATATCGTAAAACTATCCCCCATTCTCATATCTCATGGTAACGGTATCTCCATTCAGCCTTCGCAGATTGTAGCCGTTGAAAGGCTGCCGGTCTTGCGTAGATTCACGTAATCCTATTGCGCCAGCTGAGTTTGGCGCCAAATACGAATGTTCCGAAGCGCTGCCCAAACTGTTTCGTCAAATCGGTCATTCTAAACACGCATTTCTGAAAATGAATTCTCTCTCAATCATTATTTATTTATTCGCGTTGTCTACTGAATGTGGTTGAGACGTTTGTAAGGAAATTATTTCCCTGTGGATTACGAGTCAAAGTGCAAGTTCTTGACGCCTGTGATAAGAATAATAAATACTACTATCTTCCGATAGATAGCATTTAACCGTTTTTTCTTTTTGTTTTTTAGTACTTATCCACATTTTTAGTTCTCTGCTTCAAGACACTTTTGAAGACTTACGTTTAAAAGTGGAGAGAATGAGGGGAATTAAGTGGCAATGAATTTCTTGCTAGGTAATCATTATATTATAATAATTGAAGGTTGAAACGAGAAATGCAAGGCGATCAGCTCGTCCTCGAATCAGCCTTAGCGGACGCGTGTCAATTATTTATTCCTCGAGAACATTTGTTTTATAAACAAACTTTATTTTATGATGTTTTTCGTTTCAACTATGCCCGAAATATGCTTTTATAGTGTAATCCAAAGCTGATATCGGTATCTTTTTGGAATACCGTAATTTTCCAATAGTGCTTGAAGGTTTCGGGCAAATCAGACTTCGGAGAACTTAACATGGAATCTCAGCCTTGGTATCTGATTTGTATATTGCTAGGTTTGTTCTTACTGAACTTTTATTATTACTAATATTAATGAAATTCTAATGATCATACTTTAATCTTTTCATGATTTATATTGTCATCAATGAAAGGTAGGATTCTCCCATGTTTGTTCTCATAAAAAGTCACATTGAAATTAACTCTCTTTGATGAATTCCTCGGTAGTTTAATAAATATTGTATTGATTGACAGTGATTTTCATAATTGTAGGATTTTTGGTCAATGAGACTCTCCAAATGAAAGGAGATCTTCGCAGCAAGTATGCATCAATTAAAAAACCTGAACCGCCCGTCATAGCTAGTGATTACAGAAAGAAGAATGACGAGGTAAAGCTCAATGGAACCAGCGAATTAACTATGACCTCTGTCAATGAATTGTCGACACCGATGATTTTATCTGCTTTAAGCATTATTGCACCTGGTATGAATTTCAATTACAATTCAATGTTAACCTAGAATTAATGTTTTTCAAGGTTCGTTTTGTCAGATAATATTTTGGAATTTGCAGGACAGAATCTTGGAAACTTGACAAGGAACGTTACTACAGATTCAGCCCGATCTAAAAGGCATTTTCATCGGACTAAAGTTCCTCGCAAGGATTTCCATGGAAAGCTGAGATCAGCAACGACGAGGCCTTTGAAAAGTCTCGGTGCAACCTCAAATGCAACATCCAGTGTTTCCCATTTGTTACAAGCCCAGGACATCAAATCACATAATTTTGAATTGAAAGACAGTGATTTTGTAAAATTGTTGGATGCATTTTCCAGCTCTTCAGTTGTTACGAGACCACAGACGTCATCAGCATTGTTGTCGAAATCAGTTATTCATTCTGGAAGAGAATCAAGCAACAATATTGTAAATAATACTGAACCTGTTATCTCTTCACTGAATTTGGGTAAGTTAGTTCAGAAAATACCGAATCAAGGAATATTTTTTATTCATAATTTATCAAAGATGTAATTAAAAGTGAAACATGAAATAATTGTGTCGCAGATTCCAATAGATCACCTGCTGCTTCTATATCAAACATGGAATCTGTACAAGAAAACTCCTCTTTCCCAGATTTTGCGTCATTTCTTTCAACAAGCACTGAAGAGATTAATGAAGTAACGATTTTAATGAAACTACAGCAGAGAACAGACAATATGACTACTGTATTATTATGCATTCCTATTTAAAGATATTTTTTAAGTGCGATATGAATGTATTGCTTTATCGATTGATTTTTAGCAGATTGCAATTATACAAATTTAGCCAAAACTAGTCGATAAATCAACACACATTCTATTAAAAAATACTCGTGCTTCTAACAGTATTTCTTTTTTTCAGGACAAAAATTTAGGAAATGAAACTAATTTAGAAGTTTTTGAGGAAGTTTTAAGTTCTAGTACCGCAGAACCAATGTCTACTTCATCCTTTGTTAAAAGCGCGTCTAATAGAATACCGACAATAGATGATTCCTTGAAAACGTCAAAACTTTGGGAAATTCCTGCAACTAATACAAATACTACATCGATGATGTTTGAAACGATGGATTGGTTGAGAGAAGATGACACCTTGACTTTGAATCGAGAGCTCAGAGAGAGATCTACTATGAAGAAAGAAATGCAGATGAACGATACAGACGACAACTTCGATAATAAAAAGGGCATTTCAGGATTGTCGGAGAAGGTCTCTGAACTCGACGGAGAGACACCATTAAAAATAGATATTCCCTTCAGTGTAAGGGCTTCGACAAAATTACGCCAAAAGGTCAACAAAATTAAGGAAGGTGAGACATCCACGATGGAAAATGAGGATCAAATACATCAACTGGGTCATATCTTTGAACCTTGGAAACAAGACTCTTCTAATCAAAAAATATCAGCGTCTCAGCAAACGGTTATGTCAACTGGTGATCAACTGGACAGCGAACATTCATCTACAAAGCAATGTTTGAAGCCTGAGAAAAAGGAAGAAATTGAAAAAGATATTAATTTTATTTCAACCTTCAACGTGCCCTTTTATGAACGTGTTAACGATTCAGGCTTATCGACACTGTCGACTAAATTAAAATCTGAAGACTGTCCAACGAACTCACGTGTGCAACGTTTCGAAGAGTCTCCAAGCTTTTCTGAAAATCATAATACCGATGTAAGTATACGAGGCGTAATTTTCCAAGATGTTTCATTTCGTGGTATTATAAAGTCTTCACTCGATGATACTTTATTTCAGAATACTGTTTCGTCAAAGGTTCCCAAAAAAGAAAACGAATCCTGTCCTGCAGGTTCAGATTGCTACGTAGATGTAAAATCTGCATTTGGAACTGAAAATGGCAGCACGCTTACAGAAATAAATCTACAACCTGACCTACGAAATCAAAATAATGAATCGTACAAAAGTAAAGTAATCGTTTCTGAAAGTAAAACAGTTACGGGTAATGAATCGTCCATTCGATCGTTCTTGGAGAGCATGAAAAAGGGGACGAAAATTAATAACTTTAGTCAGACTTCTTTGAATAAAACTAACTTCGATAATGATGTTTTAACTATTGTAAAAAATGCCTCGAGGTCAAATGTAAGTGAGAAGAAAAACATCACATCTCCTGAAAACGTTTACATTATTGGAAGTCTCGGATACTTCAAAGAAAGCCAAGAAGAGTTCCCTGAAATAGAGGAAGACTTTGGAAAAAGACGAGAATCCTTATTTGATTATGGAGGAGCTAGCGACGATGCTGTTCTTTTACTGGAGGAACATAATATTAGAAAATTACCAGAAATCGTGGAAGTGGAAATAGAAACTCCAGATTCTTCTACGTCTCAATTTCGTTGGGAAGGGAATCTAGTTGGTACGAATATTTTGCTTCGTCAAATACAGTAACCTCAGTGAAACAAATTGTACAACGAATAACAAACTCTCTCTTCACTGTAGCTAATTTCTGTCAATCCATGATAATTGAATATTTTATTTGCGCATCTGTTATATTTTGCAGATCGCTACGATGAATCATGGTGGCCAAATGACGATGCCAGTAGCAGTAAACTATTAGATAACAGTTTTCTGAAAGAAAAATCAAATATCATTTACATGCGCAAGGCAGCCAATAAAATTAGAAAGGAATCTGAAAAGCTGCAAAGTTCCTTGGTTTTAACGGATCACTTTACTCCAGAGGAAAGTCAACCCGATAAATCCTATCAGCTTGTTCATCTTTCAATATTTTATGGTGAACAGAAAATTTATTTATTTTACAAATAGACTTTACTTTTACTTTCTCCATTCTACATATTACTTTTCTAGTGGTCATGGCAATATGCATATCCTTGGTCATTTTCAATGTGTGGTGCAAATACATGCCAGTATTGAAAGTTCCAAACTTTCCGACTTTCTGTTGGAAACATCGACAAATCACCAAAGCTGTAGTTTAACGTAACAATGATTTAACATAATAATCATTTAAAATACATCGATGAATACGATGCTACAGTAAAGGAACAGAAATAAAGGATAAAGAATCTCGCTGTAACCCTTCTGCAAAACCTTGAAGAGGACGTACAGTTTGAGCACAAGGCAAAAGGATCCTGGTCACAAACTGGGAAGATGGAATCACTATAAATAAAGATCAATTTTAATACTCAATCAGAACACTAATAGAAATTTAAAAAATGTAGAAAATGCACAATACATGTCAGAGTGTAGTTCAGAGGATTCTTTTCTGAGAAATCATTCATAACGAATTTATTATATCCAGTTAGGGACGATACTGTCTCATTATCGTCTGCAACCAACGTTAAATTTGTATTTCCGCTATTGATAATCACTATGCATTAAAATATCAGCGTGAAAGGAATAAGGATGAATCCAGGAATTTCACTTCATATAAACATGTATTTATTTAGTAATGCAATGAAACCACATCCATTTACATTTTATATAAATTTGAAGTTAATGTAATTATGTTTACGAACACCTGTTTCTACTTTTTAAAATAAGGACGAACCATTGTGCCTACTTGGATTATATAATTTTAATGAACATATTAAAAATTTATTGTAAGTCGCAAGTAGCAACCAATGAGTAAAGCGAATTTTCTGCCCTTTTTCCAATATTTTAGTAAAATTTAATCGTTTTATTGGTTATTGCTTGAATCGCACTACGCTGCCATGGAGTGGATGACGTCACGTCGGGAAATCAGATGAACAGTAGAAGGCCACTTCGTCGCGTGGTTCGTCATTTTCGAATGCGGGGAAGAACCTGTCTTCGTGAGCAAGGTTAAATTCCTTTTCGCAGAGAGATAAGGTTTGTTCACGATACAGTCGTCGGCGATACCTAATGGCAGTTACATCGCATAAGTGAAAAGAAAAGATTAATTACGATATTTACACATTGACGTGCAGCGTGTCTCTCTTCATCTGCCAGTGCATACGATGCTTATGTAGTTTACGATTATCTATACCGATTTACGCGCAATTCTTCTATGCGAAAAAATGCCAGCGGTTTTTGAGAATTTTTCCGTGCTACAAAATGTTGCCACGGGCGAGCAGAATTATCACACCTTCAACGATGGTAATATAATGCGTCGATGAGTAGGGTTCTGTTTGTGATTATAGGTTATGTATGAATTTCTGGTTCTAAAATAATCGGTGAATAGTTGGCACGGAAGAATTTATTCCTTTAATATTTTGTTTTTATAATGTGTCATTGCGGTAAGAAACAAGAAATGGTTGTAATGTATTAGTATTTTGATAATTATTTAGGAAGGGTCTAATGTTTCTGTGGTGGCTTAATTTTACGGAATGCATTCAAGGTTTGCTACCATGTTCTTTTGTTCTAACAATATATAATGAAATCGTATACGATGTTTTATGTTAGCGAGTGATTAAGGGCAGCAATAACTTGACTTTTAATCATTTGGCACCTTGGTTAAATTAATGTTCTCGCTTTTTTTTTTTCTAGATTCCAGAACAATGGATGACATCCGGGGATTTAGTCCCTGTGAAAGTTCTGTAGATTCACGAAGCAGTAATTCGGAACAGTCTCCAGCATCTGTACTATCTCCACAGATTCATTCAAATAACTTTCTAAGTGCCAATAATATGTGTAGGTTATGATTTGAATATTTTTAAATTATTAAAAATGTTTAATTAGTATGATACTGATCTAACCTTGGTTTTCATTTTGGCAGTTAATGAAAAACCTCAGCTGAAAATAGTGGTACAACCAATAGAAAGATTCAGATTTCGGTACAGATCTGAAATGATGGGAACACATGGAACCTTGATGGGAAATATAAATGGTACAGGACGCAGAAAGAACGCACCATCGGTTGAAGTAAGTTATTGTATTTCATTAAACTTTATGTTGTTTGTGTATCTTGGTTCATATCATTAAAATATAGGAAAACCAATGAATCAATTTCTGTTGTCATAGACCAATCCTTTATTATTAACATTAAAGTTAAATATTTCAGATTCGAAATTACTCTGGAGAAAAAGCTATAGTAAGGTGTAGACTAGTCACCGTAAGTCCTGATCGACGACTGCCCCATGCTCATCGATTGGTACGGAGAGATGGCAATACGGAGCAAGATGATCCACATGAGATTGTGGTCACTGCACAAAACGGATATCTCGCAGTGTAAGTATTTTAGAAGATTAATATCGATTCAATGTTATGAATATACAGAAACCTCGAAAATCAAAAATGTTCTCCAGATTTCAAGGAATGGGTATAATACACACAGCTAGGAAATACATTAAGGAAGAACTATTAAGGAAACTGAAATTCGATGCTGTGGAGAAATTGAGGCAGAAAAATATGAATATCACACAATTGGGGGTTCGAGAAGAAACACAGGTAAAATTGTACGGCTTTCCTAATATGACTTGTAATTTATTTGTTATAAAATATATGAATGTTTTCATAATTTCGGTAGGAAAAAATTAACGCATTTAAGTGGTGCATTAAAAAACCTGGAAAGACTTATTGAAATGAATTCATATGCTGAATGAGTCTCTATGATTAGTTCATTTATCTATGTTTTGTAATCTTACCTTTCTTTTGTTTACATTCCACTGTAATGTAAACTTCCAAGGAAACTTGATAGGGCTTCCAATCGGTTATCATTAAAGTGGCTTAAAATTTTGATATAACTGTTTAGTGTTCTCAGTTACCATCCAGCTGGCATAAATGAGAGGCAATAAGTTCTGTAGAAGATTTCTACGTGCTCATATGCAAATTAGGCAAAAATGGTTTCTAACCGTTTGTTATTGTGACGTAAATTGTTGATTGTGTTACAGGTCCGAATGCAAGCCGAAAGTGCTCAAAAGCATATGAACCTTAACAGCGTCGCGTTGTGTTTTCAAGGATTCGTGGAGAATCAGAAAGGCTATCTGATGCCACTTACCGAGCCAGTTTACTCGCATCCAATAAATAATTTAAGTAAGTTAATTGCATTAATTAAGTTTATAAAACCTGTGAAGGAATTTACTGAAATCTGAAGTATGATTAATTCAATATTCTCGTATTTATGAACGAACATCTTAAATATCTGAATCTGGATGTGGCATGAGTGATTTATATTTATGATTTTTATTTACATTACAGAAAGCGCTCTTACAGGAGAATTGAAAATATGTCGAGTAGACAGAACCAGTGGATGTTGCGAAGGATCCGACGAAGTATTTATACTCGTGGAGAAAGTCGGAAAAAGTCTGTAGCTTTGTAAAAGTTTGAATCTTTGGAGCTAAGTCTTAACACATATGTTCTGTGTGTATTAACTGTTTCCTTTTATTCCAGAAAACATAAAAATTAAGTTTTTCGAACAGAACGAAGACGACCAGGAAATTTGGTCTGCCTATGCACGTTTCTCTGAATTGGACGTGCATCATCAGTATGCTATAGTCTTTCGGTGAGTGTACCAAAAATATAAAAGTAATTTTTTCATTAAAGAAATTAGTTTCCAATTTATTATCTGTTCGTGCCACGTTTAATTTCACATTGTATTTGTCATAGCACACCTCCTTATAAAGATTTAGAAATCACGGAGCCAAAGGATGTCTTTATACAGTTGGAGCGACCTACCGATGGTGATTGTTCCCTGCCAATAAAGTTCACCTACAAACCAAGTGACAAATTGGGTAAGCATTCGAATAGAAAATTTCAGAATGCTTTTAGGATCTCGCATTACCTTGGTATAATAATAAAAAATAAATAGTAGTAAAATAATAAAAGGATCACTTACATGCCCTTTTTTTTGTCTTTCAGGTCGCAAACGTATACGGATGTCATATTCAGGCAGCTCAGAATTGGCTCGGTGTAGGAACACTTCGATAAGAAATCTGTCATCGGAAAGGTCGTATGGCATTAGTACGGCCGAAAGCCGCAGTTCCTCCATCAATTTGGAACAGTTGCTGCAGTTAGATCAGTGTGCATCAGACGATTTTAAGAAATTTTTATCCTCGCTCGATGAAGACAGTACGTATAGTGTGAAAAATTTGCCGCCCCTCATTTTTTTTGCACATCAGATTTTAGCTGTTAGATTTTATTTTCCCCATAAAACTACTAACATTTCTTTTTATTAAATATCTAGAGTTCATGACCACATTCGACGAACGCGACAATATGTTGGCTATTGATGGCAAATCAGAACAGGTAAGTTATAGTGGAACAACCGATCAATTGTAATATCCATATTTATGTTTCTGTATTCCTTTCTGGTAAGATGTCCTAAGTTTTGTATCTTTAATAATTCAACAGGATGACAACTTCGCGTTAAATGTAGTATCCGATGCTGCGAAGATAATGCGAAGCGAACCATCGAAATTAAAAGAAAAGATTCCATCATTACTCACTCAAAGGACAAAGTATGGAGATTCTCCACTTCATTGGGCTCTTCGCATGGAACAATATTATGTGGTGCAATATATTTTGCTTATCCTTGGTAGTGATCCAGATTATAAGCATATCGTCAACATTCAGAACAGTTCAGGAAAGGTACATACTAAAATAATTGTTCCTTACAGCAAAAGTGTTTAGACTTTACGGTGGACATTCTGTATCCTTGCTTAAAAAAAATAGCTTTCCATAAAAATTTCCTCTTTGTATCTTATTTGCTGAAAGTTAAAGAATTTGCTTGGTCTTTTTAGACACCGTTGCATTATGCCGTTTTGCAAAATCAACCTCAAATAACCAACACATTGCTTGAACTGGGGGCCGATGCAAATATCTGCGATGACCGTGGATCTTCTGCTTTACATTCAGCAGTTAAATGTAAGTCATCATTAGCTTATTGTGTCAATAAAAGAGTGAGGTTAAGTATTATAATACGCTTGTTTAGTGCCTAACGCGGGCAAATGCGTAAAAGCTCTTTTGCCTGGCATCGTCAAGATAGATGCACCGGATGATATTGGATGGACACCTCTGCAACTTGCTGCCGAAGCTGGTTCCGCTGAAGCTGTAAAATATCTTGTCGAAGCAGGTGCAGATGTAAACTGTACAGACACTTCGTGTGGTCGTACTGCATTACATATTGCTGTAGAAGGAGGCCATTTGAATATTGTCGAATACCTGCTCAAGGAGGTTAGTAATTGCAATCTTTTGTGATGCAATTGTGAAATACTCTACGATGACTTAATTTATTCGATCTGTATTTAATTTTAATCTGAGTTCTTGCAAATTGTAATGTTGTACTCTGCAGACCAACATAAACGTGAATAAGAGAAACTTTAGTGGAAATACAGCATTGCACAGTGCGGTGGTGAATACTGGACAACGGGCCGAAGAACTTTGCAAACTGTTGTTGCAATACAAGGCAGATCCACACATTCCAAATAATAACAGACTGTCCACTAAAGTAAGTTCGTTGTAAATTGAAATCACTGACATATTTATTTATTACACTGGCAAACATCGATGCATATCACGTTAATTTTATTAATATTATTTTTTCCATAACAGGAGGAAGACGACGATGATGAAATTGGAATTAAACGCGAAGTCACCTCCGATGACGAAGAGGGTCAAACTTCGTACGATCTGGCTTCGAATAAACCTGCGGTAAATTAATTATTGTATTTTATAAGATGTCGATGATTTTATGGGCGCTAGAATGTTTTTTTTCTTTGTCAACTTTCAGATTTTACGTTTATTTTCTCCGACTGCTGTCAGAGACAATATGGGTTCCTCCGAGATAGAAATTAAGCAGGAGGTTACCGAACAGAACAGCGATGTAAACTGCCTTTTAGATTCTGCCAATGTCATAGCATTGGCAAGTATACTTGACAAAACTGGTGGGTGGAAGAAAATTATTAAACACCTCAAATACGACTTTTTGCTGAAAGAGTTAAATCCGAAGATTGCCAGTCCTTCTTTGGTACTCTTGAATTACCTCGTGAGTATCATTGGTGAAAGTGTGGCAAAGTTTGATCTGAAATGCATGAGAATTAGTTTCAAATTCCACTTTGTGTTTAAAGTGCGCGATTAAATCGTTCACCATGAGAATAAAAATGATTTAAATTCTATATTTCGTTTAATAGGTGCCTAATGAGTTGTCTGCAGAACAACTGGAAGATGTGCTGACACAAACACACGAAGACGAAGCTGCAGATATGTTGAGCGAGATGCTATCGATACTAAGACAGTAATGTTTTTTATTTATGTAAAGTGATACTGATTCTTTCTTAATGAATAGAATAACTATTCAATCGAGTTCATATGGAAACGGTATATTAACAATTTTTATAAAGTGCAGTGATTTTACGTTTTCATTCTATTTATAAAACTCAACTGTATGCTTAGAGATGACCAAACTGATATTATTCGACTCGATCATTTTATTAATTATAATTTTAAGGTCTATAAAATTATGCGGGTCATAATTAGTACTCATGCAGTTGAGCGGTTTTCTCAATGCCTACGATCATGTATATACTTGAGGTATCTCTTATGTAAGAGTATGTAAATTAAAGAGCAAAAGTTCAGCGAACGAGCTTGTTACCAGGGTTGGGTAATTTCACGGTTTTCGAGGTTTTTGACGTATATTACGTAAACAAGTAGTTTACCGTAGAAAACCAGGAGAAAACGTATCAAATATGACGGACAAGACAGACGTAGGGCATGCGGTACTCGTGATGGTAATACCATGCAGCTGTTGACGGTGGTGGCTTACCTACGCTTACCGACGCTTTTGATGGTAAGGGAAGAACACTCGTGGCGTCCTCTTTGACTTTACCCTTCACTTACCTTATTTAAATTACGGGAAGGTGAAATTGGCCGAAACTTGTGAGGCCCGAATACCTGACCACGAGTCTTACATGTGGTTGTAGGGCAAAGGGTTAAATGAATATTAACACATGATTGAGATCTCGGAGAGATCTTGGGATGAAAATGAATTGGAAAACTGGATGATCGTCAAAAATGTCTAATACATACTTGATTAATAAATTTCAAAATTGATTATTAAAATTTGGGGATTTTATGGTGATTAGAATTTTGTGATAATCGGGAGTCCTCAATTACCGTACCGTCGCTTCTCCGGGTCGACACCTGACCGCAGATACCTGAAAAAGGTACCCTTGTACTCCCATTGCGTCATCTTATAATTACGGATTTTCCGTGAAGGTGACGAGAAAGAGGCAACCGAGGGGTCGGTTGATAAGGAAATTTTTCACAAAACTAGGTGTACCTAATCGTTTGAAATTTTATAACGTGAGTATAAAGACCCTAAAGAAAAGGGTTCCATAGCCATGAAATTCCGTTATTATAAAGAAATTCCGAAATTGGAATATACAAAGGTGTTATAAGGAACTGCGCATGCGCGTGCCGGGGTCGGGGACCCTATATAAGGCCGAGCGCGCGCTCGGAGTATCAGTACCCTTTGGTCTTCCGAAGGGTAAACATCGGGTTACCTGCTTGTACCGTAACTGGTTTAACCCCAGTTTTATCCTACGGTTAAATCTAACGGTTAACCCCAGTTTTAACCTACGGTTAAGTCTAACAGTTAACCCCAGTTTTAACCTACGGTTAAATCTAACGGTTAACCCCAGTTTTAACCTGCGGTTAAACCTAACAGTAAAAAATCAAACTTCGGTTAACTTGGGTTGTGAAACCGGGCCTTATGGGAGACATCACCCTCCCTTCCGTTCCCTTTCTTAATATATTTAACTTAATTTATTACGTTTGTAAAGGGCTTCGGTGCGCAGTAACCGCCACGTGGTGAGCCTGGGGAACCGGTGGTTTCCAACTATCGTTGAAAACCCCCGGTCCGCAAATAGCTGCGCGAGTGATTCCACTTAGCGTTTTTTTTTTTGTATGACAGTAGCTTAACGTAGTTAAAAGTGGAAGCACTCATTGCGTGCGTGCGCGATTGTAAAGTGCGGACAGGACGTAGTCGGGTACATTTCCATGCAGCTAGTAATTTCGGAATTGCGTGCTAACCGAAGTAGATTTTTGCAGGTACGGCATTGCCGTACCTTTAGTGTATCCGGCAGCTTCCGTCGGCACCTAGTACGTCGTAGTTAAACTACGGCGTGCAAGGCTACCTGGCTCAGGTTGTCGGTAGCGCGATGCGTTGTTTCGCTCTGGCGGCATCCCGCGGGGGCTCTGCCTGCTGTAAGTCGGGACAAGCCCGTCGACTGAAACTCGTATTCGCGGGCCGACAGCTGAGCCGGGTTAGTCGTCGGTGACGGTGGAAGCTGCTGGATCGTTCGCGTTAGAAGTAGTATGCCCTTCCGGCAAATTATATCCGTAATTCGATGCCAACTGGCAATATACTCGGCGACTTACCCTGTATTCTGCGGCGAGCGTTGCATGGACGGATGAGTATGGTATGAGAGTGGTGTGTTGTATGGACGGATGATGCGTATGGTATGCGAATGGTGTACTGTATGGGTAATGAAATCCTGGTTCTGCGAGTTCCTGGGACGCTGGGAACTCAACGGAACCAGGTGCCTATGCTTAGGCGGGTCCCAATCACAGCGGCCTCCTCGTGGCGGGACCTGGGGGATCGGTATCATCCTTATGGGAACTAGCTGTGAAGTAGAATTTAATTAAGATAAAATTTTTCACCTTCCCGTAATTTAAATAAGGTAAGTGAAGGGTAAAGTCAAAGAGGGCGCCACGAGTGCTCTTCCCTTATCATCAAAAGCGAGCAGGGTCGGTAAGCGTAGGTAAGCCATCACGAGTACGTAAGTCGCCAATGGCTACTAGTAGGTGGCACCGTCATCCCGAGTGCGCGAGCCCCTGCCAAAAATTCGTTGCGTCGCCCTTGGGGGCAAAAAACGGTGAAAGCTGACGAATAAAATCAGAGGGCAGCATAGGATGCGATCGCGCAACCCTGCCCCTGAACAATATCCCAACTCAACTCTGCGAACCTCTGTTAGGAGCTCGCGCTCTCGCGATGGCGGTACCATCTACCAGTCGCCGTTGGTGGCTCACGTACTCGTGATGGTAATACCATGCGGCATGATTTTTAGATTTCCCTACAAGCGTTATCGAGCGTTAATCAACAGTTTTCGAGCGTTTCTCGATCATTTTCAGAGCGTTTTCGACCGTTTTCGAGTGCTTTTCGAGTGTTTTCCGAGTGTTTTGGAGCGCTTTTAGAGTTTTTTGGTGCGGTTTCGAGCGTTCCTCAAGCGTCATCGAGCGTTTTTCAAATGTTTCCGAGCCTTATCGCAAGCTGTACAGTGCCGTTGAGTGTTGTCAAGTGCAGTAGAGTTCCGTAGAGTCACATAGAGTGCCCGTAGAGTCCCGTAGAGTACCGCAGAGTCCCGTAGAGTGCCCGTAGAGTCCCGTAGAGTCCCGTAGAGTCCCGTAGATTCCCATAGAGTGCCCGTAGAGTCCCGTAGAGGCCCATAGAGTGCCCGTAGAGTCCCGTAGAGGCCCATAGAGTGCCCGTAGAGTCCCGTAGAGGCCCATAGAGTGCCCGTAGAGTCCCGTAGAGTCCCATAGAGTCCCGTAGAGTCCCGTAGAGTCCCATAGAGTCCCGTAGAGTGCCGTAGTGT